CCTCCCCCTTCCTCCCCCCTGCTTTCTTATCCCCGCTGCCACCCTCGTTTGTGGCTTAATTAGAATGAAATTTCCCTCTTCCCAGCTCCACCATTTCCCCCTGGTTTCCATACCCATGCTCCCTCCCTTGGTTCTTTGACCATGGGCTGAAATGAGAGACTCATAGAGCTCTAGGGGGCAGCAGAAGCTCGCTTAGAGTCTACGAGACGTGGCAAGGAGATATTGCCTCCCGCGCTTTTTTTCGGAAAGAGATCACACGGTGTAACATCTGGGGATTGACTGGTCCTTGTTCATGCGCATGCTGTGTTGAATCTTGGCAGCCCGTTATAGCACATATCTTGAAAATCTAGCCTTTCATTCTTTTCAACGCTTGTCAGTATACATAGGAAACTTGACGCTGCCTTAATTCTTCCTAACTCGAGCGCATCCTACATTTTGGAAGCAGCACCAGCGTTAGTTACCCTCCGATCAACTCACCACCGCCTGCTACTTCTGAAGAACTTCTGTCAATGCTCCACTCGTATAAGCTTTCCGTCTCTTCTACTCTAGTCGCACTTAGAGCGGCACTTCTTGATCTTCTTCTTGCACTTCTTGTAAGTGTGCGTGCACTTGTGGTGGTCATGCTTGTCGTCCTTGTTCTCGCGCTTGCACTCGCTGTAATCAGTGTTGCACTTCTTGTTCTTGTCCTCGCAGTCAGACCGGCACGACAGCATGCGCGGCGAATGCAGGAACCGCCTGCTCGCGCCCATCAGCTTGCCCACGAGACCTGAATGCAGGGAATGCAAGGAACGACAAATTAAGCCGTGAGAGTCACGTTAGTTGTCGTGAAAAAAATAGAGCCGCAAGGCGGGACGGAGGTGGAGAGGGACACATGGTGCCTCTTAGCGCGAATTAGTAACCAACGCACCAGGAGGCGATGCGTCGGCGGGAATGGCGGCGTCCGACAGGTCGTCGTCGTCGGCGTCGTCTTCTCCCGCGACGATCTCATTCGCGCGGCACTGCGGCGCCAGCGCGAGGGATACGAGCAGCGAGAGCGCTAGCAGGGCGAAGAAAAGCTTGGAGCGCCTCATGGCTGCAGGGACTGCAGGGTGATGCCTTCGACAGGAAAAGAGTGTGCGGCGATTGCGTGATGCTTCTAAAAGAAGTATGGGTAGTAAAGTTTGTTTTCTGGCTGAACTGGGGCTGGTGCCGATTAACATTCAGGTCCTGGCTTTTATAGGACCGGTGGGAACTATGAGTTGCACGAGTGTACATCGTCATTGTTGCAAGTCTAGCGAGTCGCCCGCGATAAGGGGATTAGCGACTGGTCGGTGATAAGGTGAGAATAGCGGCTGGTCGGTGATAAAAGGTAAGTCTGGTGGCGTATTTTTGGTCGGTGTTCTAGCTCAGCGTGCGAAGCGACAGTAGTGGGGTTGTTTGCTCGGAGCCTCCTAGTGTTCAGCAACGTGGGAAGCATGAGGGGTGAACCTGCAGCAGCCAACGTGGGGATTCCGTGCTTGCTGTGTGCCAGATCGATCAGTCGTGGGTTGGATGAAAGGATTGGATGGATGGAGGGAGAAAGAGTTGGGGGAAGATGAATGAAATGCGAAATCGAACCGCGCTATGCGACTTCATTGGTTATCGATGCGACGCGGTGACGATGCGCCAATTTTCAAGAGAATTTTGCCTGTCATGTTGTTCAAACGAGTTTCTCGCATCCGTTGCACATTCCAATCCCTTGTAGATATCTACAAGCTGTACGAGTGAGTTTCATCAGGGCATCCATTTGTGAGAATCGGACCATATCAACATTTGAGAGAAAGGTGAACGAATATGCCAATTGGATGTGAGAACGCCTGATTTCTCTTGTTTGGTAATATAGCTCTTTACCATCCTGTGCATGCCCATCAATCATATCCAAATACGTTTGGGGTCGACTTGTTGCATATTGATAAGATTTCTTTTTTCTCCCACAAGACTGTCATGTCAGGCGAAACAGACGAATTAGTCAGGTGCGAATTGTTGTACCGAGGCCCTGATCTCCGTCATGGTCAGTATGGCATTGTGTGATCAATAACATATTCTAAATTGGTATTACTTGGTACACCGAAAGCTTACAAAGAACCTCCCAGACAATGTGCACTGTATCCCTCATTTCGTGAAGCGGCTGCTGAGTCGGCCCATAAGTGGCAGGGCTTTAGTGAGCTCGCGCAGCTGGGGGTACGTCTCAAGCATCCAGCCTGGATGGACAGGGAAGAGGGGAGGAAGACGCAAGTGACCTTTGAGACGTCTCAAAAGCCAAGTGGCAGGGCTTTAGTGAGCTGGCGCAGCTGGGGATACGTCTCTAGCATCCAGCCTGAGAGGGATAGGTTGGAAGGGGAGGAAACTTTGAGTTGACTCGAAAGAGCAATAGTGAGCTGGCGCAGCTGGAGATGTGTCTCCAGCATCCAGCATGGGCGGAAAGGGTGGAAGGGGGAAGAAGACACAAATGAGATGGATGACAAGAGTCACTTCGGGACACCGAGGTGGTAGTTGCAATTGGTGCACTGCGCTGTGCCATATGCCGCATGCCATGCCATGCAGTGACTCACCAAGCGTCGCGGTGGGAATGAACTCCATGCCCGGTATGGCCTGCTCCACAAAGCCCACAGTCGAGAGCAGTGAGCTGTGCTCTATGCCCATGTGAATGCCCATGCCACCTGAGACACGCATGTATGAGGTGCACACCTGTACCTACTCACACTCCTCACACTCACCGAGTGTGGCGGTGGGATGAACTCTATGCCTGGCATGGCTTGCACAAAGCCCACACTGGAGAGCAGTGAGCTACGCGTTGTGCCAGTGCCCACCAAGCATGCCCATGTAGTACTAACGCCCCTAACACTCACCGAGTGTGGCGGTGGGAATGAACTCTATGCCTGGTATGGCTTGCTCCACAAAGCCCACACTGGAGGGTGGTGAGCTGTGCGCCGTGACCATGCAAATGCGGCACACACACGCACACACACATGAGCGCCAAACTGTTGCCTACTGACGCTCCTCCCACTCACCAAGTGTGGCCGTGGGGATGAACTCTATGCCTGGTATGGCTTGCTCCAGAAAGCCCACACTAGAGAGCAGTGAGCTGTGTGCTGTGCCCATGCCAATGTCCATGCCAATGCCCATGCCACCTGGGACACGCACATATGAGGTGCACACCTGTACCTACTGACACTCCTCACACTCATCGAGGGTGGAAGTTAAGGGGGATGAACTCTATGCCGGGACTGGCTTGCTCCACGAAGCCCACACTGGAGAGGTGAGAGCTGTGTGTTGTGCCAATGCCCCCTTAGCGTGCCCATGTAGTACTAACGCTCCTCACACTCACTAAGTGTGGCCGTGGGAATGAACTCTACGCCTGGTATGGCCTGCTCCACGAAGCCCACACTGGAGAGCAGTGAGCTGTGCGCTGTGCCCATGTCAATGCCCATGCCACCTGGGACACGCACATATGAGGTGCACACCTGTACCTACTGACGCTCCTCACACTCATCGAGGGTGGAAGTGGGGATGAACTCTATGCCCGGACTGGCTTGCTCCACGAAGCCCACACTGGAGAGCAGTGAGCTGTGCGCCCTGCCCATGCCAATGCCCATGCCACCTGGGACACACAACTATGAGGTGCACACCTGTACCTACCGACGCTCCTCACACTCACCAAGTGTGGCCGTGGGGATGAACTCTATGCCTGGTATGGCTTGCTCCAGAAAGCCCACACTAGAGAGCAGCGGTGCACGGTACAGCCTCTGGTGGGGGACCGAGGGAAACAAGAGAAATAGGAGAGCAGGGGGCAGAAAAAGAGTAGGTGAATTGAGACGTCTCAAGAGTGAGTGGAGGGCAGCGGTGCACAGTACATCCTGTGGAGGTGGGGCGGGGGAAACGAGAGGGATAGGAGAGCAAGGGGCAGGTGGTGGAAAGGGCTAGGCCTAGGTGAGCAGGGAGGGAGTGGGTGGAGGACCAGGGAGAGATTTCGCAATCCCTTACAGAATTTTAGCGTCAGTTGGAAGCACCTGAATGACTGTTTAAGGCACACCTGAATGTCTGTTGAAAGCACCTGATTGATTGCTGAAGGCACCTATTGTGTCTGTTAAAAGCACCTGAATGATGAAGGCCGATGTAGGAATCCAGATGTAGTCCAGAGGGACAAGGTGGCGACTGGCCAATAACCTGGGTGTGGTGAGTGGTGATGGTGGGTGGTGAGTGGTGAGTGAATGGTGAGTGGGGGTAGAATGTGGTAGAGTTGAGACAGAGAAATGGAGGTAGAGTGAGGGCGACAGAAAGGGGGAGAGGTGAGGGGAAGAGGTGAGGCGGGAAGGAGCAGGGGAGTGGGAGCAGAGGAGGGGGGTCTCGGAGCAGCGGAGGAAAGGAGGAGGAAGAGCAGGCGAGCAGAAGAGCAGGCGAGCAGAAGAGCAGCAAACGCACCCTAGCAAGTCAACGAAAATGCTGATCACCAGCTTATTCCGCCTCTCCTCCTCCTCCTTCGCCTTCGCCTCTCTCTCCTTCTCCGCTTCCTCCGCCGCCTTTTCCGCAGCATCCGCTTTATCCTTCTCCCCGTCCGACTCTCCTTTCCAGAAAAACGCTCTTGTGTGGAAACCGCGGCTATGTCTATAACGTGTATGAACGCCCAGAGTGGTTTGATTCCGGCCCTGGATAAAGGCGGGAGGCGAACCTAATTCCCGCAGCCCGTTTCCCGTGATCGACGAATTTCTGAAGCTTGTAGATTTATGCGGGGAAGCTAACAACGCGGATCGTTGCGTGGACGGGAAGCATTCCTCAACGCCAGCCCTGGGCTGGAAGCGAATGTTGGAAGATTGGGCGCCGCCCCTCGCGCGCGCGCAAGACGCGCTCGGAATGGCGAGATGGTTTCCGTGCGTTGCGGTGGCGGCATTCAGGCGGCGATCGTGGCTTTCTGAGTAACTTCGCAGAATTCGCGAGCTTTGCAGAGAGGCGGGACAGGCGAGAGACGCCATCGGGAGTGGAGAATGGTAGTTAAGGCGCGCGACTCGCGCGACAGATTGCAAGAGAGTGCCGAATGCGGTGGGCGGGTGTTAGTGATACTGGTGTGAGGAGAGAAAAATGGCGGAATTTGGGGAGGAAGGATGGAATGGAGACGTGAATTCGAAGCAATCGAACGGAGTAGGCAAGAATGCACAAGTGGAATAGAAATCGCTTTAAATTGCGCTGCATCGTACTCTAACGCTGTTATTGAACAAAACAAAGTTGTACCCGCTTTGATGTTCCCTAGAAATCTGAAATGTTTGTTCAGAGCTTGAAGATCCTTTTTGATAGTGTAGGCTTACTCCAGTTATCTCGGGAAAGCAATATGAAAACCGCATAGGAGCTGGCGAATTCACAGGATCTGATCAGTCACACAAATCGGCCTTCGCTATAAGAACAAACCCACTTCCCCCAACATCGATATTGCCTCGGGAGTTTATCCTGTCCCTTACTCTTCGCCTCTTATTTACGAGGCTACATTATCGAGGCTTCAGCTCACACTAGGTTAGAGTTCCTCTGGATCAGATTGTCCGTCCGGTCTAATCACCCTCCGTTATAGCTGCATTCTCGCCGCGGTGCGATGGAAGGCGCCGAAGAGAGGCTCCTGCGGGCGCTGAACGATTTGGGGGAGATTAAAGACTCCGGCGAATGGGCCGCGAGTGCCGGCGTGGATCACGGCGCGCTCGTCGGAACCATTAAGAGCCTTCTCGCGTACGAGATGATCGTCGCTGAGGTTCGTCGAATCTGCTAGTTATTGCTCGACTGATCGACTATGCCAAGTCTGTCGCTTTACAATAGTTCAGCGTCACTGGTTCGCTATAACGGGGTGATCAGTTCTTCAACTCAAATGTGAGACTGTTCCTGTACCCTCTGTTCTTATAACAGGAGATCGAGCACCAATCATGGACGCTTACAGACGAAGCGAAGGGGTATCTCGACACGGGCTCGCCCGAAGCGCAGGTGTTCAACGCCGTGCCAGATGGCGGCATCCCATTGGACGCGCTCAAGAAATCCCTCGGCGCGGTCGCGGATATCGGGATGAAGCAGGCGATGGCGAATAAGTGGCTCGCTATAAGCAAGGGCGAAGGAGGTCCCACGGTTCAGCGGAAGGTGGCTTCTATCGAGGATAAAGTGCAGCGGCTGCTGACGAGCCTGAGCAAAGGAGAGGTGAGAGGGGGGAGCGGGAAGGGGAAGGAGAAGCTGAATGGGAGAGGGGGGGATGGGGGAAGGAAAGTGGAGGAGGAGGGATGGGAAGAGGGAGGGGGAGAGAGAGGTGTGGGGTGAGAGGAGGCTAACGAGAGGATTCGTTGTAAGCCAATTGCATTGGAATCATTAGAGGACGATAAATGTGGTTTCTGCTCGTTTGAGTCACGGACCGCATTGTCTGAGTTCACGTATGCACAATGTGGTTACCACCTGTTCGTTACAAAGTGTCTGGCATTTGTTTCTGGATCCTGTCCTCTCCCACCTCCCTCCTCCCCCACCCCACCCCACCCCACCCCACCCCACCCAGCCCCATCTCCCTGCCTCGTGTCCTCGCCACTTCCGCTTCCCCTGGACCCTTTCCCTCCCGCCTTCCGCCGTTTCCCCCATTTCCCCCCTTAGACACAAGAAGCGCAAGCTCATTGCGCCCAGCGTGAGGCAGAAAGCAGAACAAATCCCCCCCAAGCCCCCCCGCCCTTCCCCACACCCTTCTCCCCCCCGTACCCACCAGACCCTCCCCACCCCCGACCTGGACTATCTACACAAGAAGCCCAAGCTCATTTCCCCCAGAGTGTGGTGGGGAGCTCATCAACCCGACTAAACCCCTCTCCACCCCGCTTTACTTCCAGACTCTCCCCGCGGCCGATACAGACTATCTACACAAGAAGCGCAAGCTCATCTCTCCCAGCGTGTGGCGCACTTACTCCTTGGGCAAGGGAGCCAAGTTCGCCCTGGAAAAGAAGAAGGCGGCCACGGACCTCACCAGAGACATGATCCAGAGGTGTGTAGTTCGGTGCAGAGTGGTAACGGAACACTACAGAGTGGTGCGGAGCGGTGCTGCTCTGTTGAGTTGACTGGAAAGGCAGCACGTACGTGCTGGGCAAGGGGGGCAAGTTCGCTCTAGAGAAGAAGGCGGCTGCCACGGACCTCACCAGAGAGATGATCCAGAGGTGCGTGAAGTGGTGCTGTGCGGTGCAGAGTGGTGACGGAACATTACAGAGTGGTGCAGAGCGGTACAGGGAACATCACAGAGCGGTGCAGAGCGGTGTTTCTCTGTTGAGTTGACTGGAAAGGCAGAGCGTACGCGTTGGGCAAGGGAGCCAAGTTCGCTCTTCTGGAGAAGAAGGCTGCCACGGACCTCACCAGAGACATGATCCAGAGGTGTGTAGTGCGGTGCAGATAGATGCTGAGCTGTACAGAGCGTTCTGTGTGTGTGCCTGCGCATGCGTACGTACGGAGGGAGGGCGCCTGCACCCGCTGCCTGTTGAAGAGACTCTCTTCGCCTAACCACTCTGCGCTCTCCTCCTTTTCTTCCTTCTCCCCTCCATGCCCCTTCCCGCCCATCTTCCCGCCCGCATGGAAGGCGGGCGGAGGAGTTCAAGCCATACAACTTCAACGCGTTGGGCCTGCCCACTGAGGGACGGCACCTTCTACCGAGTGATTTTTGAGAATTCTCAAATACACGCTCACTCAAACTGAAACCACCTTTCTTTGATCACCTCAAATTCCCCTCTTCTTCCCCCCAGTGGCGCATGGAAGAGCGAGGAATTCAAGCCGTACAACTTCAACGCCCTCGGTCTGCCCACAGAAGGAGGCCACCTGCACCCACTCCCTGCTGAAAGTGCTCTCTTCCCCTTTCCCTCCCCGCCCCACCTCTTGCTCCCTCCTCCCGCCTGTGCCCTCTCTCCTCCCCACCAGTGGCGCATGGAAGAGCGAGGAGTTCAAGCCCTACAACTTCAGTGCACTCGGTCTGCCCACAGAGGGAGGCCACCTGCACCCGCTGCACTCCTTCCGACACACTCTGCCCCGTTTCCCTCCCCTCCCGACCTCTCGCTCCCTCCTCCCCCCATGCCCCTTTTCAATCCCCAGTGGCGCATGGAAGACAGAAGAGTTCAAGCCCTACAACTTCAACGCTCTCGGTCTGTCCACCGAGGGAGGCCACCTTCTACCTGTATACTCACTCAAACTGAAACCGCCTTTCTATGATCGCGTCGCCTCACCTCACCTCACCTTCCCCCTCCCTTCTCCCCAGTGGTGCATGGAAGTCGGAGGAGTTCAAGCCGTACAATTTCAATGCATTGGGTCTGCCAACTGAGGGAGGGCACCTGCACCCGCTGCTGAAAGTGCGCGCTCAGTTCCGCAAGATCTTCCTGGAGATGGGGTGAGTATCAACGAGGGAGAGCGAGATCAGATGCTCGTTCCAAGTGTGAAGTATAGAAGGCCCCCCTTGGACCTGCATCCGCTGCTGAAGGTCCGCGCTCAGTTCCGCAAGATCTTTCTGGAGATGGGGTCAGTTCAATCTTTACAATCACCTCTCCCCCTCAATGAGCAAGGTTTGCTCCGAAATGGTTGTGTGGCAGTGGGTTGAGTGAAGCGGTGTGAGTCTTGCGCATCAGCATGTCATAACGCATTGTTCATTGTTCAACGCCCTTTCCCTATCCCCTATCCCCCTTTCCCCTTCCCTCCGGTCTCCCTCACCTCACTAGTTTCCAAGAGATGCCGACCAACAACTTCGTTGAGAGCAGCTTCTGGAATTTCGACGCGCTTTTCCAGCCACAGCAGCACCCTGCCAGGGACTCCCACGATACCTTCTTTCTGACTGGTGAGTTACCTTATTAAGTTGTTATTGTTCACTCACACGTATGGGGGGCCTACCAGCTTGGATTGGAACTTCGTGGAGAGCAGCTTCTGGAACTTCAACGCGCTCTTCCAGCCACAGCAGCACCCCGCCAGGGACTCTCACGACACCTTCTTCCTCACTGGTTCGTGACGTGAATCAAGGCAATGCACAAAAGGGACCAGATTACCTCATAAACACACCAAGTCAAGGCCCTCTCAGATCTTCCAGCAATAGTAATGGTAGTGGTAGTGGTAGTGGTAGTGGTAATGGTAATGGTAATGGTAATGATAGTGGTAATGGTAATGGTAATGGTAATGGTAATGATAGTGGTAATGGTAATGGTAATGGTAATGGTAATGGTAATGGTAATGATAGTGGTAATGGTAATGGTAATGGTAATGATAGTGGTAATGGTAATGGTAATGGTAATGGTAACGATAGTGATAATGATAATGGTAATGGTAATGGTAATGGTAATGATAGTGGTAATGGTAATGGTAATGGTAATGATAGTGGTAATGGTAATGGTAATAGTAATGGTAGTGGTAGTGGTAATGGTAATGATAATGGTAGTGGTAATGGTAATGATAGTGGTAATGGTAATGGTAATAGTAATGGTAGTGGTAGTGGTAATGGTAATGATAATGGTAATGGTAATGGTAATGATAGTGGTAATGGTAATGGTAATAGTAATGGTAGTGGTAGTGGTAATGGTAATGATAATGGTAGTGGTAATGGTAATGATAATGGTAGTGGAAGTGGTAGTGATATTGGTAATGGTAATGGTAATGGTAATGGTAGTGGTAGTGGTAATGGTAATGGTAGTGGTAGTGGTAATGGTAATGGTAATGATAGTGGTAATGGTAATGGTAATGGTAATGGTAATGGTAATGATAATGGTAATGATAATGGTAATGGTAGTGGTAGTGGTAATGGTAATGGTAATGGTAGTGGTAGTGGTAATGGTAATGGTAATGGTAATGATAGTGGTAGTGGCAGAACCTGTTGCGCGCAAACACACACCCCGTTCCCCAACCCCCATGTTGTTCTCTCCTGCAGCTCCCGTAGCCACCAAAGAACTCCCAGGGGACTACCTGCAGCGGGTCAAGATGATGCATGAGACGGGGGGCCACGGCTCCACTGGTTACGGGTATGACTGGAAGCGGGCTGAAGCTGAGAAGAACCTGCTGCGCACACACCACGGCGGTGTCACTCTCTTCCCCACTTCTCCCTTCTCCCTTCTGTCCACTCCTCACCCCCGGTATGCACCTGCAGCCCCTGCTGCGACCAAGCAGCTTCCAGAGGATTACCTGCAGCGGGTCAAGACGATGCACGAAACAGGGGGGTATGAGTCGACCATCCACCCCTCTTCCCATCCCTCTGCACCACCTCCCCCTGTGCGCGAACGTGCAGCCCCCGCTGCAACGAAGGAACTCCCAGAAGACTACCTGCAGCGCGTTAAAACGATGCACGAGACAGGAGGCCATGGTTCCACTGGTTACGGGTACGACTGGAAGCGAGCTGAAGCTGAGAAGAACCTGCTGCGCACACACACCATGGCGGTGTCATCTCGCATGCTGTACCAGCTGGCGCAGGAGGGGTTCCCTGCCCTGCTCACATCCCTGCCGTGTGCCTCTCCCCCCCTCTTCCCCTGCTGCAGCCCCCGCTGCAACGAAGGAACTTCCAGAGGACTACCTGCAGCGAGTCAAAACGATGCACGAGACGGGAGGGCACGGGTCAACTGGTTATGGTTACGACTGGAAGCGGGCTGAAGCTGAGAAGAACCTGCTGCGCACACACACCACGGCGGTGTCGTCGCGCATGCTGTACCAGCTAGCGCAGGAGGGGTTCCAGCCGCGCAAGTACTTCTCGATCGATCGGGTGTTCCGGAATGAGGCTGTTGACAGGACGCACCTTGCTGAATTTCACCAGATAGAAGGTGCGCTGGCAGTGGGGCTGGAGTGGGTTGGGAAGGGTGTGCAACGATTGGGTGGGTGGGCTCGGTGTCGTCTCGCGTGCTGTACCAGCTGGCGCAGGAGGGGTTTCAGCCGCGCAAATACTTCTCAATTGACCGTGTCTTTAGAAATGAGGCTGTAGATCGGACTCACCTGGCAGAGTTCCACCAGATCGAAGGTGCGTGCATGGGTGTGGGAAGGAGAAGCAGAGGAGTTTCAAAGAGGGAGGGAGGGGTTTCAGCCGCGCAAGTACTTCTCCATTGATAGGGTGTTCCGGAATGAGGCCGTGGATCGGACTCACCTGGCAGAGTTCCACCAGATCGAAGGTGCGTTGGCAGTGCGGTTGGGATGGGTTTGGAGCGGTATGAAGGGATGGGTGTGCAACGGTTGGGTGGGTGGGCTGGGTGTCATCCCGCATGCTGTACCAGCTGGCGCAGGAGGGGTGACTCTTTCTGTCTTTCCCTCCTCCCTCCTCCCTCCTCCCTCCTCCCTCCTCCCTCCTCCCTCTCTGCCCTCCTCCCTCTATCTGCCACCCGGCAGGCGTGATCTGCGATCGGGGCACCACACTGGGAGACCTCATAGGCTTGCTGAATCAAAATTGTTCCAAGTGCTTGATCTCTCTTTCCTCTCTTCCCTCCTCCATCTGGCATCCCTCTACTCCCCTCTCCTCTTGCAGGTGTGGTCTATGATCGAGGCACCACACTGGGCGACCTCATAGGTGCTCAACCAGAATTGCTCCAAGTGTCTCCTCTCTCTTCCCTCTCTTCTCTCTGTTCCCTCTTTCTTCCCTCACCCATCTGCCACCCCTCTACTCCCCTCTCCTCTGGCAGGCGTGATCTGCGATCGGGGCACCACACTGGGAGACCTCATAGGCGTGCTCAACCAGTTCTTTGCCAGACTTGGTAAGTCTCCATGTTGCCGCCTTTGCCTCTCCATCTCCTTCCCAGTTTGAATCCGCTCTAGGAATTCACCCTCCTCTTCTCTTTCCCGTTTCACTCGACTTTCCCTCCTCTACACGCTGGCCATTTCACATGCTACCACGTTGCATGTATTGATTCTGACTGCCTTCACCCCAACTCCTTCACCTCTCCTCAATCTCCTCCCTTACCCTCATAAGGCGTCACTCGCCTGCGTTTAAAGCCTGCTCACAACCTCCTATGTGACTTCGCCCGTTTGAGTCGTCCCAAAGCCACCCTCTCCTCCCCACGTTCTCTTTTTTTTCTCCCGTTTCAACCCCATCAGGCATCATGCGCCTGAGTTTCAAGCCTACATACAACCCTTACGAGGTGACTTTTGTTTCGAATCAAGATTCACCCTCTACCCCCCTTTCTCCCGCTCCCCTGTCTCCTGACTTACCCCCATCAGGCATCACGCGTCTGCGTTTCAAGCCTGCATACAACCCTTACACCGAACCTAGCATGGAAATCTTCAGGTGAGTTTCAGGGTGGCCGTCAGGTGGTTTCCCAGGGTGGGTACCAAGGGGGACATGGGTGGTTCTCGGGTGAAATTGCAGGCAATCTCAGGTGTCTTAACGCCTTCATCCTTACCTTTTCATCTGCATGTGTTTTTGCTCCCCCTTCTCTCCTCGAGCAACTGAAGAAGTGGGTGAAGGTGGGAAACAAACAGCTCCATATTTCGCCCTGGGATGCTTCTTTTCTTCCCTTTTTCCACAGCAGAGCATTCATGTGTTTTCTGTTCCTGCCACACTCCCTCCCTCACCACCACCGCATCTATCACGAGCAGCTGAAGAAGTGGGTGGAGGTGGGCAACAGCGGCATGTTCCGCCCTGTCTCTTCCCCCTCTCCTTACCTGTGTCGACTTCACATGCCCTCCCCCACCCTTCCCCCCCCTTTTGACCACCACTGCAGTTACCACGAGCAGCTGAAGAAGTGGTTGGAGGTGGGCAACAGCGGTAGGTTCCGCCCTGACTCTTCCTCTTTCTCCATAATTGTCAACTTCACATGGCCCGTCCCCTTCCCCCCCTGCAACACTGCAGCTATCACGAGCAGCTGAAGAAGTGGTTGGAGGTGGGCAACAGCGGTAGGTTCCGCCCTGAGATGCTTCTTCCCTTCTTTCACAGCTGAGCATTCATGTGTTCTCTGTTCCTGCCAACCCCCTCCCCCTCACCACCACCGCAGCTATCACGAGCAGCTGAAGAAGTGGGTGGAGGTGGGCAACAGCGGTATGTTCCGCCCTGAGATGCTCCAGCCAATGGGGTTGCCCGATGACGTCTCTGTCATTGCCTGGGGGCTGTCCCTTGAACGGTGAGCACTCTTTCAACTGCACCAAACTGCACTGAATCGCACACAAGAGATGCCAGCACAAGTGCTCCAGCCAATGGGGTTTCCTGATGACGTCTCTGTCATTGCCTGGGGCCTGTCCCTTGAATGGTAAGCCATCATTCAACCACATTAAACCGCACTAAACCTGGGCTGCCATTACAAGTGCTGCAGCCAATCTGTTTCCTGCCTGATATGTCTCTCATTGCCTGGGGCCTGTCCCTAAGAGACGTTCTTTGTGGTTGCACTCGGACATTAATACGATTTTTTAGGCCCTAAAAAATTGCTGCACTGCAGCCTAGATGTTTCCAGCCTGAGTCTCTCTCATTGCCTGGGGCCTGTCCCTATGAGACGTCCTTTGTGGGTGCACTCAAATTTGGACAGTAAACCTTCCCCTGCGCACCCTCCATCTTTCCTTGCGCACCCTCCATCTTTCCTTGCCTGTTTTTTCCTCCTTTACAAGCAGACCCACTATGATCTTGTATCACATCGACAACATCCGTGATCTTTTCGGCCATAAGGTGAGAGTGGGAGATTCAAAGGGGAAAACCATGTGAAATCAGATTGTTGTTGAGATGACTCAAGAATAAGGGGGTAGCCCTGGTCAATGTTCGAAGCACCTTCAAGCACTTGATATCATTTTCAACATTCCAGCTAAGCTTGATACACTAGAGCTCGTGCAATTTCTCGCTTATTGTGCCTGCCTCGCATTCACCGCTTGTGCCCTCATTCCCTTGGTACTTTCTCTCGCTTCCCTTGTGCCCGTCGTACCTTTCTCATCACCCCCATCACCACTCCTCACCGCTCCAGGTTGACTTAAAGCTGATCAAATCGAACCCAATCTGCCGCCTCGGCCTTTGAACTCGGAAGAACCAAGATTTCATTCCCCCACAAGCCCGCCTTACTTTGTAGTCACTAGGATTCAGTGCCTTGGTGCCTGAACAACAATCCCGCTCATCCCCGTAATGGTGTCGATCGATTCTTCCACGTTCGAGTACCATATGATTCACAAATTAGTTCCACCTACGTATTCAAAATCCCCCTCGTGTCCAGTGCTGGTCCATTTGACACCATTAGCGTGCTTCCTGTACATTTAGGAAGAAGATGACTTCAACACAGTAGCTTATTACAGCTTAGAGTCTGATTTAATGCAAATCAGGAAAAAAATGAGCATAAGGTAACTTGCAGGAGTGTGTGCACTCAGCTACGATATTTGTTAACATCCTTGGCATGCACACCACCCACGTAAAATCAAGAAAAATATATGGCACATAATGCGGGCAATGGCCACGTAACGCTATGTAAGATTAGTAGATCTAGCTGCTACAGCAAACACCAGTCCACCAGTCTTCTGTTGTTGCATGTTCCAATGTTCCCTTGTCACCTTGTATCACTGTCCTCTTTGCCCTCTTCCTGAGAAGTGTCACTGCTACTGCTGCTGCCACTCTTCTTGCTTACACCACTACTCCTGTCAATGCCGGCACCATCACCGCCTCCTCCCTTCCCCTCCTCCCCACCACCCTCCACAACACTCACATTCCTCCCCAAACCCCCCGCGCCCCCAACCTCCCCCAACTTCTTCACCACAGGCCCTCCCAACGCCTCCTGCTTATACCTCACTCTCATTCGCGCCAGTCTCTCTTTCTTCTTCCTCTCCTTCTGCCCCTTCTGCCACAGTCTAAACATCCTATCCCTCTCAATCGACCCTTGCCATTGCACCTCCCCCAGATGAGGCCAAAGCCACCGCCGCCCCTTGATCGCATGGGCGGGGTCGTCTGTCTCTTCTGCCCGCTCCTCATCCATGGCTTTAAGAACCGGGCGGGAGAACCATTGAAACCAGGCGCGCCGCGAGCGGGATTTAGAGCGGGTGGGAACTGGGTGTTGTTCTTTAAGCGTGCCAGTGTGGGGGTTCAGAAGCAGCATTCTCTTTCGGCTGTGGTATGCCCACACGTTGACTAGGCGGTCAAGCAATCGGCAGTAGCAGTGCCGCTCCTGTTTGGGGACAGCAGGGAGTGTCGGCAAAGGGATCACACATTGATGTCTGAAGATTCACACCAGGTTGTGTTTTGCTTCTTCATCTCTGATTGGGGTTCTGACACTTTCAAACCCAAGGTCCTCAGACTCTAAACATCTCGTCCAGTGAAGAACTTATCAGCCTCAAAATTCTACTACTACCAAACCACACCTCACCTCTGCATGGCTCTGAGCCAAAGGGCACGTGCCGTGGGCCGTGTGTCTCTGGCCTTCACACCTCCAGGGATGGCATTTGAGTCGACTCAAAAGCCCAATGAAGAGCACATACTACTACCAAACCACACCTCACCTCTGCATGGCTCTGAGCCAAAGGGCATGTGCCGTGGGCCGCGTGTCTCTGGTAGAATTTCACATCTAGGGCGTCAATGAACATGCTGGTTGGGGTGCAGAGGGGAGAGAAGAGGACATATGAGAAGGAAAGCAGAGGAGAGGAGAGGGCAGAGAGGGGGACAGCACAGGAGGGGGGGGCGGGGGCAAGGACATACGAGGGGGTGTGGTTTTTAGAAAAGAGGCAAACAGAAAGTTGTCGTTGGTTATGCAAAGGCAGCAAGAACCCCACAAAGCTTTGAGAGGGCAAGGCCCACGTGCGCATGGAAATCCCTCGCTTTCATTCCCTCACGCCTTGCACGCACACGCCCTCTCACCGCATCTCTCACCGCGCAAACAGCATAAACTCCACGAAGTTGTGAGCCCGTATGGCCCACGCATGCATGGCGGACCAGGTGCCTCCTCCCCTGCCTGTATATAACCCTCCCCCCACCCCGCCTCTCACCGGGCAAAGAGCGTAAACTCCACAAAGTTGTGAGCCCGTATGGCCCATGCATGCATGCCAAACACTCCCAACCTTACCCCCCTTGCCCGCATATCCCCCCTCCACCCCACCGCGTCTCTCACCGCGCAAACAGCATAAACTCCACGAAGTTGTGAGCTGGCATGGCCCATGCGTGGATGGCGGACCAGGTGCCTCCCCCCTTGCCCGTATATAACCCTCCCCCCACCCCGCCTCTCACCGTGCAAACAGCATAAACTCCACGAAGTTGTGAGCGGGCATGGCCCACGGGTGCAAGGCAAACCCTCTCACTCCCCCAGTCAGCCACTCCCACCCGTCTCTGACAACCCCCTTCCCCCCACCCCGATCCCTCACCGCGCAAACAGCATGAACTCCACAAAGTTGTGAGCCGGCATGGCCCATGCGTGCATGGCAGACCAGGTGCCTCCTCCCGTGGGCATGGGCGGCAGGGTGGTCCAGTTGGAGGGGAGGCTGTACACCAGCCGCATGGCCTCCAGGAATGCAGCCCTGCATGGGGAGGTAATGGAGGTGATGGGGAGACATGTGAATTCGAGGGACCAGATGGTCACATTGGTGGCCTCCTCCAACAAGCATGGGCGGCAGGGTGGTCCAGCTGGACGGCAGACTGTACACCAGCCTCATGGCCTCCAGAAAGAGAGTTTTGGATGGAGTGGTGGTGCTGACCATACAAGGGACATGTGGTCACCTCCGGCTGACAAACTATGCGTGATGGGTAGTGTGATGTGGGGTGGTATGGGGTTGTGTGGGGTGGTGTGGGATGGTGTGGGTGTCTGATGTGTGTTTTGTGGTGCATCCGCACCTCCTCACCTGCAGTTACCGCGGTTCATCATGTCACATGTCGTCCAAAAGTCATCCCCTGCACGCTCCTCCAACCCCCCAACACTCATCTTCCCCGCTGCTCCCCCTGTCTCCCCTCCCCCATCCCTCTTCCCCCCATTCTCTCCCGCACCTCCCCCTCCCCCTCCCCTTCCCCCTCCCCCTCCCCCCCCTCCCCTCACCTTCTCCCCATCCTCCCCCAGCGCCCCACTCCTCGGATCCCGATGAATCTCCACCTGGTCTACAGTACTCACCCAGTACACTACCGCATCCGCTACAGTCCCCCTCTCTATAGTCCCAACCAGCGCTTTTTCCGCAGCGCCACTCAACCCTACATTCTCCGCTCGGACCCGCCACGGCTGGAAGCCTATCCAGGGGTTCCTGTGGACTCGGTCTATGCGGTAGTTAATCGCCAGCATGGCTGCAAAGTCGCAGAGCACGTCGCGGTAGTAGGGCGAGGCGAGCATGGGGAGGCGCGCCCACGCGTTCACGTCGTCGTATAGATTGGGCCGGCGGGAGGAGCGAGACTGAAGTGTTGGGGAAAGAGAGGGGATGGGGCAGGGGAAAGGATGGGGGAGGTGAGTAGGGGAGCGGCAGTACGAGAAGGAGAGCATGGGGAGACGGACCGGACCCGCCACGGCTGGAAGCCTATCCAGGGGTTCCTATGGACTCTGTCTATGCGGTAGTTAATCGCCAGCATGGCTGCAAAGTCACAGAGCACGTCATGGTAATATGGGGAGGCACAGTGCACTCACCAAGCTAACCCCCCGGTACAGGGTGTCCTTGTCGTGAATGAACGGCCAGGATCCGTTGCCAATGTACGGCTCGTAGATGCAGATGGGCTGGCCTGATCGCTCGAGGTCACCGTCGTCCCTCTCGTGCAGCCCACTCCTCTCCGCCCGCTTCACCCCCACCTTCACCTCCTCCCATGACAGTGACTCGTGCTCCCTGCGGTCCCACAGCTGGTGTGGAGAGAGGAGGGGCGAGAGGGAGGAGGGAAGGGAGGTAGGGAACAGTGAATCAGATGTTACCCGCTTCACGCCCACCTTCACCTCCTCCCACGACCGCGACTCGTGCTCTCTACGGTCCCACATCTGGCATGGGGGAAAGGGTCGGAACTCAGCCTCAGGTATTTTCAGGATTCTCACACATGTGTCGTGTGATTTATAGGGCAACTTTTCTTGAATGTCTGGGATGTCATGTCATGTGGGATGTCATGTCATGTGGGATGTCATGTCATGTGAAATGACCTCTGCGATGCTCCCTGGGATGGCATCTGAAGCATCACTTACATTGTCAGCTTCCAGCTGTTCTTCCGGTGCTTTCAGCTCAGGCACTCCTGCTGCCCGTACTCCTCCTCCTCCTCCTCCTCCTCCTCCTCCTCCTCCTCCTGTCCCCTCTCTTGCGCTGTCCTTCTCTCCACCCACAACAGCAGTGGCAGCAGCTGAAGCTGCAGAACCCTCTGCCTCTGCCGTTTGCTGCCCAACTACCCCGCCTCCCGCAGCTGCTGCCAACTCCCCCCTCGCTCCACCTCCCGCTGCTCCCACTACTGTTGCTGCTGCTGCTGCTCCTGCTGCTGCTTCTGCGTCTGCTGCTCCTGTGGCTGTTCTTTTAACAGCCAACTCGCCCCCTGCCCCGCCTCCCACCACCTCCTCAGCACCATCCATTTCGGCCATGAGCATGCTGTCCCTCGTTTTGTCTCCCATCAGCAATGCCGCTTCCCTTCTCTTCAACTCCTCCCACTCATCCTCCATCTGCAACACCACACTCCTCCTCTCACTCCCTCCCTCGCTCCTTCCCTCGCTCCTCGCACTCCCACCACTCCTCCCCTCACTGCTTGCCACATCCCCTCTCTCTTCCGAGAACCCCACCGCTCCCTCTTTACTGCCGTCCCCTGCCTTGCCTCCCGCCTTCAACCCCATCCTTCGCCCCTTATAGTCACCCTCCCGTAATATCACCTTCCTCCCCCCAATAACCCCACTCTCCCCTCCCGTCACTACCTCAGCCTCACCTTCCTCCACACCCCCACCTACATCTACCCTCTCACCCTCCTCCCCTTCTCCCCCCTCGTCCTCCTCCCCAACCCTCTTCGTCCCCCCGCCTCCCGTCCCCGGCCCTCCCTCTCCACCCACTTCTCCTACTCCCCGTCTCCCTCTCGTTCCTCCGTTTCCTCCCGCCTCCCCTCCCTCTCCCCACCCCCATCCGCCCTCCTCCCCCCACATCCACGCCTGCTTCTTATCCCACCACAGCCAATCCGCCGGCCTAGGGCTTCTAATCCCCACGCCTCCCTCCATAACCCTCTCTAGTAGCCTCGCTACCTCCTTAACCACGCTGCGCGCGCCCAGGGCCAATGAGAGCTCGCGGCCCGATGCTGACATGGCGAGCGCGTCAGACTGCGAGAGCGACGCGGCTTTAAGGAGCGCCTGCTTTATGGAAGGTTCCTTCCCAGGGTCGTAGAAAAGAGCATGCACGCCATTGGTCAACTGTGAAGGGAGGGAGGACGGGGGGGAGAGGGAGGGGTGGGAGAGATTTGGAGGAGTGGGGGAGGGTGGGGGGGAGTGGGAAGTACATGGAGGAAGGGGAGATGGAGGAGTGGTTGGAGAGATGAGATGCATAAAACACACCGCTCAAGGTGCAGCACTCACCACCCAGCACCACTGTCCACCACTCACCACCAACCACCACCCACCCTCTCACCTCTGCTTGAACTTTGATCAGCTTTGGCACCACCACCACCTTCCCCAGAGCCAGCGCTTTCACCAGCAGTGGATTCACCTCCCTCTCCTCCTCCACCGAACTCCACACCACCACACCACCATCAACACCACTCGCACCCACCTACTCATTTACCCGCTCACCTCTCCTCGAATCTTGATAAGTTTCGGCACCACAATCACCTTCCCCAGAGCCAGCGCTTTCACCAGCAGCGAATTCACCTCCCTCTCCTCCTCCACCGAACTCCACACCACCACATCACCATCAACGCCCCTCGAGAAACAATACCCACCACCCACCAACCCCACTACCCCTCACCCACCTCCATCCCCCACTCACCTCTCCTCGGATCTTGATCAGCTTTGGCACCACAATCACCTTCCCCAGAGCAAGCGCTTTCACGAGCAGCGGATTCACCTCCCTCTCCTCCTCCACCGAGCTCCACACCACCACATCACTCGCCATCAACACGCCCATCCCCTCCTCCCCCTCTGCCTCCCCCACGCCCCACGTCAGATTCGCTATAAGCAGATGCTTCGCTACCACTTTAAGCACCGCCAGCTGCGACTGTGACCCTGAGCCGTTCCAGCTACCCATAAACAGCACGTGCGCTCGCTCCACAGCGGAAACCCCCTCTCGCTCCTTTTGGTTCCCCTCCCCTCCTCTCCCTCTCCCCCCTCCTCTCTTCTCCCTCCCTCCTTCCCCTCCTACCCCACCTCCCCTTCCTCCACTCCCTTCCCCCCCTCCTCCTTCCTCCCCTCCTCCCTTTCCCCCAGCATCCCCTACCATCCAGCCCAATAAAGACCCCCACCCCATGGCAGGCGGCTGGACCAATGATTGAACGGCATGCATGGCCATTGCTCTTTCCCGCCACTTTCCCTGGTACACCCTCTGGTTTCCCGCCACTGCTACAGTGAACGCGTCAGGCGGGATCTGACGCGCCGCCCGCTCAGACTCTGGCGAGCGCGATGCGGCGAATCGGGTCGCGGCGTACGTCCACGTGGGCGAGCCGGGAATTACCAGGAAGTTTCCAGTGTTCAGGGACTGGTATCGCTCTTTAAGTGCCATGCAGGGGAACAGAACGGCATCAGGGCGAGCGAACAGATCAATCCACTGCTGCTTCAGCCCCTGCAGATGCTGACTGGACTCGTACACTGCCAGCCTGTCTGCCACGTCAGCCTCGTGCACGACCCACACCAGTGGGACTTCAGTGAACGGCTCTTGGGCCAACTTGGCGATAAACGGAGCGGCCTCTAACGAGTTCGCCAAAACTCCCTGGTAGCTGTATAAGAAAGTCCCACGGCGACAGCGCGGCGGAATTGCAAGGCCGGAGAGAGGTGCGGGAGAGGAAATTAAGAACGCGAGTGAGAGGAGTGATGGTGCGATGACAGATGCAGGGAACGGGTGATTAGACATGGAACTACTGGATCGCGCAACGTCGAATACGCAGGGTTTTGGGATTGGAAAAGGACACACTGAATCACAGGGAAGGGAGGAACAGACATCAACGGGGTGTGGGGGACGACAGTCGTGAGCGGAGCAAGAGGGCTTACTCCAGCCAGTCGATGTGATTCAGGCTCGTGTTGTGCCTCCCCGTTATAGTCACACGCACGGCGAGGCCCCTCCACGCGTCCGCCATGGGCCCTCCTTCCTGCGCGATTACCTCGATGGCGTATCCCAGTGACTTGAGTCCCGACCCAAGAGTGAAGAAATACGCGTTTTCCGCATTCCTTTCAAGGCGATCCGTTACAAGCGCCAGCAGAGGCGGTCTCAGGTTGGCCGAGACCTCCGTGAGCCATCGCAGCGCGCCTTGCATCTGCGCCGCCCGCCTCTCCATCAACCCTTCCTTCAGCTTCAGTAACTTATTAACGAGCGTCGAGTCCCTCTTCGCTACAGTCACATCTTTTACTATCACCTCACGGCTCTGCAGCTGCCTTTGCCCGAAATCAACTTGTAACTGTCCGTCTAATACCGCGGATTCTAACTTTTGACTCGTTGCTGAGCTGTGAACGTATAATCCTATACTGAAGCATATGACTGCAGCGAGAACGAAGGGAAGGTACACCCATCGCACCGTAACACCCGCGGTACCCTTCTTAGCGGGCGTCGAGTGCGGATCCGATGTGTTTAGGCTGCTGTTTCGGCGCACGCGGTTTCTAGACCGTTGCCGCTCGGGGACGCCGCTACACTTGACGGGCTCTGCGGATTCGGTGTCGAACGAGCTCGGCGCGCAGTGCCGGTTCGCGGATGCGTGCCACGTGGCAGAGGCGGAGGTTGACGAATGCGACGCTCGTTTCATTGCTGACGTGGGAGATTGGGGAGCCCCTCTGGGCTCGTCTTCGCTCATGGTGGTGGTGCCAGCTCAGCAAAGAATAATTTGACGATGAGAGATGGAAATACTCCGTTGAAAGCGAAGAACGTATCTAGGAAGTAGAGACATCCTTGACTTCAAACACGGCTGTGGGTGACGGAGTGTTCAAACTACGTAGCATGAGTGTCGTCTATATTGAAGCATTGAGGTTCGTCATCAAACTACTCGCAGGCCCATCCGGAACCAATATTCCTTGATTGAAGCGCGAAACAAGCTTGCTAGAACGAAGAGCAAAGCCCTTCTGGTACTTCTGACGAATGAGGAGGGCGGACACTAGGGAACGGATGGTCAGCCTAGTGAACTAATTCACTTGAAGACACATAGAGTCGCCGGCACATAACGGCTGCTCACACTGCCGGCCCGGAAACGGAAAATGGGTGCTGCTAAGCGGGTGCCGCGACTTGAGCATAGGAACTGGGAAGCAGAGAGAGAACCCTGAAGATCAGAGTCTGAACGATGAAACCTCGAGGGGAGCGATGCGGCAGCTCTTTAGGGGGAAACCCGTGCAGGAAGCCTGCCAAAACTCGAGGCCGCCTTGGTTCTCCCAATTGTTGCGTGGGGACCCAAACCTGAATCAAGGTTCACGAAACCAGGGATCCACCCTAGATCCCAAAGCTTGGGGAAAGCCTGCCTTGTGGTGTGCGTCTCGAAGTGAAGGCGGCAGCACAGAGGTGTAAATGAGGAGAGGCGAGGAAGAAAATCGACGGCTCACCGTTGATCATTTGGGATGTCGCTGGAAAATCGGTCGGTCAGGGCGAGAGTAGAGTCAGAGTCTCGGTGACAGTTGCCGAAGCTCGCTGGCGCTGCGTGCCAAACCTGTTCTCGACCAGAGACGAACCTGAGGGGGGCTTACCTGGGAAACCCACCCAAGCAACGAAGTCCCAAACGACGCCTGCTGCGATTCGGCAAGCCAACGTCACCTTGTAGGCAAGCCCAATCATCGGTCCGCTGTGGTTCATGCGTCACCGAAGGCACAAGGCGGGAATCCCTGAACCAAAATTTCGTTGGCTGGGCTGTCAGCGAGAATGTGGATCTATGGGGAGGTTCGCTACCAGGATCTTGGCACAAGTGTATCAGATTGAAACAGCTCGATGAAAAACAGTACACTTCACATAAAGCTTCACCCTAAAGTGGCAAAAAATCTAGATGCTAGGTGGATCCAGCCGCCTTAGCAGATATTCCACCTGCACTTTTTTTGTCAATGGCATTATCCATTGCCCGTAGAGTCTAGCAACCACCTCTGGTTGAATCTTGAAGTTTCCTTGGGGCTGCTGAGTAGAAGCTGCTCCTTCAGTCACCCCCTTAGCTGGTTCAATTGGACATTCGAAAATATCCTGTCCAAACGTTGCAGCCTTTCTTTCAACACGGCGCTGGACCGCAGCTTCGACGTCATTAAACGTGAGCAACTGCATCAGCCCCTCTGCATCTTGCTTCTCAATTAAGGATATGTATGCCTCTGGATTCTCCTGGAACTTTGCCTCAGCAACAAACGCCCCGAAGTGAATTCGCTTCGAGAGAGCCTGATAACAGATGGCAAAATGGCGGTGAGCAGGAAGAACATGTGAGGGAGGGAGGGACAGAACATGGAAGTGAGTTCGTCACGACGAGGCATGTATTGCAAAAAAGACAAGAAAGAGGCAACCAGCTGACCTGCAGGCAGAGCACGTCCATGGTGACAGCAGAGCCATAGTTGAAGTCGTCACCATCTCGTGTGATCTCTGGCAATAGATCTTCAAAGTACATCTTCCATATGATGTCGTTGATGTTTATGGTGCCTGCGGCATCATGTAACACCTGCATTCACATGCATAAACACAAACACATGCACACATGCATTCTGGCCAATGTTGCAATTTTATTCGAAAAGTACAAAGCAAGACAATGACTCAATTCAATCTGGACATTTCAAACAAACTGTCTCTCAAGGGAGAATGTCACGCATCTGACATACCTTGGGGTAGTTCAAGGGAGGCAGAATAAGAGGCGGAATGGCATCGGGGAAGAACGGCCGTTCAGTGGGGCTTGTGTAGCGCCGAACCTGATGAGACATGGCAACCAGACAGACAGAAGTTACCAGACATGGAGGTGGTGACGGATAGAGGCCGGTTTTCCATCAAACTCAAGATAACGAACCTGGCGCCACGTAGACCTAGTGATGGTTTCGAGAGAAACAGGTAAGAGTGTCACTGTCGGCAAAATTTGCGAATGCGCACAATAGCTATAACATAATCTTTCTTCGCGAAAATGTAATAAAGCTGCAACAGGGACAATTTTTTAGGGGAGATGTCGGGATATTGGGCAGGGTTGGAGAATGTGCAAGCAGTGGGGATGCATTCTCTAAGTACGATGGTTACCTTTCCGTGTAGCACTTCCGTTTCTCGCATGACGAATTCCAGCAGCGATCCTTCAAACCCCGGGACAGGCATAGCTGACGCGTCGTACGCAGGTTTATTGCGACAGAACTGCGACCGCTCGATCAGCGAGAATATGATGCTGTCCTCTTGGCGAATTAGCGAGCTGCGGATGTTCGCCAATGTTACCGTGTGCTGGTCGCTGATATCCATGTCGCCTATCTCCCCGTCTGGGTAAAGGGTTGCGGACGGTTGCGCGGCTGCTGCAGAAATCGCGGAAGCGGAGACAGCAGCGCCGAGTATTGCGGGGACCGGGACAACTGGAGCTGGGATGGAGGAAGTTCCGTGGTCACTACGTAGAGAATTAACTACGAGTGGTGGAATGCGGGATATGCGGGGCGGAAGGCGCTGAGATGGAAGATGCTTATGCTGGAAAAGGATTGGGATGGTGCTGCTGCTGGGAGCCAGGACGAAGCGTGACTCAATCGCGAGAAGCATCTCGCCCGAGGGTTTATGGTAAAGCTCCACCTGGCAACAGAAACTTTTACGCAATTAGGCGCTCATTCAGGAAAGTGAAGCTCGACGCAACGATCAACGAAGGAGAGTATTGCGGACAAACACAAGGTGAGCTGCTCAACCTTGAATTCTGCTAGCGCAATTTGTGCTCTGCTTTTCTCTTGTGGTGGGGTTGCTGGCGGTGGGGCTGCTGGTGAGGCTGATGAGCTCTCGGGGAAGTGCGGAAATATCGAGGGAAGCAAGATGGGGACAGGGGGTAACTTCTCGCGAGCGATCGTAGACAGCCCGAAGATGTAGAAATGTTACTTGACACAAGCCACTTTTGTTTCTCAATACAAAATAAGAAAAATCCAACAAAGAAGAAACGATCCTACCCTATGATAGAGCCGAAGATCATGACACGCTTTTGTGTCGTACTATCTGCATGCACATTTGTTGTCCCCTCGTTCTTGCAGCCAGCATTTGCATCTCCATCAACCAAGCCCTTAGCTGCAATTTGTAGGTCTTCCAAAGTTATCGCATAGAACTGTTTGCTTGATTTGGCAGGTGAACCGTCAAGTGATGTTGATGCTACCAGGCGATGCTCTCCGAACTCAGCATTCGCTTCCACGCAAGGAACGGTTGATGATGTTGATCCTTCTTTCGGCCAAATGGATGACAATGGATTGCTCGATTTTTCCGAATCCTCCTCGCTACCTGATGAAGCTCCAAAGTCTGTGTCAGACCTCAATCTCCTCCCCTCCATCGTCTTTCCAATCTTCTGAGAAGACCAGGTCATCTCCACATCCTCAGTAGCAGATCCCAGGCTCTTCACCCTCCTCTTCCTGCCTCCCTTCACCACACAGTCAGCTCCAGAATTGTCTTGAAGCAGCTGCTTCGCCCAGGCACTCCTAGGGGCCATGGACCTTTCTCCTCGGAGGGGAGGCACTAGCTTCAGTGCCGGCTGGACAGTGTTTGCAGACCTGCTGCTCTTTGGCGGTGATGATATGACTTGCTCCTTGTCCACAGCTTGAGGCTGATGTTGTTTCGAAGGCGAAGGTCTCCACGCTTTGAATCCAGGTCGACATGCCTCTCCTGTAACACGATCTGTGCGCGCTGGTTCCGTTACTTGTATCCTTGGTCCTGCTGGGGATGCTGACAGCACTCCATATCCCTTCAGCAAATGAGATTCTGCATTGCCTTCTGCATACCCTGCTTCTGGAACTTTCCAGGAAGCTGCATCCTTTGCCTGACCAGAGGTCAAGTCATGAGGACGTGGAATGTGGCCTTCTTGGCTCCATGGAGCGTTCAGATCCAGAACCACGACTGGCTCTGGGTCTGTGCAAAGATCCATGGGAAGCAGGTTGGCAGATGCTGCTGAAGAATCGTCTTGCCTCTGTCCCATGCCGTGATGCGATACGGCAAGCCCATGCCTTGCGATGTTGTTTTGCGGAACAGGCAACACTGCGATGTTGTCATGATGTAACATTGCCTCGTGATGCGACATTCCATTGGAATGCGGAACCACGCAAGCGTGGTGACGCATCGTGACTTCTTGCAGTGCCGCGTGCCTCCCATGGTGATGCAAACCGGCTTCCCTGAGGGCCGTTTCGAACAACGGATACGAGCACATGATTTCGTTGCTGATACCAGCGGTAAATCTCATCAAGCTCGATTTCTTGGAGGTAGGGCTGATGCCGTTTGGACTCAAGGCGTTGCTCCGATCGCTCATGCTTCCGCAGCAACCAGCGCGTTCGTCGAGTAGGGCGATAATCTCCACTTCTTCTTTCCGAGGTTCCCACGGATAACAACAAGGGCTTGACGATGATGCGCTGACGAAACTCATGCGGAGAGCCGTGCCAGGTGGGAGACGAGAGGTACTTGGTAAGTCTAGACCGTACAAGAAAGTGTGTAATTGCAACCAGAAGTATCACAGGCCAGGAAAGAGATCAGTTACTCTGATCGGACATGGACGATGGACAGAAATAAGGGAGACAGGACTGAAGGCTGTGGCTGTTAGCGTCGATTGGGAACGGGTGATAAACGAGGCGATTGCTAAACGGCTGGATCCCACCCATGTATATCGCTCTTCCGTCAGACCTAGATCAAGACACAGCCGTCTTCGGAACATAGCGAAACCGTTGGCTTCCACTAGGGATCCACGCACCATGGAGTATCTGAACGAGAAAATGCCGGTGAGGCTTTGTCGCGACGAATATTGGAATCTACGATCTGACGCTTTGATTGTCGCTTTGAGATGGCATCTCCATGACGATTGCGCGAGACTGTGCTGTGTCATTTGGCACATGGGATTTTCAAATAAAAAGACGGTGAGCTTGGCGCTCGCGTGACTCCCCATAGGCGCTGAGGCGAAAGGCGTTCGACAGCCGCGCCTGGAGTGAGTATTGCCACACGACAGCGAGCTAGGGAGATTTGGTTGGAAGAAATTTCACTGACTAAAGCGATCAGACTTTCTGAATGTTCCTAAAGCGAATCTGCTCGGATGCTTGATCTAACTCCTCCTAATCGTCGGATAGAGACGAATGCAAGCCCTATTTTCTCGCCACGGAAACGGACTGGCGCACATGGCGTTTGGGACAGCGCGGGTCGCTCGAAACGAAAGAGGACAATATCTATTGATAAGCTTGCGCCAAAACAGCACCGCCTTAATCTCCACGCAGTGGTGTCAGTATCTTCACTTACCCCTCCGTCCCTCATCTTCCATGACGCTGAAACGGAGGATCAAGTTGGAACCTTTCACATTCTTCTTGGAGTGGGTTTGGACACGATTCCTTCGGGTTCCAACGGGCAAAAAGTGGGAACGTATAGGTGCAGTACGGTAGCAACTCGATCGCGACCTGATCCAGATCGTACTCCGATGTCAATAGGCACGTGAACGATGCACCAGTTTCTGGTCTGGATGGCATTGGGCACGTGAAGGATGGTGAGGATGGATGCTGGCGGTGGATTTTGACACTGTTGACACTGCCATGCTTCCTTCTGCTGCTGTGGTATCACCTGTCTCCTGTATGTTTTGCAGCCTCTAACGAGGATAAACGTTCTTGAACTGAAGGGTCACCGCCATTTTAGGCCAATCGCGAGGCAAATATCTATATGGTAACCATATTCCTCGCGTGTATACATTGTACAACTATTTTCTATAGTGCATCTCTATATTTCAGACCCCGCACTCATCAACATTATACCGTATGTCATCGTTCACTCATATGAATTGGTGTTTGAGAACAAAATTAGAACCTGGTACTACAATTACAACAGCAGAACACCGCATGCCCGATATAGGCTCGCGACAAAAAGAATAGCCCCCTTCCCACCCTCCCTCCTAGCTACACATTACCCTTGCCCCCTTCCAAATTCAACTAAGCCAGCTCCCCTTCAAACAGCTGGCAGACTCCTTGGCCTTGCCACACGCCACGGGCTACCCGCTGCATTTGGTGAAATCACCCCCTTAGGACTTGCCCGGCGGGGGCTAGGCTGGCAAGGCTTCTGGTTACCACTAACCGGGGCTCTGGATGTCGCACCGCAAGGCTGTGGCACCTGGTTACAGTCCCCATCCATGGTCACAACAACTCGCACAGCGTCACCAGCGTTCATGCTGGCGTTGGCATTCGGGGAAGTGGAGATCGGCCTTCCCTTGAACGCACCCTCTTCGAGGGTCCCTGCGCTTTCACTCCTTTGGAAGCGCTGTGGCCCCATTGCGTTATTAGCAGTGCTCCCAATACCCCCGATAGAAGCACAAACTTGCCCCCCTAAGCCCGCCCGCATATCCTCAGCGCAAAAGCCCGCCATGTCATGAAGATCGAGCACTGGCCGCAGCGCTGCAACCACCTCGGACATTTTCGGGCGACGCTTGGCTTTCTTCTGCAGGCACTCTTTGACGATAGCGGCGACCATTTGTGCGCCACGAGCGGAGTACCGGCCGCGAAGGGCGGGGTCCATTATGCGGTAGAGCGTGGAGGGTGCGGAGAGTAAGGGAGAAGCCCACTCAACGAGGCTCTGCTCCTCTCGTGGTCTGGAGAAACAACAGAATCCAAACAATAGAAAGCAGATTAGGCAATGACATTATGAGTATTGGAAAAGAAGGATTCAGAAAACATAAGTGTAAAGCGGGGAACTCAGCAAGGGGTTATGGAATTTGAAAGTTGGGATTTGAAAGTACCTTTCTTTGTCCAGTGCCAGCCTTCCCGTCATCAGCTCCAGCAGCACCACACCGAACCCGTACACGTCACTCTTCGTTGTAAGGTGCCCCGTTAACACATACTCGGGCGCCGCATACCCCACAGTCCCCACCACCCGCGTTGACACATGAGTCTTCTCCCCGTCAGGCCCTTCCCTCGCCATACCGAAATCCGAGAGCTTCACTTCAAGATCATTCGTTAATAGAATATTTGACGTCTTGAAATCGCGATAGATGACCTGATGCTCCGCCTCCTCATGCAGATACGCCAACCCCGCCGCCGCGCCATACGCAATCTTCAACCGTTGGTGCCACGTCAGCGGGTTTGCCAGCGCATCCTCCCCGAAAAGCAAAAACTCGAGCGAACCCCGGGGAAGGTACTCGTACACTAACAGCCGTTGATCCTCCTCGGCGCAATATCCAATCAGACACACCAGATTAGGGTGTTCCAGGAGCCCCAGAAAGCTAACCTCCGTCAACCACTCCCGCTCCCCCTGATGCCCGCACGTGTCCAGCACTTTTACGGCAACTGGGATTTTCCGGCCGCTCCGTGTGGGAAGGTAACCTTTGAAAACCGACCCGAACCCACCCTCGCCGAGAAACCCCTCGATATCGAAATTTCTCGTCATTTCTTCCACTTGCGCGTATGTGAAGGGAATCGGGCCGGCCATCGTACGTTCGGGTAGACCGTCTTGTGTGGGCTGGTAACCAGGTAACGGCTCGCGGACTTCGCATGGCGTTGACGAAAACTGGTTGTGCGAGTTGGAGCGTGGCGAAAATTCGCTAGAGGGTTCGCAGATGGGCATCAATACGCTGGCGTGGTGGTGCATGCCAGACATGATTGGCGAATTCGCGAGTTCTGGTAACGACTTGGTCTTCTCCAGCTGGTTTGTGGGACTTATAGCGGGGTCCACTGTAACGGGTGTGACTTTCCGGATCGGTTCTGCTGCGGCTGCGCTTTTACTCTTCACGATCTGACGATCCGCTGACTCTGCTCCGTTGATCTCAGTCGAAATTGACGGCGACGATGCGATGCTGGATGAGCTGGCAGGGCTACACGTGGAACTCGACCCTCCTGACGTGGCAGGGCGGAGCCAGCTGGACGATCGCCTGGATGTCGCCGACGACGCCTTTTTCCTGCTGCGAGGGCTCTGCGACGCACCGCTAGAACCGCTAGAAGCCGCTTTAGTCGACGCGGCAGGGGAGGCGATTCCCTTGGGGCTAGGTAGCAGCTGCGGCTTCCCGCCAAAAGCGGCGGCAGATGCGCTGGCGGAGTCTTTCGAGGGATACGCTGGCGGAGTGGACGGCGCGGATCGCGGGCTGGTTGAGGCGGAAAGCGCGCGCGCGCGCACCTTGGTCATGGGCGCGGACTCGGAGCGGGAAAGGAAGCTTCCGCGCGGCTTCGTGGTCACCGGGGATTTGCATGCGGCTGCTGCGCCCGCTGATCTGCTCACGCGGGAGGGCTGCGGGGAGTGGGGTGAGTCGGGGCCGTCGCGCTCCGGGGAGACCTCCCGAGAGCTGAACCCGAAGCAGCCCATGGTAATGGAGAGTGGTTTGATTCGGTCTGGGCCGGTATTCTCGGATCTGGGACGGCTGCGGGAAGGCGTGATCTGCGTCAGTCTTGGCCGGTTGAAAGACGCTGAAGGCTCAAAAGCGGTAGTACGTAAAGGCCTTGAAGGTCTTGGGAATCGCTTGGGAGAATTGAAGTTAGATTTCGTGCACGTTGGGTTCGGATAGAAGAGCTGCTGATTGCTATGGCAGGCTTGGCTGGAAGATGGGAAGACCTAAGAGCCGACTAGAACATTTATGCGAGTCCAGCAACTGAGATGGGAAGGTACGTGTGTGACATCGGCGGAGGGTTGCGATGGCCGTCAGATCAGGGGAGGGGGAAGGAATAGGACGAAGAGGGGGAGGAGGAGGCGAAGTGAGCAGATGTGAGAGCAGGCGAAGCAGCGTGGTTGCCGGGATGAGGAGAGAAAGAGGTCGGGGTTCGGGAGACGGAGAGGCGGACTGAGGGAGTGATAAAGGAGAGAGAAGGGGAACGGCCACGGGGAATTGGAACTCGTTGCGTTGGCACGGGGGAACTGTGGTGGCTTTGCTGCGTTGTCGCATTGAAATTGGATCCATCGAAAATAAGTACCAACTGAAGCGCCGTCGGTGGTGGTGCTGCTGCTGCGCTGCTGCTGCCGACGTAGTCTGCAATGGAAGAAATTATCCCACGACTTCTTTTCGACCAATGGGAGCGGGGAGAGGAAACGAGTGCCTTGACTTGGGAACACGCCATCGCCTCACGTAAATCGGACGTTGGTTGGTTAGGTTACTCGCCCTCGTGCAGGCCAATTCGTACGTCGGTGTTCCATGATTGGAAACGAATAAAACCTGCGAAGTTCCGCGCGAATGCTTCTGGCGAGTAGGATGCTGTCCGCTTCTATCGCGTACAAGGACAGCCGTCATTGCGTCACCTGACTCTTGGCTGCCATGGCAACTGTTTCGTCCACTCTCTATTATCCCAGGCAACCGAAGCGCGGAAAACCCCGGAATGCCAAGAGGCACACGGCCGCGGCTCGGCGAGCAGCCAGCCAGCAGCAGCCATCGGCAAGAAGGGCATGGAAAATATCGTATTCACTGGGCCTAGTCATTAATTACCCGATACTACCGAGTCGAACCTCCTTCCCCTACGTGTTTCTGAGCAACCACGTGGCTTGCTATATGCGTGCTGCTGTGCTGCTGTTCTAGCTCTGCTGCTATGCTGCCTTGCTACTAGGACCTGCCATGGAAACTGTGAGCGAGAGTTGTACAGCATAGCGGGTTGCGGGAACAGACGGACCGTCGCCACGATTCGCGACTGTGGTGGTGTGCTGCGAAGGTCTAGGGAAATCAGTGGAGGGAGGGACGGACCAATCAGTGACAGAAGACTCGAACGGTCGAAAAAGTTGCGTCCGCTACATTGCAAATCCCCTACTTCATTGTGTTTATGTTTTCAGAAAGGTTGCATGCATAACAAGTTGCAGTAAGTGAGAAACTTCCGTGGATACCTTTTTTTACGGCTCAATGTAGGCCTGTGAAATAAAATGCTATTATTGTTATGAGTTTGTTTTTTTGGATTTCAAGCATGGATTCTGACTAGTAGCGAACACCAGTCGAGGTTTGTGTTGGTAGTGCTAGCGAAGAGGAGTTCTTGGTGCTATGTTTCTGTATTAATGCTCCATTATGTGCAGGGTGTACCGTTCTGTTTCTCATGGACCAACAACGGGTAGGACCGGGAAAATGATTGCGACACTCAAGTCACAGTAATCTGTGTGGCCTGACAGGTGTGTGCGTTGTCATTTGATGATTGCGAAGGTTTCACGTGTGGGGAGGAGCCCAACCACACAGCCATTGGACAATAGCCAGTGGTTGGCCTGCCGCGCCAGACGCCACACCAATCAGAAAGCAAAGCCTCTCTCACCTCTCTCCTCCTTACCTCACCACCGCCTCTTGCTGATGCCTGTGCCATATGACAGAGCCCTAACCGAACCGAAGGCATCAGTTTTGCTCGAGTCGGACCTACCGATGTGGTCAGGGTTTGGGGTTCGGCGTCGGGCCTTGTGTGAGTTCCATCAGAAACTTGCGGCGGGTGATTTTGCGTGCGTGTCCGTCCACCACTGGAACGTCAAATTCCACAGGTCGGAAACGGAAACCCCGGTAAAAACTCCACTCATCCCCATCAAGCGCCATGTTTCCTGCAGATGTTCTCCCATAAATCTTGCTACCAGCTGCAGTACGAAATTTTGTTCGTGGAAATTGGGCAAATTCAGCCAAATCAATTCCTAAGTACAGAGCAAGTCTCGTCGGTGGGCAGGGATGAGCTGTGGGGATTTGGGATCTCCGGTCTGGTGTAAAGGGTATCAATCGCAAAACCCAACCTTTCATCCAACATCACATTCGCTAGAATCAAAACGGGGAGTTGCGTGCGTGCAACCAACCACGGGGTTGTTTGACGTTTCAGCCGCCTCCTCCACCCCCGCACTGCAGGGTCCGCGAGATGAGGTTTTCAGGATTGCCTCCCTCCCTGGTCAGCATGATCGCCTCGTCAATTTCTTCTACAGTCAGAGAAGAACCAAGCTTTCTCCCTGCCTCTCTCCCCTCCCACTTGGTTTTTACTCCAGCTCTTCCCCGCTGTCTGTTCCCTAGCTTTTGTCAATCTTCCTCTCTTGTTCAGCCTTCGATTTCTCCGCTTCAAGCAGTCAGCGATTTCCGACGTTCGAAGGGCGTTCGAAGCGCTTTCTAAGTTTGCATTCTTAGCTTTCCGTTGTATACGTTGTAGTTTTTAGTCCCACGCGATCCAGTTTTCCGTTTCAGAGGTAAATACCTGTTGGCATTAGTCAGGTTGCGCTGTCACGCGATTCGAGACCAAGTTCGCAATACCCAACATTTCTGCTATTTGTGGGAGGAATACTAGTTGTCGTAATACACGCCATGGCAACAATGTCACCTCCTCCGCCTGTTCCTGATTCCAATTCCGGCTCGTCCGATCTTCCCCCGGGCGCCTTTATCGCCTCTATCACCGCCGCGTTTCTCGCCTTCGTCGGTCTTTTCCTGTGCCTGGTTTTCGCTCGCTGGTTTATTGCTCCAGAGCCAGAACAGGAGGATGACAGGAATAACCAGCGGCGGAGACTTTACGGCTTGGATAAAGATCTAGTCAAGAGCTTTCCAACCTTTGTTTTTGCTCCTGAGCAAGCCAAGGAGAGCGACTGTGTCAGTTACCGCCAGTGCTGCATCTGCTTACAAGACTACGAACCAGGCGACGAAATCAAATCTCTTCCGGTTTGCGGTCACAGGTTCCACGACTCGTGTATCGATATGTGGCTGGAAGGGAAGAGAACTTGTCCGGTGTGCCGGGCGAATCTCAGACCCAAACCAACTGCCGACAGCGGAGCAAAGTCGTCGGCGGACGGCGAACACGAGGAAGCAGATGTCGCGATTGTCATCGGTCAACCTTGCGACAGCAACGGACAGTGCAACCCAACTGTGTGCAACAGCGGCGATTGTTGTGACGAAACGTCAAGAAGCGTGGAAGAAAGCAGTCTCTCAGCTACTCACACGATTTCGCTCGAGCGAATTTCGACCGCAAGTACGCCGTTAGTGCACCCGTCCCAAACGGTAGGCTCATGCGAGCCCTTGGAGCAGTATGCTGATCGGAATTCGGTACCTTGAAGTAACAAGTATGGTGCTCTCCGCTGATTCAAAGAAGCAGAGTGGGAGAAGCCGCGGTGCGGATCGAGCAGCGGATGAATAATTCTCACGGAGGAGGTGTGCCTGCAGTCAGCCAAGAAGGCGCTTGAGGGTACTATTGACACGGTCTTTGTTGAGCTGGAAATAGCATCGCCAAGCAGTTGGTGCAGGTGAGCAGCCATGCAGCCTCTTCATATATGCCAAGGCTGAGTCGTGGCTGGTGTACAGTCAAGTGAAAGAGAAAAGGTTTCCAGGAAGCAGTTTCATTTAGTGCCCAGGGTGCTACTTCTAGGTTCTTGCGCACCTTCTCACGATGCCCCAATAGAAGCAGCAGCAGCAGCATCAAGACCTCCACGACTGGGTGTGGGTCTGGTTTTGGAAGTTGGTCGTTTTCTCATCTGTAATGTTGATTCTCTTAGTGGGCAACATCTTGTTGCTTCCTATGTTATGTAATTCATTCTGTGATTCAACCGTGTAGAATTTGCATATTTTATCGTCACTCGTTATTGGCTGATGCGCTTACGCAACCCTGGCAGCTTATCAGCCAATAGCGAGCGACGATTTTGGTGCGCATTTCCAAACCACATCAGTTTCGTGTGATGGGTTGGTTCGGGTTGCGTTCCAAAGCGGTAAGCAAGCCACCCATCCGTGCCCACACCACACAGAGTCAAAACCAGCACTGCTCGGCCGCTCCCTCCCAGCCGTCCATGCTCAACCGTTTTCCCCCAGCCGCCATGCCCCCCATGCCCCATTTTCACGGCAGTGCGTCTTGGCGCTGGCCTGAACTAACTGTGGCTGTATCAGTATCTTCACCTACCTCAGTCCGAATTCCAGAACCTTTCCCGTGCTTTCATTCCCGCAGGAGCGACTATATATGCAGCGCTCTGCTGTTCCCGTATAGATTTATATTGAAATTTGTTATTTCTCTCGGCGACGCGTGACTAATGCCAGGCCATTTCTTGGACGCCGCGAAATTTATCTGTCCGACAATCATTCCGTTAACAAGATTTCATCTGGATTACTGGTGAGAATGTCGTCCGCTGCTGCCAACATAACCCGCAACTACGGCCTCGACGCGTCATCGACGAGCATCATCGTCACCATCTCCGCCATTCTCCTCGTCCTCGTCTCCTTCGCCTTCTGTTTGTCCTTCGTGCGGAACCGAGCCTTTGCCCGCCGTCGCCGGTCGAATCTGGCGCTCGAAAATGGCGGCGCCGCACGCGGGAGGCCGGGAACGCGGGGATTGGATGAGGAGCTCGTTAGGTCTTTCCCCACGTTCATATTCTCCCCGGAAGCGGCGGAGAGCGGTCGATTCGTGGCGAATGGCGGCGTAAAGTGGGGAATACCAGGAGAGGACGGCGGAGGAGATAAGGAGGGCGGAGATTCACTACCAAATTGGGGGGAAGAAGGGGGATTCCGCGAGTGCGCGGTGTGCTTGGCGGAGTACGTTTCCGCGGACATGCTGAAATTGCTCCCCCCTTGCGGGCACGTGTTCCACGTGGACTGCATCGACACGTGGCTTCAAGGAAAATCGACCTGCCCGATATGCCGCCGAGAGATAGGTCAGAATGCTGACGTCAAGGAAGGAGATTCAGAGGGAGGAGGCGCAGCGGGAGATGGAGGAGAGCAAAGCGAGAGGGGGGAGCAAGGGGAGAGCAGCACTGGGGGAGGTGTAGCGAGTCTGGAAGCCGACCGAGAGGAGTTAGGGCAGCAGGCAGTGACGGAGAGTGCAGATAGGGTTCCAGCTGAGCAGAGGTCTGCGTCTTCAGTAAACCCTGAGGGAGAGTTGCCCTCAGTGTGGGTTCGACTGAGGTCATTGTGGTCGAGAGCTCCTGCGAATCCTCCCAGTGTAGATGGTCGCACTCCCGAATCTGTTCCTGTGGGGCTGTCTCCATCTGCCGTGGTGCTTATACCGCCCTCTGGTGTATCGTAGAAGCCATGGAGAGGTGTGGCACGGGCACGAGTTCTGCCTCGGGTGCTGAATGCATGGTTCTGATATTCCAAGGTTGGAAGCACGCGGGTGGAGATGCGAAGCCTGATGGCGCTGCACACGCAAACGGCCGAAGGACGCTGTTGCAGAAGGGCTTGTCAAAGGTGCAAAATTTGTGGGTGAGTGTAGACCTGTAAATATTGCACGAGGTGATGTGTTGGAATTTACACTAGTGTGATTTGGTGGTTTGCTTTCTTGGAGTTGGGCCCATCATTATAGCCTAGACATTGACACGACATGGTGGGATGGTGTGACCATTAAGACTGTTGCACTTGCATACAACAAGCTCCACCATTAGAAACTGCAAGCATGCGATATGATGTATTCAAAGCGGTGATCTGTCATGTGAAATATGGTTTGCTTTGTCTTTCGATAGGTGGGGTGATGTGTCATGTGAGTTGTGGTTTGATTTGTGGCGCTGCCCGTCAACATAGATCCATCAGTGTTGCATCCTCCTAACAGAATGTGACCGCAGGGCTAACAGAATGGAAGAGGGCAGGTGATTTGAAGGTTTTTCATATCATTGGTTGGCAAACCATCTTGCACTATGAGAAGTCATTGCTCAGCTTATTCTAGTCAATGCTTCTACACTGCTGCATATGCATTGTCATTAGCGGGTTTCTAATGGGCCAGGCAGATGGCAAGGATGCGGATTCTCACCACAGCCCATCCCCACCATCCTGCCTTGTCCTGTGCTCTTAGTGGGAGGTGAGGTGAGGTGGGGTGGGGTGAGGCGAGGTGAGGTCATCTCGAGCTGATATCCCTCGCGGACAGCTGGCATATTCTTGTTCCACCAGCGCCTGCAGGGGGTTGTGTGATGTTCGGCAGGCGATACCTGAGGAGACCAACGCTTGCGTGGCTCCATCTGTATCGTCCATCCGCTTGACTTCTGTCCGCTTGCTTGTTCGTTGAGTGAGTTCTGATTTGCCAGGATCCACATCAGCACGACAGCTCCTCTTACGGGGCAGGGCCTGCCTTCCGCCCTGATTTTTACGGGACAGATTGATTTGAACACTGTACTGTACATGTTCATCACGGAGAGCTCTGGTTGTGATTGGTTGGGTGAGGTCCCATATCTGCCCGTCAGCTGCCTCCAGTTGCCTCTCATCTGCCACCCTTACGGGGCAGGGCCTGCCTTCCGCCCTGATTTTTACGGGACAGATTGATTTGAACACTGTACTGTACATGTTCATCACGGAGAGCTCTGGTTGTGATTGGTTGGGTGAGGTCCCATATCTGCCCGTCAGCTGCCTCCAGTTGCCTCTCATCTGCCACCTGCCCAGCAACAGTCCGTTCGATCTTTTTATCCTCGCTCAAACTGGCCAACCTGGTCCATCGATTGTGATACGCAAGTAACCCGATGGCGCACTTCCAGCCATCCATCCGCATCAGTTCCTTTCGCGATTCCCGCGTTTCAGCTTCCTCCTGGTGTTGGGCTGTTCGTGCATCCCAAGGCCGCAGAGCCACTCATTGTTGTGGCAGCGCAATCAGTTTGCAGGAGGAATCAGAGGACTCAGGAATCAGCAATGCGGAATCAGGAGCAGCAGCATTGTAAAACGTGAAATGGAATGTAACGCGTCAGCCAGTCATCAATGCACAGAAAATAGTCGTGTGTCATCAGCCATCCATGCGCAGAAAATAGTCGTCTGTCAGTCGTGAACGTTGTCATCCTTGCAGTCTTTTAAACGAGTAGTTTAGCTGTGGTCCTTTCACTCAGGTGGTGGCCTTTTGCTTGTCAGACGGAGTGGTGAATTCCTTACATAACGTTGCTGAAGAACGCATAAGCGCCTACTCAACACAACAACAGGATCAGGCATCCCGGACTCCGTAGACGCTTCCATTAGGTCACTGACTATTTATTTCTGAGCACTAGCGACGCCAATAGCTCAGTTTCATGCAGACTTATTGATCAAGACCCGTTTTCCGCGAGAAGGTGATATCCAAGCACCACTATTGAGCGTCGTGATTGAAGCGTGCGAACATGTCTATACCAATGGAAGACGTCGTTGCGTGTTTGGGATTCACGCAGACGGATAACCCGCTAACTCGCGCCAAAGATCATCCCAAGGTTCGCAACTTGTTCATACGTTCCAGGCGATAGCCTCTTACGTCTTCCAGATGCTCTCTTCGCGGTTTACTCTACAGCGCGTGTTACGTTTCGCGTTTGATAACATGCAGCGCGTGTTACAGATTTTTTCTGGCTGTAAATTTCAATCACTTACAGCCTCATGACTGACAATAATGTCCCGCCATTCCTCAGATCGCACACGCGTTGGCGGAACTAGCCGTGGAGCAAGGGCCTGATTCCATCACAGCTTCGCAAAAGGAAGCTGCGGAACAGGTGTGAATAAGAGACTCGTCGCACTGTGAAATGCTCACATTCAGCTGTTTTCGAAATTTCGAACGTCGCCTTATCGGTCGGTTGTTGGAATGCGGCGGCTTTGGATTTGATCGCAGCATCGCACGAGGGAGCCGCCGAACATATGTGAATGCGACCTGAAAGCCTTTGGTCAATGGTGGATGAACTGTAGTGAACAATAAAATTATAACAGAAGGAAATTGCCCAAGAAACGGACGATAGTAGGGGGAAAGCAAGCAATTCTGGTCAGGCGTGAAAACTTCCCTCATACTCCTTCTTCTCTCCCCCATTTCCCCCCTCGACCCGCTTCGCCTCCCAAACACCCCCTCCCCGATTCGCCCCCCTTCTCCCCCCATTTCCCGCAGCTGATGGGCCTGGTGGTGGCGGAAGGAGCGGAGGACCAGGCACTGGCGGAAGCAGCGGCGCAGCTGCTGGCGATGACGGCAGCGGACGACAAGAAGAATCCGCATCTCATGCACGTGGACCGATGGGTCTCCACGTGCTGCGGCGTGCTCAGTGAGTGATTGATATGGCTGTGTGAATGCTTGTTTGTTGCAAATGACATTACAGATAGAATTCGCACCTGATGCACGTGGACCGAAGGGTCTCCACGTGCTGCAGTGCGGAGTATTAAGTGAGTCATAAGTGGTGTCGCTACAGGATGTTAATCCTTCAAACGCTGGAAGTTTGAGAATGACAGGGCCAGATATGTGAGGAGGCAACTCAACTCGCTCTTCCTTTTGCTTTCTACCACTCCCCATTGCTCCCCCTCCCCCTCCCCTACTCCTTTCCCTTCGCCCTCCCCCAATCTTTCCCCCTCTCCTCCCTCTCCTCCCTCTCCTTTGACCTCTACCCTTCCCCTTCCCCCTCTCCCTCCCGCTCCCCCTTCATCTCTCCCCTCCACCCTCCTCCCCCTCCCCCTCCCCTTTCCCCTCCCTCTCCTCCTTCCCCTCTGTCTCTTCCCCTCCTCTCCCCTCCGCTCGCCCCTCCTCCTCCCCTCCCCTCCTCCACAGAGCGATGCAAGGCAGCGAGCGATAGCAAGAGGCGGAAGAGCATCTCACAAGCTGACGCCGCCAAAGCGGACACAGCAACAGCGGCAGTAGCAGGAGGAGACACAGGGGGAACGGAGGAGGCAGTGAGCGAGGCGCTGCTGGTGTGCATGGCGAGCTGTCTGGCGGACCTGATGAACAACCCGCGCAGCACCATCGTGTGCAGCACGCGCGCGCAGGAGATCTTCCAGTGCCTGCAGCCCGTGCTGCTGCTCCCGCGCGTCTCCAACCGCCTCCTCTACTTCCAGGTCTGCTGAGCGGACTCCGAGGTTTTGATTTCATTCTAAGTTGTTGTTTTGATTCGCCTGTCCACCTGTCCGCTACTGATACTGGCTGCTCCCGCGCGTCTCCAATCGCCTGCTCTACCTCTAGGTCTGCCGGGCCATCTCCGAGGTGCTGCATCCGTCCACGTGGCCCATGAACCAATCCGCTGCCGTTCCCAAGCGCCTGCTGGAGCGGTTGATTGATCTCATCACTCCGGTTAAAGCGTCCAGTGCTGGTGGTGTGAAAGGTGCTGATGGGTCGGGTGATAAGGATGCTGGTGGGAATGAAGCGGATGCGACTGCTGCTGCTGCTGCTGGTGCTGTTCAGAATGTCGCTGAGAATGGGGTAGGGGGGGAGCGTGAGACAGAGGCCACGGAACCCGCCCTGGCAAACGGCACAGCTGCTGCAGACGCAGAGGTCGCCAAAGCAGCAGGGGCAGAGGCAACAAAAGCGGCAGCGGCAGCAGGGGAGCAGGAGGGCGGCGGCAGCGAGGGCAGCAGCAGCGAGGGCGACTTAACCGAGTCGTTGATCCACATGCAGGCGTGCAAGGCGCTGCTCGTGATGGCCACGAACGGCGCAGCGGATCTGATCGTGCAGCACGTGCCCGGGGTGATAGGTGCTCTGGAGCGGCTCAGGCAGGAATCGGGCGTGGAGGAGGCTGTCGTTCAGGCTGACGCCGCGCTCATGGCTCTCTGGCTGTCCCCCAAAGGATACGCTCTCACCAACCCCGAGGTATGGATATGAGCACTTTGATTCTCCCTCCATGTGTCAAGGTGAGTGTAGTAGAGAACCTCCAGACATGGTGGATAACCACCAGGACGCCAGCCTGGCGGTGGCAACTCACGTCACGTTCCATCCTCCCTGTTCCAGTCCTCTTTCCCCTGTCCTGTACCAAATCCCATCCTTCTTCTTCCTTCATTCTCCAGCTGCGCCCAGTTGTAGCAGCGCACCTGCTGAGGGTGCTGGGCTCAACTGACCTGGTGGATAACCACCAGGACGTCAGCCTGGCACTGGCAACTCACGCAGTGTCGCATTCCCCCTTTTCCCCCATTCCCGTCCTCTTCCCCTGCCCTGTTCCAACTTCCCTTGTCCTTTATTCCCTCTGCAGCTGCGCCCGGTGGTAGCAGCACACCTGCTGCGGGTGCTGGGCTCGCCAGATCTGGTGGATAACCACCAGGACGTCAGCCTGGCTCTGGTGACGTCAACCATCAACCCCGACGCCGCCACGCGGGCCAGCATGCTCCAGCTGTACGCGGGACTGCTGAGTCAGCAGCTGGAGCTCACGCACATCCTGATTGGCCACGTGGACGACACTGACAGCCTGGCACACCAGGTGGGGGGAGGAGGAACCGGGGAGTGGGGAGGGGAAGTGGATGAAGGGAGGAGGTTGGGGGGAGCATGAGGGGAAGGGAAGGGGGGGAGATGAGGGGAGGGGTCGGGAGTGGATGAGAGAGGAGGGATGGAAATAGGACGAGGATACGTTGGTTGATGAAAAACGGATTATTTAAAGTGAATGGACGATGCTCAAAGTGATAGCCTTATCTTCCCACTCACACTTCCCCCCCCCCCCATTCCCCCCAACACACTCTCTCCTTAAACTCACTCCCATTCCTCCTATTCTACCCGCCCCATGAGAGTGTGGTGTATTTCATGCTCGTGCCGCTTACTTCTGAATCCGAACACAAATTGCAACACCTTCACATCCCTCACTCCACACTCGTCCCCCTTGCTCCCTCCTACCCTCATCTACTCTAGCCACCCCATAAGAATATGGTGCACTTTGTGCTGTACACGTGTTAGATGAATTCAATTCTCCCTTGCTCCCCAGTCCCCCACTACTCCCCTTACTTCCCACTCCCTTTAGTTCTCCCTTATCCCCTCATTATCGTGCTCACTTGCGCCCATCCCACTCTCACCCTTTTCCTCTTCAGAGCGTGGTATACTTCGTGTTGCACACATGCGAGTCAGAGGACTGTGCCAAGGCCTTCACAGCCAACCAGGCCGACTGTGAGGCACTCGTGGCAGCGCTGGTGGTGGCAGCACAGGCAGAGAACCACTATGCGCCCATCGCTGTCCTTGTCCGCCTGGCTAGCCGACCTAGCACCAGGTGAGTAGTGCAGATTGTGGGCTTGTTTTGTGCTGTGTGTACGTGTGTATGCAAGGGGTTTTCAGTGAGGCGCTAGTGGCAGCGCTGGTGGTGGCAGCGCAGGCAAAGAACCACTACGCGCCCATCGCTGTGCTTGTCCGCCTGGCTAGCCGACCTAGCACCCGGTAAGTGGTGGGGGATGGGACGGGGCTGTTGTGTGCTGCTTTTGTGTGCGTTTGTATGCAAGGGGGTTTCTGTGCTTTTGCTGGGAGTTACTGAAGGCCGCAGCGCTGGTGGTGGCAACACAGGCAGAGAACCACTACGCGCCCATCGCTGTCCTTGTTCACATTGCCAGCAGGCCTAGCACCTGATGCAATTCCTGTGTTCTCATTTGTGCACTGATGTGTGTGCTGAATGGTAACTGTGGAAGTCATCTTACCACCCCTACATTTTCTGCCCCTCCCTCCCCTCCCCGCCCCTCTCATTTGGCTCTTCTTCCGCCTATCCCCCCCTTCTCCAGGGACCAAGTCCTCACGCACATTGACACCAGAACGCTCAATCGCTTGCGCGCCATTCCCGGGACTCGCGCTCGACGAGAGGTGAGCTTTGCTCCCATCTTCTGGCTGTTGTCTCCTGTCCCTCCATCCTTATCCAACTTTCCTGTGGCCGCTTCCCTTGATTGCTCCCTTAACCCATCCCTCCAATTCCCCACCGTTCCGTCCGGCCCACCCCACCCGCTCTCTCTTTGCCTGCAGGTCGATCAACTGGCTGCGGCATTTGCAGAGTACAAGGGAGAGAAGCCGCCAGAACGCACAGCATCAATGCCATCAGAGGAGGAGCAGTCCAAAGAGGACATTCTGAGGGACATTGTGCGCAGCCAGTCCCACAGGAGCCTCAAGTTGAGAACTGCAGGCGGAAATAGCTTTGAGGATTTGCCAGGAGCTGCTGGAAGTGTGGCGACAGGTGTTGCCAAGATCACTGTAGACGAGTCGTCAAATGTTTAAAGCGAACCTTGAGATTGTTGGTCCGACCGGAAACGGTGAAGAGAGTAACCCACTACTGATTTCCCTGTACCCTAGGGGATCTTTGTCTGGATTGGAAAGTAGGGTGCTTGGGAATGCAAGGGAGGGGAGTGATGCTTTATTGTGTGTGGTTGAGTAGGTGGTCTAATAAGGTATGTTCCTGCCACTTACTGCATGATAGTGCATGCACACAGTGGTTCAGTGCGAGAGCATGCACAGGACGGCCTAGTGTTGTTTGAAATCGTCGAGGGTTAGGTTCAGGGTTGCGTAATGCTGTGAGTTGATTGCATAATGAATATTACTATTTCGAAACATTCCTCCAACTGTTATGAGTGTCGTGACGACTACTTCTGTAGCGGGTATTCCTGAAGTACAGGCGGCGTCAAGTTGACGTCATCGCCCAACCTCGGGTTTCACGGTTTGGGCTGTCTTTCCTGTTGGAGGGCCTTACGTAGTTTTGAAAGAGAAAAGTACTCAACCATCTTGGGTTCTGAAACAAATATTTTGAACCGTAATCAACAACCTGAAACCGCACAAATCACTGCAATACACATCACAAATGCATGGAGCCCTTCTTCCTTGTGGGACTTGTAAGTGGGAAATTTCCTCCAACCCCATTTTTTGCTGCTGGTGGATTTACTGCCATGGCTTCGTGTTCCAACGCGACATCGGAAATATCGATCAGTGTAGCCTTGAGGCTCCCAACTGTTTTGACTATATTTTCGTATCAGGTTTTCCGCTTTCACGGAGCTGGTGTTGTATTCGAGGCAAGCTGGTCATGAGCTTATTCCGTCAGCCGTACCATCTGACAATTCCGATATCACGGACGAGTGTTCCTTCGCCGTTTTCAATGCAGAACCAAGGCATCAACGTTTTCCAGGACGGCGGGCTGTCACTGGTCACCTTAAAAATGGGACGTCGCCATTATCCATTCTCACATTTTACAGAAGGAGAAGCCTGTTTACCTGCTAGACTGGGTTTACTTGTCTTTCGAATTCTCCAATACATGCAGCCTTTTCCGGTCATTGCTGACTCGGCTAAGTTTGTTTCTCGTATTCAGGAATACCAAAAGGATATTTTCCAGAAAGCGCTTGGTTTGGTTGATGGGACCGGTGAGGCGACTGGGACAGACACTGCAAGGGAAATCGCAAGAATCCTCGCAGGAGAGTTCACGCGCAGGCGTTTGCCATAAGTTTCCCAAGTCGGAAGCTGTAGTTCCTTCGTCAGATAAGCCAAGCAGTGTCGCAGAGATGGAAGCCAGTAAACCGCAGCGGAAGAAGGCATCTGGCTCAACAGCAACGTCAACAGCAACAGTTCATGGCGCAAATGATAAAGGGGTACCAACAGGAGATATAAGGGCTAAGCCTGGAGATTTGATATCGCTGATTGACGCTGAAGCTCCACCTACCCCGCCACATTCTCATGGACATCCATTCCCAACGGGAGCAGCAGATTCACCCGCAACCCCTCTCAGCGTGAATTCCTCTGCATCCTCTTCAGTACCATCTTCAACGACATCTGGAGGTTTCTCTATTCCGATTTCGGGACCAGAAATTGGTGCAGGTGCTGCGGCACCGGTTCCGTCATCGGGTGATTCATCCTCGTTATTGGATCTCAACGTGGACGTATATGGAGGCATGGATCAGGTGTACCTCAAAGCAGCCGGCATGCGCAGTGATTTCACCATCACGTTTGGCGCTACAGTCAACTACCAACTTCACAAGTTCCCCCTCTATTCCAAGGTAGGAAGACCTCTAACCCCGATCAGAGTGAACAGCGGTAGGTTGTGTCCATCATTCGCTTGACCATCATTTCTGTCTCTGACCCTTCATTTTATTTTCCTATTTTCCCGTGTGTCCTTATCAGACTGACTATTTCTCCAAGCATGCTGTGGAGGAGGAAAAGAGCACTTCCAGGCGGAATTCTGGAGATCCAGAGAGCTCCGCCAATGGGAAGCGAGCCAGGCTCGACCTCTCCAATCTCCCAGGCGGAATCGAGACCTTCAAGCTTGTCGCATGCTTCTGCTATGGCGTTCCCATTACAATCACCCCTGATAACGTCACAGCTCTTTACTGTGCAGCTATTTACCTTGATATGAGAGATGACCCCCGAGCTGCCATGTGCGGTGGCCCCTATGACTGTAACCTGCTTACCCTCGCATCTCGCCACCTCACCTCGTATCTCTCTCACCCCCGGGCTGCTCTCACCGTGCTCCAATCGTGTGATGCCAGCTCAGCAATCCGGGCGAGTGCTGAGTCAGCAGGGCTGCTGCAGAGCACTGTGAACGCGGTGGCACGACTGGTGGTGAAAGAAGCGGGGAAAGGTCATGACGCTTGCGATGTCTCAGATGGTGATGCTGCTGCCACTGCTGCTGCTACTGAAGCAGACAAGGCACGCAGGGAAGAGAAGGCCAAGGATAAGGTTACAGGTGAAGGTGCAAGCGAAGTGGAGGGAAAGATAGTCTCGGTTGGCCCTGTGCCGCTGTGGCTGTCGCCGCAGCTGCTGCAGCTGACCCTCCCCACGTTCGTCCAGCTGCATGCTGCCGTGAGGTGAGCTGTGCCAATCTGTGGGAACACCAGACACCCACACCTTCTCCCCACACCACTCTTGGCCCATCATTTCCCCCACCCGTCCAACCTGAGGGTACAGTTGCTGTGCATGTATGGCCTTTGTTGGGGTTGAAGCCTCTGCCTCATTCTCTCTTTTTCCGTGCTTCTCTTCGTTTTTCCCGTTCATCAGCGCCATGGGCATGAGTGCGCTGCATCTCTGTGCTCTGCTTGAGGCCTACTGCAACACGTGGCTGCCATTCCCTGTGGTCAGTTCCTATCATTTCAGTGCTGTCAATTTAGTTCCGTTTGCAGTCGCGCAGTATGTGCTTGTGAATTCTTCCCATGGTCGTTTCAACATTTTTAGTGACCAGTCAGTCATTCACGGAGGCTTGTTCATCTATGTTTTACTTAATTCGCTTGCATTAACATTCTTCCTGACGAGATAACAGCACTAAGTTTCCTGCCTTTTTACTCTGCCTGTCTCCTCCTTCCACCAATCAGGACGTCCCGTCCACGTCCACATCACCTGCAGCCACGTCAGCAGACGCCCAGACGACCTCCACGTGGAAACCAACTCTAGAAGCAGCAGTGGCACTGCTCTTTGCACTCTCAGCCGCGACCTCCGCGTCAGGCCAGGCTGCAAGGGGGGCTGGGGGCCTGCCGTCCATTCAGCTGCTGGTGCGACTGCTGCGCCTCTGCCCTGAGGTCGATGCGAGTGAATCTGCCAAGTCGCACCTGCAAACGTAAGGAGATATTTCTATGCAAAACAGACGTTGCTCACTTGATGGCACACATTTCTGTGGTCATTGCTTCATGTCCAGTGGCTTTCTCCAGGTTACCCTCACTTCTTAACCTCCTCTGCACTACCCTCCTCTGAACTGCCCTCCTCTGCTCTGCCCTCGTTGGCAGCATGATCGGTTGTCGGATCACCGAGTGCCAAGTCGACCACCTACTCCCGCTTCCTCCATCTGAGATCCTCGCCCTTCTCGCAATCTTCACTTCAAGCACGCCTGCTACTAGCACGCCTGCTACTAGCGCCCCTGCTACAAGCACTCCTCCAGCTGGGTCTGCTGCAGCAGCTGTGGAAGGCTCAGGCGCTGCCAGCCTCTCTCAGGCTGCCTTACTTTTGGACAGTTACTTGAAGGTGCGGAATTGTTGTTTTGCAGTTACGTTGATTCCATTGCTGCTCTCATCGCTCCCTTTCCCTTGGCCCTACTTTTCTGTATTCCTTTATCAATCTTTCACTGCCCAATTCCAAATTCACAATCCCCCTGCTTTCGTCATTTTCCCTACTTTAATTTTGTCCTCGTTTCTCTTTCTTCCATTTTGTTACTACCCACCCTGGTTCAGGCCATCTCCACCTCTCCCAACAGCAGCAGCATCAGCCCTGACTCCTTCGTATCCCTTGCAACCGCACTGCCGCTCACCTGCCGCCCCTCACACGATGCTCTCTATGAGGCAGTGGCAGCCTACGTAGCAGCCAAGGGATGGGGGTTGGGGGGGTCTGGGAAAGGAGGGGAAGGCGGTGGAGGCGGAGAGAGAGGAGGCGAGGATGTTAAGCTCCTTGTTGGTCTGATTCAGCCTGAGAAACTGTCAGGTAACTTTCCTAAACCCTGGACTTTTCTGTGGTATCCTGTTTTTGACCTACCCACTCTGGAATCTTGCATCTGACTAGTTTTCCGTCCTTCTCATCCCACCCTCCATCCCCTGTCCATCAACTCATCAACCATCTTATCCCCTTTCACCTCCCAATTCCATCACGTGTCGCATCATCCCATGCTCTGCCACCCCAATCACCCCCCTGCCCCATCCTCCATCCCTTGTACCATCCATGTCGGTCAGAGCCAGTGGCAGATGCTGCGTCATCCTCCTCCCTCTGGCCGCCCTCCTTCACAGTGGCAGTGCTGACGTGGCAGAAACAGGTAGACTGACCGATTTTTGCAATGCCTACATCGCACACTCGTTTCCTCACCTGGATGCACTGTACCCCTCAAGTAAGCCTCCCTTGGTATTTGACTCTCAACTTCCCACCCACATCCTTCCTGCAAACCCATCACGCCTGTGTCCCATCTTTATTCCTCTTTGCAAACCCTTCTCAGCTACTCACAAACGAGGCACACCAGCTGGTGTCACGAGGCAGGGCACTGCAGCAGCAGAGGGAGCGGGCAGAGAGGGAGAGGGAGCAACTGCAGCGGGAGGAGCAGCAGATGCAGGCAGAGGTGGAGGAGGAGGAGGGAAAGGCTGTTGCTGTGAGGGCAGATATCCGGCAGGAGACTCACGGGCTTACTCAGGCTTTGGTGCAGGTGGGTGCAGCTTTAGTATTTCTTGGTGGCAATACACGTAGTGATTGCTCTCGGTGTTGTTGATGCATGAGGAAACATAATGTGCTCGATTCTGGCATTGCGACTTGCAAGCGCGGGGTTGGGGTTTTGCAGTGTGGTTTCCGCATGAAACTGATCTGCTAACATGTCTGCTGTTGATTACTCCATGCAGGTGCGATCAAGCATATCTGATTTGGAACGAGACCTGAGTGTAGCACTCGAATCCAAAGCGCGCCCTAAGGTATGAAACTGAACTGGAGAGACATTGAGAGTGCATCCTGTTTCTTGTACTCTATTCCCATTCTCTAACTGCTGGCGTTATAACAGGGTGGCACCACCGCCCTGTCACTACCCTCCTTCCCTATGCTCTGGTTTGTGCAGAAGCCAACATCTTTTTTCCGAAAGCTCTTTCAGCGGTCTAGCCGATGTGCAAATTAGGGCATGTTTTGTGCATTCTGTGACTTTTTGGGTGCTCATCAACATAGTTTGATTGTATGTACATAATCTTAGAAGATTCTTATACAATTCACAAACACCAAAACTGAGGAAGAGCCTCGTTAGGGAGAAGCTCGATGTGTCTCGAAAGCCCTAGAAACCGCATCCGTCTGAACATATCAATCAACGCAAAACGCAACGAATTTGAATTTTGCTTTATCAGCAGTGGAGCCGCGACTACCGCCAATGTGGCGGCCCTCTCTGGCGGATCCTTGCTCGCCGAGGCTCTGCGCATTGTCGCAGTGCTCACTTGTTTCCAACTGAAATGGCGGTATCGCCGTTCGAATATGAAGTGGCGAGCTCAAACCTTGAATCCGCGATAGGGTTTCATGAAGCAGCCTTCACACACGAGACCGCCGCAGCACGGCTCGCGCGCAGAGCAATGCGCTCCCGAACGGCCCATTCGAACACGGAATCGGAGGTAGAGGACGAGCGGCGGCTGGTTGACGCAACGGCGCGGCACCGACTCGAGCAATGCGAGCAGGAATGCGTGCCGACAGACTCTATTCTTGAAGGGTTGCGGGGAATAGTGTTATTAGCGGGAGTTCCAATAGCGGGGGTTCTCGTAGTGCTGGTCGCGGTGGTAGATCGCGTCGCGCGGTTCCACATCTCGAGCCGCCGGTCGCTTCGCGCGCGCCAGTTCGAATCCGCGGCGCTGCCGTTTTCCGCCGTGCGGTAAGAAACGGAGCTGCTGGCGTCTCTGCAGAAGACCAGATCTGCCGATGCGCAGCGCGGGATGTGCGATGAGGCGGTGCGAACGGCTGAGATTGGACGCGACGCCGGTGACGATGGGGTCGACGAGGATGTCGCGCAAGCGGAAACGGCGTGCAGCCGATCTGTTGCATGATGATCGCCAAGGTTGGAGGGCGTTGCTGCTGGCAGACCGACAGTTCTCAATCTGAGTTCGTGTGAAGAATCGCATGTAAAAGCCATTTCGTAGAACAAAAGAATCAGTAGCAGCAGATCACGGTGAGTAAAAGGAGAAATGTTCGCCCTGAATGTGCTAGGCTGGAGAGAGGAGATAGCTTGCTTGCTAGGAGCTGGACAAGGCCGCGGCTGATCAGAAAGAAGTTTGAGTGAGATGTGGGACAGGAAGTCCCTATATTGACAGCCGAGCAGCACAACACAAACCAACCAGCCCAACCGTTCAGCGGCAGTAGCTGAAGCGACGGGAAGTCCCACCAGCCATGGGATGGGATGGGATGGGGTGTCGCGGGGAAGGGGAACTTGTGGTGGTGGTGGTGGAGGGAGGGGAGGAGTCCCTTCTGGAGGGATGTGATGTTGATGTGAGGTGAGGCGAGGTCAGCGGGGGCTGGGCAGGCGATGGGAGGGAGGGGAAAGACAGGCGACCCGAGGCGAGACGAGGAGGGGCGAGGGGAAAGTAGGGGACGGAATGGAAGGGGGGGAAGAAGGGAGTGGGTATGGGAGGAGGGCGTGTCGCCGCGAGAGGTTTGGGTTGGTTTGGTGGGTGCGGGGATGTGGGGGGGAGAAGTGAGAGCGGGAAGAGGGAGACGAGACGAGACGAGAGGACGTGGAGAGAATGGCCATGCGCGCGCGGTTGGAGGTGAGGGGAACTTGTGGTTGTGGATAGGAATGATGAAGTGCGGTGCGGAGGTGCAGAGGGATGAGAACAGCGCGAACTGTATTGTATCGCGACATATTCTTCTTGGCGTGTACTACCGAACCAAACTTGAATGTTCAGATTTTGCTATCATTTGTCCCCCGAAAGTCATAAACCTCATGGTGGTCGGACGGGAACAAGACAAGGCAAAGGAATGGGGATCGCTGTCATCTCGCATCCATGTTACGTCCACAGTGCTCGGTGAATCTAATAAAGCGATCGACCATGATAGATATATTTTTGCCGAACTGCTTGTAGCCTGCCCGAAACGAGACGGGCCAGAAAGGAGACCTGCGGTGACATCAAGAAATGTTCCGTAAACAAACTCGCACAACCAGACCCGTGTTTTCGCACATTTCTGAGCTACACTACATTAACATCGACTAGGAGCTGCGGGGTCATGAGGCAAACCTGAAAATCAGAGGCTTAAGTTTTTGGATATTGTACGAAGGATCCAAATATCTGCATTTCACTTTTGTCTCTGTCAATGAAAGACAGAACGAAAAGGTTAGTGTACAGTAAACGAATGACCAACAACCACAATCACATCGAATCTAACAAACCCAAGAAAATATCTCGACTCGATATTAGAGTATTCAATGCACACAGGAGTACACAAGGAAAATTCCAGCAAAATCCGCGTTTTTACACTGGTTCTCATGTTCCAGGTTGAGACTCTCTGGCGTCTTTTGTGTCTACACTGATATATAGCTCAGTGAACGTCAATGTTACCATTTATTTACGCGTATCAACGATTGACTTTCTTATTTAATTCCTTATCAGTGGAACGATGTTTTCCAGCAAATGTACCGTATCCTATAACTGGGCATGGCGAACTTTCAGGATGCAGATGGCAAGCAATCAGGCATAAATAGGCTGGCAGGTGCTTGCGATTCACAAAAGCATCTCGCACTTCACACCAAGTCCTGCGTTTTATGGAACTGAATTTAGTAGTTTTCCCATTGTACATTGTGTCTTAGATGCTTAGGGCGCGTGTCTTTTGGTGTAGAAGTTCGGAAAATCAGTTGATTTTCAGCTGGTAACCGGCTTTGCTAATTTCGCAAATTCTTTCGCAAGAGCGCCGACTTTCTACCCTTTTCTACTACCAGACTTCGAATTCTGAACCGAGGTCAAGCTTTAGGGTCCAAAGATTCGAGCACGAAAAGCCGCTCGTGTGTCCTTCGCTCCATGCACCGGCATTTTGCGAAGTCCGCGACAGTCACCAAACCGCTTCGTGCGCACGAGGGATGTCGCGAACCGGGTCCTTACGTGGCGCACGGTCAAGTAGCCACAATCGGGTAACCTGCTTTTGCGAGAGGCGACTCGAGGGTCTCTGTAAAAGTTCAACTTCGATAGATGAACTTTTGCTGGGCAAGTGATACAGATGAAGCGAGGAACAGCGGCTCGGACAAACTGAGTCGCTATGGTCGAGCGTAGCTCGAGCTCGGTTCGAATGAATACAGTTCAACTAGAAATACGAATTTTACGATATACTGTATAAGGACACACACCCCTAGTGCTCAATAGAAGGGGCTAGCAGTTACCCATAAGTTGGTCGTCTCCAACGGCCATGCTTGCTTATGATGGGAACCCATGATAGTGAAAGAACGAATAAATAAATGAAGCCTGGCACTGACGAGGCATGGGCATCTAGGGCCCATATGCACACATGGATACATACAAGCTGGAAGTAGACAGTAACACACAGCAACAGTTACTGTTGTCCAACCTACTTGCAAGGAAACAAGCCTCTCTAGTACCGAGGCAGTGTGCGGCTGGAAGGCTCTAGTGCCCATGACTCGTGAGTGCCGTCACCCCGCAGATCATGCCTTCGTCTCCTTGTGAAAACTCTCACCACCAACACCCAACCCAACCATCCACATCCTCCCACCTCTGCATGAGAGTGTTTTTTACTGATTAATTTATACTCCACGAGCGTCACGCCAGAAGTTTGGCAGCGTGGAGCAGAAAAGCGCGCAGCTGAGTAAAGACGCGGAAGGTTGGGAACGGGACGGCGATGGTCTAAATGGGGAGTCACGAGGAGGCGAAGAATGAGCTGCGAGTACGGGCTTCGCAGAAAACGGGACGAAAAAATACCCCCCCCCAGTGGTAACCAAGTTTGAGAACGGCTAGTGCGCGTTGAAGCGGAGGAACGGCCCTGCTGCCTGCTTCCTTTACAGCGCTCCTCGACGTAGGAGCAAAATCTGCTCCTCGCTGGGGCGCTTCGTTTGAGCATTCTATGCGCGTATCTTACACATATGTAAAGGCACACAACCGCTACGGAAGGTTAGTCGCGACGGCAACGACCGGCGGTTTGTCGTGTTTTCATGCTCGGAACCGGAAAAAGCTTTTTCTTGAAGACGCTCCCGCCGCTGCCTCCTTCGCCAGCGCCAAACTCGCCGGTAATTCCGGCTCCCCCGCTTCCTGTTCGCTCATGTCCGAACCTTCCTGGTCGCTTCCTTCCGTCGGCGCGTCCTCCCATCGCTCTTCTTCCTCCTCTCCCTCATCCTCTTCGTCTGACGAAGTATCGACCTGCATGAGCTGCTTCTGCTTCTGCTGCTTCTGAGCCTGCTTCTCGCTCTTCGCGCCATTGCCTTCCCACAGACCGGGAAACGCGGAGAGCGGAACGCTCTTGTAAACGAGACGTCCGACGTAGAAGTAGAGCCGATTGCCGCAAGACGCGCCGACCTGTGCGGTGTCGACCGGGACCCAAGCCATCATATAGAACACTTTAATTCCCGTGACTTGCCGAATCCAACCGTGCTCCACCGTGCCGGTTATTTGCTGATCGTAGTGCACATTGTAGCCGTCGATCACGGCGTCGATCGGACGCTTGAGGCTGATCGAGAAGGGCCCGGTGATAGCGCCGTCGCAATGGGCGACCTCGTGCGCAGGGAGCAGCTCCGAGGGGAACCCATTGGCCTGCGGAAGGGACAGGCGGAAAATGAGGATGCGCCGGAAATGCAAGTCTCGGAATAAGATTGACTTTGTGTTGAACGAATTGTGAATGGACTGGAAGAATGCGTGTCACGGAGTGAAGGTGGAAAGAAGGAAAACTCACCTCGAGAATCTGCGTTGGAAGCTCTCCAGGCGCGTTTGCGTTGTAAGAGCATCCGGAACACGTGCAGTACGATACAGTCATTTTGACGGTGAGAGGTAGATGGCAAACTGAGTGGACGGGAGTGCGATTAAGGACGAGAATGAAAAGAACGTGGTCGGGGAGTAGAGGTCCTGGACACGATCGACTTCGTACGGTCACAACACGGAAATCACAACTTATCAACTAAGCCGTGCACTGAGAATGACGCAGAGGAACGACTCTAAGCCAGAGAGGAGCTCTGCCTGCTCTCGTCCGAAAAACTTGGCGAGTTTGAGTTGCATTGCGAGCGAGGAGACGTGAGTATTTGGAGTGATTTTTGCGACACGCGAAGAGCCGAGCCAGCCCAGCCCACGCACGAGGAACCAGAAGCGTGGGAGAGAGTGACGGGGAAGGGAGTCCGACAGACAGGGGTTCGGGGAAGCGGAAGGTGGCGGGATGGAGTGGGGATTGCGCAAGGCTTGTGAGGGAAATGGGGAAGAAGCAAGGTGTGGGCGCTGCGGTTGTGAGGAATGCGGAAGAATTGGGTGTGGGGAACGTAAGCCAATCAGGGAAGGCTCTTGCTCCAGCTGGTTTCGGCCCTCAGCATGGTTGGTCGCCTCGCCTGTTTTTCTATGCGCTTCGATAATGGATTTGTCCACTCAGGCCCTACATCTCCTGCCCACCTGTACAGTGTTTGATTGGTCCATGTTATACGCGGAGGTCTTTCCAGCTCGGTCATGATCAACCGACGAGGGGACTGCGTGACTGGATGTTGGTGGTCCACTGTAATACGGTCTGACATGACAAAAAGAGAAAACACGCTAAGCGCGCTTATGCAACAAACAACATGCATAAGCACTGAAATGCTGAAAGACGGTCGAAAATGGAATCACATTCGAATTGCTCCTTGAAAAACATTAGTTCCACATCAAACCTGGCGTGGAAAACCTGAGACCGTTGCAAGTGCGGTGTGACCAGCAGCCAGCTAGCCTACAGCCTACAACTAGCCTAGATTTGGAAAAGCCTAGCAGATGACCCATGCGATCGCTCCATACAAACTAAATTACGCTGCCCGAGTGGCAAAAAAAGAGAACATAGTCAACACTGCACAAAACTTTCGTGCTGCTTTGCGCAAAATTTTCCTCTGAAATTCAAGAAGGAAAAAAGGAGACCCCGAACAAAAGAATAATGTTGGGTGCACCACCTCCGCAAGAGCGTGGCTGAGCGAGCCGCAAGCACGATGTGCGGTGAGGTAGTTGAGGCAGTTGCTGGTGTTGAACGTGTGAACGAAATTTGGAGAAATTTCATCCGCTGTACTAATAATTCCACCAAAAAGACAGTTTCATTCTACGAGTTGTCCTGCATAAGTTTTTTTTACATTCACCTTAAAATGTTGATTGTCATTGTTGATTTGGAACTTGCTGTGCAAGTACAATTATAAATCGGTTATGCATCAAACTAGTCTAAATACTGATGACATACATACAACTCAAGGCAATAATGAGCTTCAGTGTTTCCATTAGTGCACCCTAGCTCACTTGATCTTGTACATGTCAGGCTCGAAATGTGTAGGCTTTGAAGGTTTGCCCATCTCAATCCCACAATAAGCAAAGACGAAGAGAACTGTGAAGCCAATGTAATACTCAGACTGCACAGTAGAAGGAAATAAAAAAGATGAAAGTGGAATAAGAAAGTGTAACCAGATTGAAGTGGTAAAGTTCACAGGGTCTAGGAAAAACATCTTACTGGGAGGCCAAATGCAATACCGGCGAAGAAAGCTGGAAGAAACGCCCACGCAAGTCCCTCTGCAAGTCACAAAATAATCACATGAATTAGAAGCCTGACTGAAAAGGTACAAAGTAATACACCAACCCAGGCCCTCAAACCTGCCACATCCACAAATGCACCACCCGTTGTACACCCCGCCCCCAGCCCCCCTCCCCTCCCCCCTCCTTCCCTCTTCTCTCTCCTTTTCCCCCTTCCCGACGCACTTTGTTCAGTTGAAACAGGGCCACCGGCCTCCTTTAGAGAGGCGTCGACGTTACTCCAGAACTCGCCTGACAGTTATGAAGCGCATAAAATAGAAACGAGCGGTGGAGTAAAGTTTTCGAGTCAGTTCAAGAGCGGAAAGAGGAAACAGAGGGAACCGAACACCAAAGAGGGAGGGTTGTTTATGAGCTAAGGGGGCAACCAAAGAGAGAGAAGCGAGAACGCAAGAACGCTGGGAAAGCCTTAGAGAACAAAATGTAGAAATGCCACTGAAGGCAGAAAAAGGTACTGCATTTTGCATCCATAACGCCGTGGTCTTGCTGCACACAGCACTGAGTGGTGCGCCATTGATTGTGCACTTGTTCGCATCGACGTACCATCATCGCCCTCGTGGTAAGCATGAGCACCATCCACCTTGCCGTACTTGAAGCTCCCATCCTGCACGTGGGAAAATAGAAACGATAATGGTCAGTAAACGCGACCAAATGGAATGTGAAGCGAGGATCGCTAATGCCGATTTCAATGTCGGACCGGCGGTGTACAGAGAGAATACGTGAAGGAAGTTTGGGTGGAATGTACCCGCTAATTCTGCTCTAAAAGCAATAGAGCAGTTCCGCACTATCAGATCAGCATGAATTGGACCGGCGATACTAATGTCATACGTGCGAACGTAATTTTGTAAAGCACTTGTGGATACTGTTGTACGCTGCAAGTAACGTCATGACTAACCCTAATTCCTGCTTCGCAATAAACAACTCCCGAGGTACTAAGGAGCGCACCTGCTGACTCTCCTCGCCAGCAGTCAGCCATGGCGCCCGTGACTCCTCGCTCAGGTCGGGCTCAACACCCCCAGCATTGCCAGCCATGGCGACGATTTGAAGTTTGGACACCGTGGCATTCTGACGGAAACCAGACGGCCGAGTTGTGAGAGCCACGGTGTTGCGTTGAAAGGTAGATTTGGTATCCTGGATCAACGCAAGAGAGGAAACGCCGGTGCCGGCGAGTAGCGATGTGCAAGAAGCCATGGCTGATGGCTGTTAGGCACCACACGTCACTATTTTCCTTGGAAAATGCGGTACGAAGGATCTGAAAGGTGAGTGATGTTTGGCCCTATGACAGCCCTGGGACAAAGACGGGCTGCAAACGTCGCGGTATGTGGTAACTCTGTTCGCTTAGGGTATCGATGCTCAAACACTCACCTAGGCGGAAAGTGTGTCGGGGGAGATTCCCCTTCGTGGGTGTCTCGCAACGAAGGCATGGTGGAGGCGCAGTGGGTTGTCTGACGTGGCAATCACAGCAACACCCGTCATTCTCTGGGGTAAACATGGGTAGAACAAATATATGTAGGCTAAAGTGTGTTTGTCCGAAACACGAAATATAATATTTTACGTGCAGGAACTACATGAAACCGAATGAGAAAGTTGTTGCTGAGAGGTTTCTCTTTAGCGGCTAGCGGCTCCCTCCCATCTCACGCATCCTTAAACAACGCAACTGGTCAGCGGATAGGGCCCCGGATAGCGGTGAAGCCCTGAAATTCATCCGGCAACCAGCAGCCGCCAGCTGGACACCTCGGTGTTCCCTAGCGCGCGCTCTGACCCCCACCTCACCCAACCACAGCGCCACGCAATTCGCGCAATTCTCTGAGGCGGATTGCCATCCCAGACACCGAAGTATGCGCTCCATACCCGCTAAGAACAATTGTGCTAGTTTGCCTGCTGGAGTTCATCAGTTGCACCAGAACCCTTACCCAGGATTCTGTTGGTCCTTAGCTCCAAGACCACCATTTCAGAGCAGTTTCATCTCAGCTCTAGAGCTTCGAAGCTCTAGTTCTGCAAGGATCGCCAGCATCGGTGGCCATTAGGAACTCGAGTACCTGTAATTCATTCTGAAACTAGACGCTATGGCCACCTCATTGGTCAAGACTCAGGCCACGTTCCTTGGCTCTGTGCGATCCGCCGAATTCGAGGGCTTGAGGAAGACCACGACGTCGCAAAATGTCGCAGCTGTCGCCCCGAAGAAGGTTCAACGGTCTAGCGTCGTCAAGGCCGTCGCTTCGACAGATGTGAAGACAGCCATCGTCAGGATTGGAACCCGTGGCAGGTGCGAAACTAGTATATGCCAACGATATGTGAAAGTTCTGTCAACGACCTCCATACAGACTCGTTAAATGCCGTATCTACCCTCCTCTTCTCTTAACGTTTTGCTCGCCTCTTCCTTCGACACCTATCTCTCCCTCATAATCATTTGCATCAACGTTGGTCATAATGCAATGAGCATAATCACCGAGTTTTCGCCTCGAAGCCCTGAGTACGCTTCTTTTGCTGTTTTTTTCTCTCTTGCCAGTCCTCTGGCCCTTGCACAGGCCTATCAGACCCGTGACAAGCTCAAGGCTGCTTACCCGGAGCTGGCCGAGGAGGGTGCCGTGGAAATTGTGATCATCAAGACCACCGGCGATAAGATCCTGAACCAGCCTCTTGCCGACATTGGCGGCAAGGGTCTGTTCACCAAGGAAGTTGATGATGCTCTTCTGGGCGGAGCCATTGATATTGCCGTGCACTCCATGAAGGATGTGCCGACGTACCTTCCGGAGGGAACTATCCTCCCTTGCAATCTTCCTCGTGAGGATGTGCGAGATGCGTTCATCTCTCCTACCGCGAAGTCCCTGGCTGAGCTTCCTGCTGGCAGCGTCATTGGCAGTGCGTCTCTCCGCCGACAGTCGCAAATCCTCCACCGCTATCCCAGCTTGAAGGTACGAAGCGTTGTGCTGTTTTTTCTCGCCACCAAGTGTACGAAATGCTGCAATTTGCCTGGTGTGATTGTAGTCCAGCTTTTCTGGAGTAAGAAGTCAAGTGATATAGATATGAACTCCTGAGAATTTTCACGATTCATCCCCTTGCAGGTGATTAATTTCCGCGGCAATGTGCAAACCCGTCTGCGGAAGCTGAACGAGGGCGCTTGCCAGGCCACTCTGCTGGCCCTGGCTGGTCTGAAGAGGTTGAACATGACCGAGCACGTGACCGCCATCCTTTCCACGGAAGACATGCTTCCAGCCATCGCTCAGGGTGCCATTGGCATTGCCTGCCGCACTGGCGACTCCAAAATGGTACGTCATCATTTGCTTCGCTTGGGTAAACTGGGGGGTCATCTCTATGTTGGATTGGGTAGTGCCTGGCTTAATAAATGAACAAGTGGCTTGTCTTTAAGGAGACCCTGAAAGGGATGAATGCGTAGGGAAATGAGTGCACTGGTTGGTGATCGACGTTTTCTGGCCATAGGTTAACACAGCACTGGTTTAATTTTTCATTCTGGCAGGAGGAATACCTGGCTTCCCTGAACCACGAGGACACGCGCTTGGCAGTGAGTTGTGAGCGTGCCTTCCTTGCTACGCTGGATGGCTCGTGCCGCACACCCATTGCTGGTCTGGCGCAGCGCGATGCCAATGGTGGCTGCTCTTTCCGGGGTCTTGTGGCATCGCCTGATGGCAAGAGGAGTGAGCACCTCTTACTTCTTTCTTGACTGCTTCAGTTCGTTATGTTTGGTTTATCTTCTTCTCCTCAACCCCCCCTTTCCAGTGTCTCTTTCTCTCTCACACGTACACTGCAAACGCCTTCACTTTGTTCCAGCCACTCTGTAATTCAGTATCTTTCGTCCTGTCACTGCTCACCCCCACTTTGTCATCCTCCTTTGGTGGACAACATAGTGGATGATGGTTGCACTAACGAATGTTTGTGCCCTTTGTCCTCTGCTTTTGCCCATCCAGTTCTTGAGACATCAAGGTCGGGATCTTACAGCTATGACGAGATGATTGAGATGGGAGTTGATGCTGGCAAGGAGTTGCTCTCTTCTGCTGGACCAGAGTTCTTCAACTGGAGCTAAATGCCTTTTGGGATCTGAAATCTGTATGGTCCAAACAGGCTGTTGCATCAGCGGCTCCAGATAATTCCAAAAGGGCCACCTTATTTTTCCCCTTGCTTCGAATGCTAGAATAATGTACCTTGATGTCTTGCCTGAACACAATTTTTCACTATAACGTAGAATGCAGTCCTGCACATCCGTACCTACAATGGTCATGATGATTGATTATGGTTAACAAGCAATGCGGTCTCCAATGAAGCTGACAGGGCTGAAAGAATGCGTGGGCTGTTCAATGGAGGCAAGAACCCACTGTAAGCAATCATGGTGGCCATCAGTGCAGCTGACCCAGCCTGTAGGAGCTGTCCATTCTTAACACTGGGTAGTGCTTTAGTCAGTGCAGGTAGGGCTGGGATCACGGAAGTGAGGAAACTTGTCAGGGTAGTTGAAACCTCTGCATCACTGCCTTCATCTCCAGCAACCATAGCTTGAAATGCCACTGGTAATGCACTTGCAATTGCCCGAAATGAGGATGCCAGGTCGAATGATGTGATGTTTGACAGCACAGGTCTCTGCCTGGGATCTTCTGGGTCGTGGCTCACAGTTATGTTCACCGCCCCTCGTGCATAGAAGTTGAAGGATATGGCGAGGGATGAGTAGAGGCTTGGGTCCGCCAAGAGCAAAGCGTCTGGGAGTAGTATGGATGGTAGAAGTTGTGCAGCTTGTGAAGGTAGCATTATTCCACCTGCGAAATTATCCTCTTGTCCTGTCTCCAGACGAACAATAAATCCTGCAAAAGCGGATTCGGTGAACATTAGTAGTCCTTCATGTGGAACTGAATTGCACGATCAGGCAACGTAATTACCGTACTTGTCGGATTGGCTTGAAGAGCTTCAATACTCGCAATGCTTAGAGGAATGACTCCAGCAAAAGCAAGGCCCGTTGGATTTGACGCCACGAAAGTGTTGTTTATAAGGTAAGAGGCAATAGCTTCGCCTTCTTCGCCCTGAATAATGGCGCGACCTGGAACGCTGGGATTTGAACAGCAGATGATAAGAAATCAAGACTGCATGGCATCTTGTAAAACAGATTGGGCCGAATTCTTACACTTTTGAAGGCAGGTCGGAGATGAACATCGTCATGGAGCTCATATTAGGGTCGACGAGTAGAAATGCAACTCCATGTTTCTCACTTCCGACACTCACGCTGGTGTTGCCATTGCGACTTGTCTCAAGAAGTGCAATGCGTAATATTTTTTGCCTCCAATTTGTATCGGCATTCAACTGACGTAGCGAGAGGGAGTGCCACTTCCGAATTGCAGCGGTACTAGTCGTATAGCCAAGCAAAAAGACGGTCAGGAATAGGACGAAGAGCTGTCGTTTCGCCACTGACAAGGGCCGCATTGCAGCGACGAGCTGTAAAACTGGGACCTACATAGACAAGGATTTCCGCCGCTTTCATACTGCATTGTGAAATGCTGGAACGACGACCAGGTAGGACATTCGGCGGCGAAACCGAGATTGATAGCTGGAAGGGAAACTGAAGTTGTGCTGGTGAATCCGTGACGACCGAGAAAAATGTTTTGTCGAAGTGGGATGCAGCTGGTAAACTTGTTCTGCCTTTCGTCGAGGGAAGGGATGGATCTACTGACCCACGTAAACGCCGACGCGTTTCGAGTCAGCTAACCTTGTTTCTGTAAACTACACATTCAAAACCTTACAAGACTTTGAGTACGGTACAAGTTGTGTGGACCAATTTGGCCTTTTCTATCCTTGCAAGTATTCAGCATCTGCAAGAATTTTGACAACAGTAGATATCACTTGGCTAGAACCATCTTCATCTTCAACATTCTGTCAACAAATGCAGCACGAGACAAAAATGGTGCGATAAAAAATCCTTATCAATCATGTAGTGTTGGTTGTCAGAGGAATCATGAAATAAAGGACAAGGACTAGAGGTGTGTGAGAAGAATAAACCCACCCTCATGGTGTTATCTAGCCACACTCACCTGCGACTGAAGGATATGTCGGCGAAGGATAGTGTCAAACGACCCTCGAATGGCCTTGAAAAGAACAGCTGTCTGAGCTGGAGCAACAAGATCCAACCAACCATCCACTGACACTCGCGCTCTCTGTTCAAGCTCAACCAGGAAGCCGGGGAGAGAAAGATCAGCATATCCAGTGAGAGAGTGAGATATTTACGGTACGTGGAAAACAACACTGTAGCACAGGTCACAATGGGAACGTTAAGGTTTGAGTCAACATCAGGAGTGGTGCGGAAAATGCACGTTACCTGATGGTGGACTGTGATTGGACCTCCAAAAAGAAGGATGGCTGCTGGAGAAACAACTGTGCAGTCACGAATGTACACGCGAGATGTCTTGACCTGCAAGCACATTGAATGATTAAAACGGTGATTAATCTCGCCATTTAGCTGGAATAAACTGCGGGAAAAAAGCTTCCTTGCACTGTACCTTTTCATGAAAGACGAGGAAGGGAGCACGGAAGACCGAGGCAGCCTCGTTGACAGAAGAGGGGTGAATTGCCACCTCAGCTCCTGTCGCAGTGACCCACCGCGGCCGCCCGGACGCCCCTGCCACGTGGGCGAGGTCTGACGCATGTGAACAGTGCCTGGCTTCGATAGAGTCACGTGCCATCATTGCAACGTTGGGGTAGAGGCCTGCACATAGAACAGCCTGAGGATTTGAAAGGCCGGGGGGAAGAGGGTGTTTTGGAGAAGGTCAAGGGGTGGGTGGGAAAAGGAAGAGGGGTGGGTGGAGAAGGAACAGGGGTGGGTGGAAAAGTGAGGACGAGAGAGTGTCTATGAACTACAATCAGGAAGTGCGAATAAGAATCATTACAGTCGCCTGCTCGCCATCATTCATTGCCATCAATCTCATAACTGCCAGAACTGCCATAATTGCGGTTAGAGCCACAAGGGTATGGACGTCAAGCACAGCACATAAGATAAGATGCCACACGAGAAGGTGCAGAGAGGACAGGAAAACGGTAGAGCAGCTCGAAATGAGAGGCACATAAGTGACCATCTTTCCTCATTGAAAGGACTGATTGTTTACCCCCTTGATCCGCCTCTCACCTTCACGGCAGGAGCGCTCATAGAGCATTGGTTCCAGGGTTGAGTGGATTCATCCAGCCAATCGAATCCCTGCACGTGGCATCAGCGAGAAAATTCAAGGAGGAAATTTAGAAAGGCATAGTCTTGCTTTGCTGGGCTGTCAAAGGGAGTTGAGCTTGAGCCATGGTCTACGAGCAGACGAGCAAACTCCACTCCCTGCCTTATGGAAACTGGACCCTCATGTCTCGCATGAGAACTCAACAGGCACTCTTACCCTGCTCGCAGCGGCGCCACCAGACCCAGGTGCCTTGCCGGGCTGCCTTAAAAAGCCGATATCCATGAGCAGACGAGCAAACTGCACCCTCTGCCTTATGAAAACTGCACTCTCATGTCTCGCATGAGAACTCAACAGGCGCTCTTACCCTGCTCGCAGGGCCGCCATTGGACCCAGGTGCCTTGCTGGGCTGCCTTAAAAAGCCGATATCCATGAGCAGGCGAGCAAACTGGACCCTCATGTCTCTGGGAGTAAAACGAGCAGGGAGAGGAGCAAACCTGATGAGGAGTTTTGAGGAGCTTAAAAGACCATGAGAAGGTAGGCATTGTAAGTCGATCAACAGCTGAGAGTGACGGACGGATGTGTGATGCAAGGGTACAGTCCAGAGGCAAGAGGTTGGATTCAGGAGCACACATACCGCAGCATGAGCAGAGCAGGGATGCTGAGGTGATGCTTCTGACAAAACTCCCTCGCTGCCCTGCTGCCCCTCTGATGCTCCATCAGACACAAACATGAGAGAGAGTGGGATCGGGAGGAGGAGAGAGAGACAAACGAAGGAGAGGGGAGATCAGTGAGAGATAAGCGTTTCTGGCAGAACAACAATCTACTTGCTAAGCTGATGCCCTTCCACACTCTCTGACGCTCTCTCATTCTCTCCCACGCCCTCTTACGAACTCCATCTGATCAAACTGGAACATAAGAGCGTGTTTGAGTCGACTCGAAACTCAGACGCCCCACTATTCTCTCTCATGCTCTGTTACAAACTCCATCAGATCAAGTTGGAATGCAAAATTTGTCCCTTCATCAAGATCACAAGATCCACCTGAAGAACTTGCACACCCATCTGGGGACCCACCTGAAATCTGTGCGGCACGGCACACGGTGCTCAAGTTCCTGATCTGACGTTCAACGCCTAATGGACACTGACCGACAGAATCGAGCCAATCGGCTTGGTTCACGTCAGCTCTAGCTACGTCAGGTGTGGGATTTGAGTCTTGGGTTGGAAGCGCTTTTCCGCTGCCACATGTTGCCCCACAAGGCACGGCCTCTGAGGGTGTTGTTTCTCTAAGGAATTGGGCTTTCACCCCTTCTCCACAAGGCACAACTCAATACCTTGCAGAAACAACACACTTGGAGGCCGTGGCTGTAGGGCGATGCGTGGCAGTGAAGAAGCGCTTCCGGCCCAAAACTCAAATCCCACTCCTGATGTAGCCAGAGGTGACGCGAACCAGAGCAGGCTGGCTCGACTCTGTTGGTTGATGTCCATTGGGCCTTGAACGTCAGATTGGAAACTTGAGCACCAAGTGCCGTGCCACCCTGATTCCACCCACCTTGCCCACCCACCTGGTGTGCCAGCGCCCTGCCGTTGAACGCCGAGGCCATCGCGAGATGGTCAGATTCCTGCCCCCGTGCCATGTTTGTCTCAAGGCCGTGCAGAATGAGACGACTTTGAGGCGACTCAGGAATCGCCACCCACCTGCAGAGCCAGCACTCAGCCATTGAACGCTGAGGCCATAGCGAGACGGTCGGACTGCTGCCCCTGCGCCATGTTCCACGCCCTGTCGTCCCCACTCACACCCCCTGAGCAGGAGTGGATTCATAAGATACCACCCTGACGAGTCAGCCCACCACACCCACCTGTAGAGCCAACACCCAGCCATTGTAGGCCGAGGCCATTGCCAGATGGTCCGACTGTTGCCCCCGCGCCATGTTCCACGCCCTGTCGTCCCCACTCACCCTCGCTCCTCCCTCTCCCTTCCCCCCTGCTCCCCCGCTCCTTTCCCTCCTTTCCCCCTGCTGACTCCTTTTCTGCCTGAGACTCCCACCCTTCATCCTCCTCGTCCTCATCCTCACTGTCGTCATCATCCCAGCTCTCCTTCTCTCCTTGCTTGCCTCCTGCTTCACGGGAGGTTGCATCTGGGTCGGCTTCTCGAGCTTTGGCCACAAGTGCTTGCCTTGCCCGGGCGGCTGCTTTGCGCTGCGAAACACAGGCAGATAGAAGGGCAGAAAGGAGCAGATATGGATAAAGAAGGGCCGTCTGAGCCGCTTTGCCTCCTGCCTCATGTGAGCTGTGTCTACCTATCACTGAATTACTACAACGACCGTTAGAGAGAAGGGAGGAAGGAGGAGAGTGGCGGGGCAGGTAGGCGGGCAGTGGGGGTTAAGTGGGTGGGCGAGGAGTGGAGAGGAGTGGAACGGATTGAAAGGACCTTCACTTACAGTGAAGCTTTTTCCAAGGGAACTTACATCGTGGAAGGAGGAAGAGAACGGGGAGCGGTAGCTGAGACAGGCAGCGATGGTGAGCGCTGTGCTGAGACACCCCATGACCGCCCCGTAAATCATCATCTGCCAGGGTGGGGTGCGGTGAAATGCGGTGGCCCGTGGTGAAATCAGGTGGGGTGGGGTAGCAACATATTGTCACATGCGCCGCACCTTAGAACTGCCCGAATGATCACCCAACCACGTTCACTCACGTTGCCTATGCGCACGTCAACTGGCAGAGCCGTAAGGTGAGTACCCAGCAATGTGAGCTCCTCCCTTTATCCTCTCTGTTCACTACCACACCCTTACTGTACCACTTGCGTTATTATTTGAGACACCCACCTTGCCTATGCGCACGTTAACCGGCAGCGCCGCAAGGTGAGTGCCCAGCGCTGTGAGCTCCTCCCTCTCATCCACTGCCCTTTCATGTCACCGTTACACCCACATTCACTCCATTTGCGAGCACTCACTGACCTTCCCAATGCGAACGTCAACAGGCAGGGCAGCCAGGTGAGTGCCCAACGCTGTGAGCCCCTCCCTCTCCTCCACCACCCCCACTTCACGTTACTGGCACCCGCAACTTGATCACATTCACCCACCAACTCACCCCCACCTTGCTCAACACCACATCACCTTGCCAATGCGAACATCGACAGGCAGAGCGAGTACCGAGAGCTGTGAGCTCCTCCCTCTCATCCACCGCCTCCATTTCATGACACCGTTACACCCATATTCACTCCCTTTGCAAGCACTCACTCACCTTGCCAATGCGCACGTCAACAGGCAGGGCAGCAAGGTGAGTGCCAAGTGCAGTGAGCTCCTCCCTCTCGTCCACCGCCCCCACCTCCCTCAGAGTATTCATCGCACTCCTCACTGCCTCCTCCTTTGGTGGCTCGATGGCCTGCAAGCACGGGTGGTGGGTAGGGAAGAGCTCATTCAAGATAGCATATCAGGAGAGGAAACCACAGCCTTTTCTCTTGGCTAAGGAACTGCAATTGCGCGCTCAGACCCAGCAGCTTCACCAGCTTCATCTCCAAGCACAGCTGCAAGAGTTCTAACTCTTAACTAAGTATCGCTCAAATACATTCAGGTGTGCTCTCACCTTGCTGAGGAACTGCGCTGGAGTGTCAAGGTCCAAAAGTTTAATCTGCAAGCACAGCTCCACCAGCGGCACTCGCTGAATCTCCGGTTGCTGTTGGGGAGATGGGGGATGTACGGAAAGAAGGGTGTGGGGAGGGGAGAAGGGAAACAGTGAGAAGCATAGGGAGGAAACTCAATGGCTTGATCTGCAAGCACAGCTCCACCAGCGGCACTCACTGGATCTCCGGTTGCTGTTGCGGGAGAAGGAAAATAGAAAGGCAAGGGGAGAAGGGCGAGAGGAAACAGTGAAAAGCGGAGAAGAAGGTCCAACCATGCCTGCCTTGAAAGCCCCCTATCATAAATGATACATACAGATACATGTCTGCCCCTATCCATAAAGAGCCCTGACACTCACTCTAAGGGTCCCATCCTATTCCATGCACAGCCTCTAGCCCACCTGGAAGGGTCGCATGATGGTTTCAAAGTGGTGGTTGGTGAAGAGGGCAAAGTACCGCCCTGCCTGCACTCGCCCCGCCACACCCAAGAAGAATCACTGCTCTCACCCACTGGAACCTTAAAGCCCACCTGGAAGGGTCGCATGATGGTTTCAAAGCGGTGGCGGGTGAAGAGAGCAAAGTACCGCCCTGCCTGCACTCGCCCCGCCCTGCCTGCCCTCTGCCTCACGTTCGCCTTCGCCACCCATGCTTCTACCAGACTGGTCATGCCCTGTGATGGAGGGAACAGTGGGAGGAAGGAGAGCGGGAAGCGGGAGAGTGGGAGGGGGGAGAGTGGGAGGAGAGTGGAAGAAGTGAAATTGGCGAGGGAGAAAAGTATTTCCAAAACAGAGGGTTGAGGAAGAAAGAAGAGGGGAGAAGTGGGTGGGAAGGGGAAGAGGCAGGGCCGTATGGGGGCTCTTTTGGAAGACGAAGTGGTTGCAACCTCTTAAGCAATTGTCGCTCAAGGCCCTTGTTTGGGCGTTCAATCAACAAAGAGATTTCTTAGGCCTTCATCACTCACTCACCCTCCTGGCATCGAACTGTGTCTCCTTCTGCTTGCCCACATCCACCACATCGTCAATGGGATGCCCAATGGAACACCTATCTGGTGGCTTAAAGTCAACACCGACGCCTCAACACTCACCCTCCTGGCATCAAACTGCGTCTCCTTTTGCTTCCCCACATCCACCACATACACCACATCGTCAATGGTGATACTCGTCTCTGCTATGTTGGTCGCTAGGACCACCTGGGGGGAAGGGAGAGGAGGGAGCAGGTATGGAGACAGGATTTAGCCACAAGTTGGGCATGGCAAGCACAGTACAACACGTCCACCACACACACCACATCGTCAATGGTGATAGTCGTCTCTGCTATGTTTGTCGCCAGCACCACCTGGTGACGTGGGAGGAGGTGGGAAGAGAGGGAGGGAGGGCGGAGGAATGGTGAGACGGGAGGCCGGACAGATTAAGCATGGGCAGCACAGCATCATTTGTGCATCACGTAAACCCGAGACAGGAACCAACTGATGCGAACATCAGATCTCACCTTGCGCACACCACTAGGGGGGCTGTTGAACGCTTGCCGCTGCTCAGCAGCAGAGACAGATGAGTGCAGCGGCAGCAGCCACTCCCTTCATCTTCCCCCGATGAGGTGAGGTGACTCGAGACAGGAGCGGACTTCCAAGAACAAGGCATCCGCGCTCACCTTGCACACCTACGGACATCAGAGCTCACCTTGCGCACGCCACTAGGGGGGCTGTTGAAGGCTTGCCGCTGCTCAGCAGCAGAGACAGACGAGTGCAGCGGCAGCAGCCACTCCACCTTCCCCGGCGCTCCAAACTGCCTTGACGCTGCCAGCCTGTCCCACAGATACTGGATCTCGCCCATTCCCTGGTGAGGGGAAAACAAATGCGATGTTTATAGGGAGGGGACTGACAGATATGGGGCTCAAAGGCATGGGTTCAATAGATGACACACACATGGTTGGCAGCAAGCAGACAGAGAGATGAAGGTCTGTGACCAGGGATGAAGGTGTGACCAGGGATGAAGGTGTGACCAGGGATGAAGGTGTGACCAGGGATGAATTTGCGACCAGGGATGAAGGTGCGACCAGGGATGAAGGTGGGACCAGGGATGAAGGTGTGACCAGTGCAGCTCACAGGCAGGAAGACGAGGATAGCTCCCGGGCCGCATGTGGAGTCGACACATTGAGGGCGACAGAACAGCAACCAGTGAGGCAATCAGTGAGGCAGCTAGTGTGACACTCGGTGGAGCTCACAGGCAGGAAGACGAGGATGGCTCCTGGGCCGCATGTGGAGTCGATGTGAGCAACCACGTCCTCCAGTAACTCGTAGTCAATCGTCCCCTCATCCAGCCGCCGCTGGTGTGTTGAGTGTGTGGGAGGTAACGTGTATTGGGAGAGGGAGTGACGTTTGGGTGAGCAAGGGGTATGAGGGGAAAGCACTGGGGGCATGTGGAGTCGATGTGAGCAACCACGTCCTCCAGTAGCTCGTAGTCTATCGTCCCCTCGTCCAGACGCCGCTGGTGTTTGTTGTCGAGAGGGTGGGTGATGGGGAGGGACACAGGGTGCGGAGGGACATAGGGTGGGGAGTGTGAGTCGAGCATGGAGTGTATGGCAGGGAAAGGAAAGAAAGGAGGGAGCAGGGATGGAAGCATAGGAGGTTCTTCAGAATTGCACAAAACCAGCTCTACAGAAGCAGCTCTGTTTTTTTGGCGCCACAGAATCAGAAGCACGAGAGGTTGCTGAGAATCGCACCAGATTTCTGAGGTTTAGCTCACCAGATTGGTTCGGGTTCTGTCGCTGTAGTTGCTGTACCGAGAGGCATCGTAATCAGGATTCACTGTCTCAGCCTGCAGGGAAGCATCATCGCCCCATCCTGCCTTCAGCAGTTTCTGCTTGGTCTTGCTACCGCCTCCTGCTGCTACCTTGGAACCCTGTGGTGTGGGCGTAGGAGGGTGTGGGAAGGAGAGCGCAACAAAGGGGATCTCATCATAACAAGGGGCTTTGTTCTCATCTCCACGAGGACGTTCCTAATCACTTTAATTCTGATCGCATCAAACCTCGTCTCATCTCCACCAGGGAAGCCTCAACGGTTTTTTAGATGTCCCAAAACTCATCACCACGGGAGTGTTCCTGATCACGTTGGTTCTGATCGCGTCAAACCTCATCTCATCTCATCTCATCTCCCCAGGAAAGCCTCAACGATTTTACCTTGGCCCGAGACTGGGAATCGGAGGCCAGCTTGTAGCTCGTGCTCTCATGCACACACGTCCTCCAAACACTGCATCTCCACGGGGAAGGTGCGGCCCTGGGCTTGCCTTGCCTTGCAAAACAGGAGAGGATTCTACCCTTGAGAATGCTCACACACACGCGGTGACTGTACCTTGGCGCGGGACTGAGAGGATTCGGATCTCAGAGCAGCAGGCGAGTCCGAGGAAAGCTTGTACCCCGTGCTCTCATACACGTCTTCTAGATACTTCATCTCCACGGGGAAGGTGCGGCCCTGCGCTTGAATGACTGGGCAGTAGGAGAAGTAGGAGGCAAGGAGAGAAGCGTCCAGAGTGGCTGACCTGAGAGGGGGAATTGGAGTTAGGGAGGGAAGGTAGGGAGGAAACAGCTGGTGCGATTGTAGGTAGTGCTCAGTGCTTGTAGGTAGCACATGGATAGCTCGAGTCCACCAATAACTCTCTTGGCTTGACTATTTTAAGTCTATATCTCCACCGCTGAGAAGTAGGAGGCAAAAGAGAGAGGCATCCAGAATAGGGGGCCTGCCCAGTACTCACATGAGCACAAGCTTGAACACAGGGAGGTGCGGCATCTGGTGCCTCATCTGCTGTCTTCGGGCCAGCAGGTCTCTGAGGATGACGAGGAGGAAGTCGCCCTGGATGGAGCGCTCATGCACCTCGTCTACCACCACATGAGTGACGTCAGACAGCAGAGGGTCACCAACAAGCCTCCTTAGGAGAATGCCCGTGGTGCAGAAGAGGATGCGTGTGTACCATGTCCTGGGAGAATGAAATGGGCGGAAAAAGCACACAAAAAACGAAGAAAACGAGACCAGAAATGAAGAGATTATGGGGGAAGTCGCCCTGGATGGAGCGCTCATGCACCTCGTCCACCACCACATGGGTCACATCGGACAGGAGTGGGTCACCCACAAGCCTCCTTAGGAGAATGCCCGTGGTGCAGAAGAGGATGCGCGAACCCAGGTTCTGGGAAGGGAACGGGGAACCAAGCACGCAAAAAAGCAGCAAAAATGGGACAAGAATGAAGCCATTTCATGGCGAAAGGTCCATGAGTCCCCCTGGATGGAGCGCTCATGCACCTCGTCCACCACCACATGGGTCACATCGGACAGGAGTGGGTCACCCACTAGTCGCCTCAGTAAAATTCCCGTGTTGCAGAAGAGGATGCGCGTGTACCAGGTTCTGGGAAAGGGAAAGGTGAAGCAGGCACACGAAACAGCGGCAAAAACGGGACAAGAATGAAGCCATTTCATGGGGAAAGGTCCATGAGTCCCCCTTGGACGGTCTGCGTCTCCCCCCTCCCCCCTGGATGGAGCGCTCATGCACCTCGTCCACCACCACATGGGTCACGTCTGACAGGAGAGGATCGCCCACCAGTCGTCTCAGTAAGATTCCCGTGGTGCAAAACAGGATGCGGGTGTACCAGGTTCTGACAGGGGAAGAAGGTAGAAAGAACAGATAAAATCGAGGGGAAAATGACACGGAAAATTGGATGGAGCGCTCATGCACCTCGTCCACCACCACATGGGTCACCCACTAGCAGAGGGTCACCCACTAGCCTTCTTAAGAGGATGCCTGTTGTGCAGAAGAGGATGCGCGTGTACCAGGTTCTGGGAAGGGAAAAGGGCCGAGATAGCAGAAACAGATGGAGCAAAAAGGGGCAGAATTGGAGAGGTTATGGAGAAATTCATCCTCCCTCCTCTCCGCAGTCCCCCTGGATGGAGCGCTCGTGCACCTCGTCCACCACCACATGGGTCACATCGGACAGGAGAGGGTCACCCACAAGCCCGTAAGAGAATGCCTGTCGTGCAGAAGAGGATGCGCGTATACCAGGTCCTGGGAAGGGAAAGGGTAGAAAAAACACACGAAAAGCGAGGAAAATGGGACAGAATGAAAGCACTTTGGAGAAAAAATGCTCAGCATCATCTGGTGAATGCTCAAGAGAGTGAGAGTAACTACTTGCCAGCAGCAGGTACCCTCACTAAACGCCAAGACAAAGCATGCACGGGCACTCACTAGACAGTGTCCAGCCTCACGTGGTAACCAGCCACTCCTGCAGCACCACCTGGTGACTAGCGAGTGAGAGTAATAATCTGCAAGCAGGTACCCTCACTAGACCCACACACCCACTCACCTGACAGCGTCCAGCCTCACCAGCCACTCCTGCAGCACCACCACCTCGGACCTCCTGAGCGGCTCACACCGCTCTGCTGCCACTCCTAATGAGGGGATCACACAAATATTCCATGCCACAGCCCCCACTCACTTGACAGCGTCCAGCCGCACGTGGTAACCAACCACGCCTGCAGCACCGCCACCACCTCCCTTGCCTCCACTCCCTACGGGTGGCTCGCACCGCTCTGCTGCCACTCGCTCTGCCACAGATATGGCCTGGGAGGGGGTGCAAGAGAGACAGAGAGAGGAGTGGTAAGAGAGGTGGGGAGACGGGTGGTGGGGAGGGAGAGGTGCATTGAGAGGCTCTATCAAGGGGCTCGCACCGCTCTGCTGCTACTCGCTCTGCCACTGATATGGCCTGGGAGGGTGAAAGAGAGGGAAAGAGAGAGGGTGAGGAGTGGGACGCGGGTGGAGTTGCAAAGAAGTTCAACGAATGGTGATGATACTTGAGAAACACTTAGTAAAACAACATCATGAAAGAAAGTAACATCTTTTTTTCTGTTCTTCTCCCTCATCGACTCACAGCGATTCGTCGAGGCTGCGTGCACACGATGTTGCAGAACCCCGCCTTCCCAGAAGCTTCCGCCTCCTCGAAGATATACTGCGGCACCTGGGTGGTCTTGCCTGACCCGGTCTCCCCACTCACCACCACCACATCCCCCTTCCTCAACGCCTGCAGCAGTTCCCCCCTCACTCGTCTCCTTGGCCTCTCTTTGTCTCTCATATATACATATCTATACATTATCGTATTGACTCACAGCAATTCGTCGTGGCTGCGTGCATACGATGTTGCAGAACCCCGCCTCCCCGGAAGCTTCCGCGTCCTCAAAGATATACTGCGGCACCTGAGTGGTCTTGCCTGACCCGGTCTCCCCACTCACCACCACCACATCCCCCTTCCTCAACGCCTGCAGCAGTTCCCCCCTCACTGCTGCCATCGGTAACTCTCCCCGCTTCCTCTTCATCTCCTGCATCGCCCTCCTCTCACTCAATTCCATTGTCTCTCTGTTGGCCCCCCCTGTTCCTCCTGTCCCTCCTGTTCCTCCTGTTCCTCCTGTCCCTCCTGTTCCTCCTGTTCCTCCTGTCCCTCCTGTTCCTCCTGCTCCTCCTGATCCTCCTGCCCCTCCAACTGCCAGGGCCTGCCACTGGCGCCACCGCTGCTGCAGCTCCCGGCTCTGAGCCTCCCTCCTGCGCACCACAGCAGGGCCTGGGAGAAGGATAATGGGAGGGTGAAGAGGGAGAGGGAGAGGGAGAGGGTGAGGGTGCTGAAAGCTCCATCCCTCCTCAGTGGTTTTGCTTTGCCATCAGTGACTTTGACACATGCGCCATGGGCAGGCCAAATCTTTGTGATCAGACAATCACGTGATTCTGGTTTTGACAAGTTAAAATGGAAATAAAGGCTCACTCACCTTCCTCTTGGCCAAGGAAAGGGATTTTCTGCTTCTTTTGCCCTCCACCCGTCGCCTTCTCTTCTTCTGAACCCCTGAACAGGTTCTCCTCAGCATCACCAGCACCAATGGCAGCACCAGCGGCAGAACCAGTACCAGCAGCAGCAGCAGCAGCAGCAGCAGTCTCCCTGGCCTTAATCTCTTTATCCACGAGTGCTGCAGCGAACTTGACTTGGTGCCTCGCTGCTGCCTCTGCAGCTGCGGCTGCACTGCTGCTGCTCGTCTCTGCAGCATCTGGGGGCACAAGGGGAGGTAGGGATGGGAGAAAAAATGGAATTTAAGTTGATGCAAGAGATGACCATCAGGGAGTGAGAAATGAAGAATGGTCAGAAGAGCCACTGCATCTTGTGCCGTCACCTAAAAAAAACGATTGTGAGATGTTTCAAAACAGATTTACCTGCTTTCTCTGCCAGCTTGAGCCACTGCTCTCGGTACGGAGAGACCAGCTGATGGTGCAGTGGCATGTGGGGCAGCAGGGCATGCCGCATGCAGGGTCAAAAATAGCCAGTGCGTTTTTATTAAAACCATGGCGTTCTGCGCCTCAGACACACTCTCCCGACCCCATCCTCTACTAACACGTACCACGGCTTACCTGCTTGCTCTGCCAGCTCCAGCCACTGCTCTCGGTAAGGAGACACCAACTGGTGGTACAGAGGCATGTGGGGCAGGAGGGCATGCAGCGCCAGCAGTGCCACTGCGTTCTGAGCCTCCGACAAACTCTCAAACCCATCCTCTTCTACCTCATAGGCTCGTACCGTAGCTCACCTGCTTTCTCTGCCAGTTCCAGCCACTGCTCTCGGTACGGGGAGACAAGCTGATGGTGCAGCAGAGGCATGTGGGGCAGGAGGGCATGCAGGGCCAGAAGTGCCACTGCGTTCTGAGCCTCCGACAAACTCTCAAACCCATCCTCTGCTATCTCATATGCTGGTACCATGACTCACCTGCTTTCTCTACCAGCTCCAGCCACTGCTCTCGATACGGGGAGACAAGCTGATGGTGCAGAGGCATGTGCGGCAGCAGCGCGTGCAGCGCCAGCAGAGCCACTGCGTTCTGAGCCTCTGACACACTCATCCTGTGCTAACCCGTAACACAACCCACCTGCTTTCTCTGCCAGCTCCAGCCATTGCTCTCGATACGGAGACACCAGCTGATGGTGCAGTGGCATGTGCGGCAGCAGCGCATGCAGCGCCAGAAGCGCCACTGCGTTCTGAGCCTCTGACAAACTCTCAAACCCATCCTCTGCTGCCGGAACCTGAAACGTGATCGGCCCTACCCCTACCCCCCCTCCCTTCCCACCTCCCGCTCCTCCTCCCTTACCCCCTCCTCCCCTCCCCCCCTGCCGGACCACAGTCACCGAGTAGCTAAACTTCCCTGAGCCGCTGCTTCCTGGGAGCTTTGTGTACTTGGGAGCGGGCCAGAGGGCTTTAAGGCAGTGCTGCTGCAGCAGAGCCTTGGGCTGCCGTTGCATGTCCGCAGCAGCAGCATCCTTGCCTTTCTTTTCCTTCCCTCCAGCCTTCCCTCCCCCACTACCACCTGCCAACATCTGCTGTTGCTGCTGCTGCTGCCATGCTCTCTCCCTCGCAGTCTTTCTCTGCAGTGCCAGCACAGACTCAGGCAATGCTGCTGCGCCCTTTCCCCCTTGCCCCCCTCCTCCCCCGTCACTCTCATCATCAAAGAGACACATGCCGTCCAATCCCATATCCTCCTCTTCTGCCTCCTTTTCTGCTGCCTTTCCTGCTGCTCCTACCCCTGCTGCTGCCCTTTCCCCTTCTCCACTTGCTGCTTTCCCTCCCCTTTCCAATGGCGCATCCACCTCCTCCTCCTCCTCTCCGCCAAACAGCCCAAACCCTCCCTCTTCTTCCTCGTTCTCCTCATCCTCCCCTGCAGCAACCCGCTGCTGCTGCTGGTTAGCCTCTTCGAGCATGGATTCAGAAAAACCTGCAACACAAAGGGAACACCTTTATGCCTTCATAACGTCTTCAAAAAAAGGTCTCTTCAAGGCGGAATAACTTGCTGTAACTTTCAAGAACCGTCCTCAGCAACAACGATGCCCGCCATACCATATGCTGCAGCCTCCTCCTTGATCTCGCGGATCACCAGCCCTGCCTCTGCCTGCCTGCCCTTGTCCATGCTCCCTTTCGCCCTCGCCGCCTCACCCTTAGCCCTCCCCAAATCAGCCGCCAATGACTGCACGCGCTGCTCTGCAGGGGCCTGGAGAGTGGTGAGGTGGGGAGAAAGGGAGAAGAGGGGGTGGGGGGGAGAGGGGAGGGGAGGAGAGGGGATGGAGGGGGGTAAGAGGAGAGCATCTGAATGGAGTGAACTTTGTTCTGCCTCCCCCTTGGCCCTCCCCAGATCCAGTGCCAAGGACTGTACGCGCTGCTCTGTAGGGGCCTGAAATGGGGAGCAAGGCAGGATTTGGGTAGAAGCGGTTGAAGAGCGGGAAATGATATGGAAAATCCACCGAATTCCTCTTCCCAGGTTCAATGCTGATAGATAAGATTCAGGGTCTAGGGTTTAAGTTCTAGAAGATATGAGCTTTTGAGAGGATATTTCAAGCAACCAACACGAAGGGAAGAGGAGGGGTGGTTGAGGGAAGGCATCTGAGAGGACGCCTGAAGGTCGAAGCCATAACCTTTTTTCTGAGCTCCTTTCTGCGTCTTCTCTCCCTCGCATCAGCCCAAACCTGCAAACAGAGCACAGCAGAGCAGAGCACACACAACAGCACAACGTACGGCATTAAACCTACAGGTTGACAGGCCAAGGCAGGAACACTTTACGAACAGCACAAATGCATGTAAGAGCTTATACACACAGCAAGAGAGGACCCTTAAGCCTCACCTCCCAGAGAGGAGAACCCTTAAGCAAGTCGTTTCCTGCTGTCGAACCAGCTGAAGCCCCCTTATCCGCTACCTTCTCCCAGTCATCCTCCTCCTCTTCCCCCCCCTCCTCCTTCCCTTCACCCTCACTCTCCTCCTCTTCACTCTCGTATTCTGTCACATACCGCTTGATCCAATCCGCCTGCTTCTTCTTCCTCTCCTTCTCTCTTTCCTTCTCTTCTGCCTCTTCTTTCGCCTTCCTCTCTTCTTCCATTTTCCTGAATCTCTCAGCTTCTTCTGCTAAGGACCTTCCCTCATTCCCTCTTTCCTCGTCTCCCTCTCCTCCCCATGCGTCGTCGCCGCCTCGTTGTCCTTCCCCTTCCACGTCAGCAGCAGCAAGCACGACTTCCACGTCACCTCGTGCCAGCGTGGCAGTGGCAGCTGCAGACGCGAAGTGACGTGGCAGCTGCTGAGGTGGCAGGTGCAGGCAGAGCCAATCAAAAGCCGCCTCCAGGGAAAGCGACGAGGGGACAAGAGACGAGAGCACATTCTCCACCTGCTCTACAGTAAATCCCTCTCTAGAGAGTGTTTCGTATGCGGATAATATGCGCCTGTTGGCATTCTTTTCTTCAAGTAGTGTCATAGGACCAGCAGGGCTGCCTGTGGAATCAGATGAGGACGCAGGAGAAGCATCCATGGCGCTGCTGCCGTTCGCACCTTTCTTGGTATCGTATGCCTGAATGAATTCGTATGCACCGGTACAATAGATAAAAACACCGGAAAAGGGAAAGCTTCAAATTCGGCGACTCAAAAGGTGAAGAACCAGAAACATGGCAGAAGCACTAATCATGGCATGGGTGTAGCACTAGGCCATCACAGCTGCAACTAATCTCAGGTTGACCTCTACTCACCTTAACAACCAGCTTTCGGAGCTGCTCTTCAGCCTCTGGACTCAACCGAACCTCCGTGGCTCGTTCAAACGCGTTCTTCCCCAAACCGCCGCCAATGAGCGTCACCGGCTTGGCAGTCCCACCTCCCTCCACCCTCATAGCCCCAGCAGAGGAGACACCCAAAGAAGCTCCAACTCCAACTCTCTTAGATGCGTCTGTCTTTCCGCCTGTTCCGCTGGGAGCAGGAACTGACTGCTTTCCAGTAACCCCCGGCGCTTTCCCTTGCGCCACTCGACCCCCCCCGCGTCCGCCTCTTCCCCCTCTTCCGCCACCCGCTGCGGCTCTTCCCCTCCCCCTGCCCCCTCCGCCTCCTTTCGGAGGCATCGCGACGGAATACCAGTAATTACAAGGTATGAAGTTTTGTCCTCAGAGAGTCTGACTAATGGCGATCGGGATGACAAAGGATCTTCCAGACGTTAAGAAGGTCCGATCAAACGCTGCTCGTCTTGAAAAATGCGAACGTTTAACGGATATTTCGGGTGTTATGACGAGGAGGATCCTGAGTGTGTCCTATACGAAGACTAGGAGATTCATGAAGAACAATTCTTAAACGGGGAGGGAGTGCAATGAGAGGGTATTGGAGCCGAGAGGCTAATCCGACACTGAGACAAAGAGGCTGAACTCTCAAAACCCGAGGACATTGCTAGACCTTGTAATTGGTCTCCTGCAGCTCTCTGATTACAGAGACAACCTACTGCGAGACGAGAACCTGTTGATGCTAAGTCGGTCGAGAAACCAACCAGAAAAGTCATACGATTTGATTGGCTGTCGACGCAGCCACAGGACACTGCTGAATCCTTGGCCTCGCCTCCTAAAATTCACTGGTCATGCGCTAGCCTTGGCAGGATTTTATTCGTGGTTTTTGATAGGCTCAGAAATTCATGACGGAGTGATGAAATTCTGACATCCTGAAACGTGAATTCACGGTACCGAAGCCTAAACACTTCAACCATTGAATAGACGTGAGAGAACGCACTGTACCGTCTGGTAAAGAATCTGGCATCTGGTCACCTGCATTCGTGAAAATGGAAGCCAATTCAGGACGATGTCATGTCATCCTTATTGAGCATTTCAATAACGAGACGTACAACACTGCACTCTGCTCTGACAGCCCCTGTCAGGGATCAGTGCAATCAGCTGCAGAAGCTGGCCGCGAAGACCTGTAACTTTCGCGACAATTTGAGCAACCGCATCAAAGGGAATGACGAACTTCACTCGCGTGATGCAGACCATCCTTGTACATTAGCGAAAACTGTGTCGCTTTCGCCAAACATTTCCGACAAATACCAGTGACAAATACCAGAGAAATCTGGGGATCATTCATAAAAAGCGGGAACTTGCTCTATTCACGAAATATTCAAGGAAGGAAATAGCAAAGCAACTTTCCTCACCTCTCTCAGCCATATCCCGTGAGAGATATTCCCAAGGCTCCTAATCCCTATGCTGCTGTTCGCGATTCTCCTATTCCCGATGCTTGCATTCCTCCCAATGGACCAGATTCGATGCACAGTACCACGCATGTATCCTCATCGTAGGATCGTCCACTGAAGCACGCGTGCCATGCCCACACATACATAGTTTCTTATGAATCGCACACACACATTCTCCGCTTCCGCTGGTTCCTCTGAAGCATTTCTCCTCGACGATCACTCGGCATCTTCGTAGTAATCACGATGCATCCAAATCCTTATTACTTGCTTTTGCTCGTCTTCCTCCTCTCGATCCTTACCTCGCTAAAGGCGGATCCGCTAGCGTCACTGACGTCCTACTCCTCCACGGACAACAATATCATCAATATCATCAATATCATTCCCCGTTCGACCAATGTAGCTGCACCGGTGGGACCCACAGTACGGAACCTTCTGGATCTGCATGATAGTACTGCCTCATCCTTATCCTCCTCTCCTATCGACCATCTGGATTTCGTCAGCACTGGTAACCATCCGCGATCACCCGAGACAGCCACGTCAGGAGCCACATTGCGGAGCCTTCTTTTTCTGCGCGGAAATATGTTCAACCAGGCCTTCGGCCAATCAGCAACCTCCACGTCGACCTCAAGCAGCGGTGGTTTTGCCGATGGTGCTGCTAACGGCGGTTCTGCTAACGGTGGTGCTTTCGCTGCTGGTGCTGATACTGCCGAAGGTGACACTAACGGGCGGAGTAGTGACGGACTCAGTAATCAACCTGACAATGCTTCAGCGGGCAGAACGCCAGAGGAGGTGGAAGAGGAGGAGGAGGGGGAGGGGGAGACAGGGGGAGTCAGGAAGGAGGCGGAAAACGCGGAAGACGTCAAAGTCAAAACTGGAGAGGGGGAAGAGCAGGAGGGAGGGGATGGGGGCGCGAAGGAGGCGGAAGAGGAAGGAGGCGAACAAACTTCATCAGAGGGGGGAGAAGAGGAGGGGGAATCTTCACCACTGGCCGACACTCCTGAGAAGCTGGAAAAGTGGTTCAAATCTTGGCGGGAAAACACTAGCGCGGTTCTACCACCAGGCTTTAAAGACGCCTCTACAATGGAGGTAGTGGAGTTAGACGATTGGCCGCCCGTGCCCGTGCCTTTGCCGAACCTGGGGGAGGACGTTCGGGCGGACCCGAGCCTAGATCCGAACGCCTGGCGCCCGTTTCACGTTAAGGGAACACCGCGTATAATCACAGTGTTTTCCGCTGAATGCTCCCCTTACATGGATTGGCAGTCAGTCGCAATGGCTTATAGCTTCAAGCGGTCGGGGCAGCCAGGGAAGCTCGTGCGGCTTCTAGCTTGTAACGAGGATGCTCTTAAGGGGTACAGAGGCCTGGATATAGCTCCTACTATGGTGGTCCCTAATTGGAGTCGCGGCCCTAGAACGGGTGACTGGTATCCTGCCATTAATAAGCCAGTGGGGGTTAAGTATTGGCTGGACAACAGTCCCGACGCAAATGACGTCGAGTGGGTGCTTATAATGGACGCGGATCAGCTTATAAGGAGGCCGGTGCTGCCCTGGGAGCTAGGGGCGGAGCGAGGTCACCCAGTGTCAGCAAACTACGGGTGAGAGGTGGTAACTGTGTTACTAGTCAGATGCCACACGTTTCGAGACGGTTGTGTCTTCCAGTGCCGTTCCATGCAACTTGCTCATTTTGGGACTCCTCTTGACTCCCCTTGACTCCGCCTAACTTCTCTTGACTCCCCTTGACTCCTCCTAACTTCTCTTGACTCCCCTTGACTCCACATGACTATCCTTTACCTCCTCTCCTCCCTTGCCTCCTCCCCCCTTTCTCCCTCTTTTCCCCTTCACCACCAGCTACCTCAAGGGGTGTGACAACAGCTTTGGCGAGCTGCACATGAACAACGCCACATATTGCGACAAGGTAAGCTGCCCAATTGTGATTCTAATCGACAAGGTCAGTTGCCCAATTGCACATGAACAATGCCACGTATAGCGACAAGGTAAGCTCCTAGTTCCATCGTTCTCCCTCGCCAAGCGCAAGTGTAAACTGCCACATCCAACCACACACCCAACCCAACCAAACCCAACCGAACCCATCCACACCTGCTCTCAGGTGGGCGGATACATAGTGATTCACGTGGAGGACCTGAGGCGCCTGGCGCCCATCTGGAGCGCCAAGAGTGAGGAGGTGACCATTCCCTCCTGTGTTCCCTCACTCTCTCCCTCCACACCCACCACACACAATGACACCCAACCGCACCAAGAGCGAGGAGATGCGGGCAGATGTGGAGCACTACACCATCAACCGCCCTTCTTCCCTTTCATCCTCCCCCCCCTCCCTCCCTTCAACCGCACCCAACCGCACCCAACCACACCATGCACACAGGTGGGCGGCTACATTGTGATTCACGTGGAGGACCTGAGGCGCCTGGCGCCCATATGGAGTTCCAAGAGCGAGGAGGTGCGGGCAGACGTGGAGCACTACACTATCAACGCCACGGGGGACGTGCACGGGCAGCGGTGGATCAGCGAGATGTATGGCTACTCCTTCGGATCATCTGATGTGAGTCTTAGCATCCCTATAATGTGAGTTGCTCCGCGTGTAGAGCTGTTTGGCTGACTCAGTCCAGATGGGGGGGGGAAGGGGGGGGGGGTGGGGGGTCTGAACCACATCTCTCCACCGTCTCCTCTTCTCCCTTTTCCAGGTGAGTTTAAAGCACATAGCGCTTTGCATTACACAGGCTGACTGGCCTACCCTTGCTTTCAATTCACCCCCTTCCTTCTCAAATCCTCTCCGTCTCTTCCACCCACTCTCCCTTTCCCAGGTGGGTTTGAAGCACATTATGATAGACAGTGCCATGCTTTACCCAGGTTACGACCCTCCTAAAGGGGTGGATCCGCGAATGATCCACTACGGTCTCGAGCTTAAGGTATTGGATTGGCAATGGGACAAGTCGGCCTACTATCGCCAAGAAATGGTCAACACCTGCGGGCAGCATTTTCCCGACCCGCCGGAAATTTCTGCGCTGCCCGGAAACCAGACGTATGAGGAGCGGCGGCGGGATTTTATCGTGATTGAGTGTATGGCGGTGCTGAACCGGGCTTTAAGGGAGTTTCACAGGCTGAAGAGGGGATGCTTGGTGGAGTGGGAGAGGGATGTGGGGATAATGGATTTGGGTGGGGCGTCCCCTACAGTTACAGGGGAACTGAGGGCTGATGTCTGGGCTAGGGAGAGAGGGAGTGGGAAAGAGAGGGAGGGAGTGAGGGAGGGAGTGAGGGAGGGAGTGAGGGAGTGAGTGAGAAAGGGGTTGAGGGTGGGAGTGGGAGTATGAGTGGGGGTGGGAAAGAGGGGACTGCTGTGAAAGGACGGGCTGGAAAGGTGATTAGAGTGCAGGGTGACTATGTAGTGGATGTGACAGAAATGATGGAGCGAGCTGGGCTAGAAAGAGGTTTCCTAGTAGTAAGAGAGCCGAGAGAGGGAGCACGGGCAAGGAAATTTGGAGAGAGAGGTGGTGCTGGGGAGGAGGGGAATATTCCATCCGACGAAGATAATGTTGCTTATGCTGATTCAGCCACAAACGAGGATGAAGGTGGGGATGGAGAGGCAGGGGATGGAGAAGAAGAAGAAGACAGCAAAGGAGGGGAAGAGAAGGCAGAAGAGCAAGATAAACCAGGAGAGGGAGAGAGTAGGGAGGGGTCAGGTGAGGTTGGTAGTGGTACTAATGGAACCGGTAACCACGGTAACCAAACAAGTATGAACCAAGGGAATGAATGGAGGCGCTTCTTGCAGGGCTATGGCTACCAGGCAGGTGGGATTGGTGGTGGGGGGTCGAGGACGGTGGCAGCAGGGGCGTGGGTGTGGATGCATGAAGACCAGAGGTGGATGTACCTGGGGTGGAGTGCAGGTATGGTGTTACTGTTCTTGGGTGTTACGATGCGCACTAAGAGGAAGCGCAGGGATGCTAGGTTACTCATGAATAGTGCGTCAAGTGGGGACGACACGAGGAAACCGAAACGTCGTGCTCGTGGCCTGTCGAAGGATGTGAGTGTTTGATGGATACTGATTTACAAAGGACCTTGTAATGGGCTGTATGTATGAAACAGGTGCTGTTTCTATAGGCGGATCAACATGCTGTCAATGAGCAACTACAGTTGCAGTTGCAATATAAATCTTACGTCATTATTTTGTTAGTCCCCAATGTACCAATTAGATTGCCTATGGCCTATCACGTTTCGCCCAGCAATTTTCATAAACGATGTCTCCTTAGCTTATCTCTAGTAAGATAACGATTTTCTCTGTATCGAAGATGTTGAACGGACACACCAAAAGTACTTTGGAAATTCGGGCATATCGCCTACGCGTCGCGCAAGAGCAGATTGGTGTCGCATTGTGCGGTCCGATTTTGCATTTCATTTCACTGTAGGCACATCAACGCCTCGCGCAATAGCACATTTCCAGCTCCCTCCCACCCATCAACCCCTTTCTTCCCCTTGCTCCTCCGTGTGCTTCCCACATTCCGAACGCTAGGGGAATGTTGAATCACAAAGCAAGCCTACCACACTGCTTTCGATTCGCACGCACATGCTCGTACATAATTTGGCCCAGAACACCGACCAAAACTCATCACACCAGACTTACCTTTTCACCGACTAGCGGCTCGACCTACTTTGTCACCGACCAACCGCTACACTTGCCTTATCACGATGCACACGCGTGTACGGCACCATGAACCCTATAAATGCCACGGCCTGGATGTCAATCGATACCAGCTCCAGTTCAGCCAGAAAAGAAGCATTATCACCCAGAACGCTACTAGAAGCATTGCGCAACTCCCTCACGCTCTCTTCCTGTCCAAGGCACGTCCCTGGTTGATCTTTGATAGTTCCATAAAACGCAACCAGCGCAGCCATGAGGCGATCCAAGGTCCTACTCGCCCTGCTCGCCCTCTCCCTCGTCGTATCCCTCGCGCTGGTGCCGTCGTGCCGCGCGAATGAGACTGACGCGGAAGACGACGCCGACGGTGACGACTTGTCGGACGCCGCCATTTCTGCCGACGCGTCGCCTCCAGGTGCGTTGGGCAGTATTGCGCCGCAAGACGTGGCGTCCCCTCCGTCCCTGCGCTGTCTTACCTTGCTCAAATTCGGCACTACGAGCCCTAGACTTGAAATTCAACCATTCTTCCAATGTGTCCGTTCCTCGCCTTCCCTGACTCCTGGTCTCGTGAACTCACTCGCCCGTCCCTCCTTCCAGGTCTCGTGGGCCAGCTGTTAGGCGCGAGCAGGCGATTCCTGTATTCGCCGCGCATGCTGTCGTGCCGGTCTGACTGCGAGGACAAGAACAAGAAGTGCAACACTGATTACAGCGAGTGCAAGCGCGAGAACAAGGACGACAAGCACGACCACCACAAGTGCACGCACACGTACAAGAAGTGCAAGAAAAAGATCAAGAAGTGCCGCTCCAAGTGCGACTAGAGCAGAATCCAAACTCACAAGGAAGAATGCAGGATCATCCAGGATGGCTGGGAGGGTAAGTTTGGAGGTGTATCCTTTCCCTCGGGCTGTGCTATACTGTTTCCCGTTAGAAGTAGCGCCTGCATCACAGGTGTGGAGATAAACTGGTAGGCACTCAGGTGAAGGTATCGAACTGTAGTACATTTGTTTGGCAAACCATCTTATATCAATTGAGTAGTGTTTATTTATTACGGAATTCTTATCTCTTCATTGTGCGCAAAACTAAGCCAACCTCAGCCCTGCAACCCTGCTACCCATACCACCAACAGCTTGCACCATCTTGGAAACAGCAGGTGCTCCAACAAGGCCGCAGTGCCTCCAAGCCAGAAGCACTCTGCCACCCTCCAAGCAATCTACTACACACTACAAGTAATCAACACCCTACAAATCATCTTCCCAGTATCGTGCCATACCCCCACCACCAGCCTCTGGCGATGCTCCTGCTGCTGTAAACGACTCTGCACCCATTCCAACGTGTCCATACCCTTGCCCATTCAGCCCATCCCAACCTCTCTCCTGCTCCCGGGCCTCCCACTGCCATACCCAACCTGCTGCCATCATCCAAGCCTCGCTAAAGAGTGCTCCAATAAAGCGAATAACGTCTGCCGAGGTGACAAAGGGCAGTGCTCCAGCAGCCACAGGGAGGAGGAGGAGCAGGGTGAGGTGGAAGAGGAGGCGTCTTACCCATGGGGGAGGGGGAGGGGGGATGATGTGGGAGAGGAGAGGAAGAAGGTGTGAATGGGCCCACTTGCTGCAGATGAGGACAAAGGTTCGTGGGTTGGTGAGCAGAAGCTGAATGGAGGTGAAGCAGGAGGTGAGGAGAGTGATGATGAGGTGTGCCCATACTGAGAGTGACTGTAACGAGATGGTGGTGCAGCGAGGTAAATTTGTACAGGTGGAATCTGATGCCGACGATGACGATGCTAATGGTGACGACGAGGATACAGATACAGACGATGATCGCCGCCCAGAAGGCGATGAGGAGGACCGCCTTGCAGATGAGGACGACGAGGATGGCTCACTCTCTGCTGGATTGGACACGGAAGAAGAAGACGAGCGCCGTGATGCAGACCTGCCGACCGACCCTGGTCCGTTTGCCGCCCACCACCGCCCCATCACCAGCCCATCCACGTCATCATCCATGACAGCTGTCACGATCTCAGCCATCCGCCTCCACACGCCCCCCACCATCTTCCCAATGCCAAGCCCCTTCCACCCCACGTCCCTTTTGCTGCCCCTCCCACTACCCCCTCTGTAGTCTGCGTCGCCATTATTCCCCGAATGCTCTCTTGGGCGCCCTGTTGTATCCCTGCTGGAATGATCAGAATGACTGGAATGACTGGACTGACCTGCTGGGTTTCTGGAATGCCCTGCTGTGTTTTGAGAAGGCCCTGTTATGTCTCTGCTTGATACATTCTCTCCTCGTCTCCTCCACACCCCCTGTGCTGCTGCTGCTGTGGCGACCGCTGCTGCTCCCCCTCCTGGTGCCGAAGCTCCTGCTGCTGCTGCGCCTCCGACCACTGTTGCCCCTCCTACCAATCCTGACCCTGCACAAGACTCGCCAATCCCCCCTCTCCTATCCCCCTTCCCATCCGCCCCCATCCCCAACTTCCCCACCTCCTCCACCTCCTCCCCCGCCCTCCGACCATACAGCATTCGAAACAGCTGTTCCTTCCGCCATGCCACTAAAGCATGCAGCACGCACAGCGCCTCCCAGCACACCAGCCACACCACCGCATCCCCCCCTGCCAGCCGCACCGCATAGAACCCAAAGTAACCGCACACACACCCCAGGCACAGCACAATGGTGGTAGCCGGGCGGGAATGGGCGCTCCCCGCTCCTGTAGCAGCAGCCACGTTATTGAGCAACATGATATAAGTAGTGGCAGACGCGACCAGAAACGCCAGCAGCATCTGCCCGGCAACGGTCAGCTTGCACCCAATCAGACGCAGCCACGTCACCAGCGACCGGTCCGGGCGGGAGAACGAAACCCCGAGAAAAGACGAAGCGTCCAACGCAGGATCGTGCCGAACCTGGCAAGCCGCCACGCCAGCAGCCAGCCTCTCCCCTGCAAACCTCCACCCAGTCGCTCCTATCACCACCAGCATCACCAGCAACCCCGCAACCAACTCATCAGCACACGCCCTCGCAAATCCTGCTAGCTCCTCTCGCCCTCGCCTCTCCCGCCCCTCCCGCTCCCTCCTCGCCTTCTCTACTTTGGAAAGCTCGACCTTCTGAGCCATGAGGTGATTTGAAAGGTCTGTGGCGGCTAAGTGTTGCGCGTGGAGGGATACTGAGAGGGCGGATTGGGATAGCTTGGCGGCGGAGAGGCGGTTTCGCTCCTCTAGGGCGGTTACGTAGCGGAGGGCGAGCAGGGAGGGGGTGGGGGCTGTGACCGTATGGGATGTGAGTGCGTGGGATGTGAATGCATGGGATGGGGTTGTGATTGAGTGGGAAAGGGTTGAGTGGGCGTGTGAGAGAGCCAACGGTTGAGACGGTATGGGCTGGTACGGATGTGGCTGGTACAGGTGTGACTGATACGAGTGTGACTGGTGCACGTGTGATAATATTTGGTGGTGAGAATGTGGTTCGCCCGATGTAGAGCTCTGATGGGACGGGTGTGTGGGTGGGGCTACTGGAGAGGACGGAAAGGGCGCTATGGATTCAGGAGCGTGCGAGAGAGGAGCAAAGGGTGGTGAGGCGGATTGGTATGCGTGAGATGGAGGCGAGCGGCTTTCAGGCATGCGAGCGGGGATGGAGCTTGTAGAGACGGAACGAGTGGGGATGGCAGGGATGGGGGACTCGAACTCAGGAGCGTGCGAGAGAGGAGCATGGGGTGGTGAAAGGCCTTCACGAGTACGAGAAGGGATGGCAGTGACGGGGGACTGGGGCTCAGGAGAGTCCAATTGAGGAGCATAGGGTGGTGAGACGGAATGGCCTGTGTGAGAAGGAGGTGCGTGGCTTTCAGGAGTGCGAGAAGATTGTTTTTGAGGCGCCTCAAAAACAAGAGCATAGAATGGTGAGACGGATTGGTATGCGTGAGAGGGAGGTGAACTTGGAGCGTGTGTCTCCTGCTGCAACTGGTGCTGCATCTCCTGCTGCTGCAAGTGCTGCTGCATCTTGGTCTGCTCATGCAATCGCCTCGACTCTCCTTGCCTGCTCTTCCTCGCACTCTCTTTCTTCCCTGTGCCTTGACCCTTGTGCTTCCTGCTCTGCTCTTGCTTCCTCGTGCTACCACCCGTCTTCATCCCTCTGCCTGCCTTACACTCTCCCGTCATGCCCCACTCCTCTTCTTCTCCTCCATTCTCCTTAGTCAATCCCTTCTTCCTCTCCCTCTTCTCCCTCTGCTCGCCCTTCTCCTTCTGCTCCCTCTTTTCCTTCCTCTCCCTCTTTTCATCCTGCTCCCCCTTCTCCTTCTGCTCGTCTGTGTGGTCCTCTACCCCCCCACCTACCTCACTCTGCAGCAGCACGGCAGCCATGGGGTCATACGAAGAGATGAGCGAGCTCAACACTCCCACTCCATGCTCTTTCTCCTCCCCGTCCCCCCCCACCAACTCATCATCCACTCCTTCCTCCCCAGTCCCCTCTTCCCCTACCGCCACTTCCCCTGCACCTGCTCCCGCCTCCTTCCCCAACTCGCCCTTGCTTGCACCCTCTCCCTCAAAACCCCCAGTTGTTCCGTGTGAACACCCATGCCCATGCCTGCCAAGCCGCCATCCTGATCCAGGAGCTGAAGGAGCAGAGGCAGGGGCAGCAGCAGGAGCCGTAGCAGCAGGAGCCGTAGCAGCAGGAGCCGTAGCAGCAGGAGCCGTAGCAGCAGGAGCCGTAGCAGCAGGAGGAACAAAGGCCTGTCTCGGAACGGCTTGGTTCGGAACAGTGCGAGCCAGCGCCCTTCGTACGCGAGTGCAGGTTCGGAAGGTGGAGAGGGCTGCTGCAAGAAAGGCGTGGGGAAGAGGAGCGTGCTTCACCGCTGCTGCTGCCCCTGCTGCTGCCCCTGCTGCTGCTCCTGCTGCACATGTTGCTGAAACACATGCTGTTGCTGCTTCACCTTCTACACCAGCAGTCACTACACCACCCGCGCTGCTGCTGCGTGCTGTATTTGCAGCACTACTGTCTTGTGTTCCGAAGGGAAGAACCAGCTCGGACAGAGATGCCTCTATCATCTGAGGGGTGTGACCGAGGTGGAAGGAGGGACAGGGAAGGGAAGGGAGGAGGGGAGGGGGGTGGAGGCAGGAGAGAGGAGGAAGGGGGGGAGAGGAGGGAGGAGAGGGAATAGCTGGGGATTATATCACGAGAGCAGAAAAAGGGGTTGGAATCTCGAAAGGAAACGATGAAGGACGAAGATGTCAAGTCGGAGAGATCAAGGCAGCGACAAGAAACTAGAGAGAGGGATTACCTGGGAAAGCTCATCAATAGGGATGGGCTTCTGTGACGTCAGCACGTATGATTCCACCTGCACGGGTCCGACGCATTCATGAGATCAATCATTGTAATGAGGTGAGGTGAAAAACACAGTGAACAACATCAAACATTGATGGCTCCTCAACCGTCAGTGAGGTGAAGAACATCGTAGTCACTAGGGTATGATTCGCGAAGGGTAATATGGTGGTTGTAGAAGTTTTTGCAAAACAAATTTCACGTGTATTGAGAAGGGGTCAGTAATGGGCTATGGGAAGGCAGCAGCAGGGCCAGAGGGGTAAAATCACCTCGGAAATGACAGCGCCGAAGGCCACCCCGAGCGATTGAGCCCACTGATTCGCTAAGTCCACGCCAAGCCCAACGGTTGACCCACGCGTTGACCTATTATGCGTTGACCCATCATGCGTTGACCTATCAAGGGTTGACCCACAAGACGTGTGGTCCGTGGAGCAGCTCGAGTGACTACAACGAGCGTGACTAGATCGGTCGAGCAGTTGAGCTTCGTCCTGTGTCTTCTCGGTCCTCCGATTCTGTATCTCCGCGTTTCCATTCCTGCGGTTTGCGTCGATCGCGGCGTGGATTTCGCTGGTCGCGACCCCGTTATCGCTCGTTCGAGTCGCGTCAACGGTCACATCGCAGCTTGTGCAGCATGACGTGGCTCCACGTTGTTCACTGCTCACGGATTCCCGAAAATGCGGATCCGAACCTGAGGGAATCGAATCGAGATCACTGTCAGCTACTTCGTTGTTGCGGAGGGTAACAGCGCCGTCTTGTGAAGCACGCGAATTCTCGCTGTTTCGCGAAGCATGCGAACCGTCTTCCACCTCCAAGAGCGGCGTCCCGTCGTTGGATGGATCACTGATGATGTCACTGCTGACGTCGAATTCCTTCACGAATTCCGAGTTACTAGCTTCGACAACGGAACTAAATTCGCCAACCATGTCGCACTAAATGCGAACTATAATCGCCTCTTACAATAAGAATCAGGCTAAAACATTGATCCAAGCCAGTGAATCCTCCCAAGAGGCGTGCAAACAAGTCTAGTAGCTATTGAAAGCAGCAGTAAAAAACAGAGAATGAATGACGCTTATCGCCTGACCTCTTCATGACAGGTAATCCTGGCAATCTGTAAGCTCCATAGATGGTTTTCATCCGAGGTAATATTTCCAGTGGGCCGTGGGAAAGGAAGTGCATGCAGAGGTCAGGAAATGGCGGGAAAGGAGACTGTCAGAAGTGTCAGTGTACAAGGAGGACCTGAAATTTCCAACACAGGAATTCAAATTAGTCACGTAATGGGGTCTTCCCGAAACCATTTGAGCAATGTTCCTGCTAGTAGAGCTCATTATTTGTATGTAATGAGAAATCAAGACTGTAGATGATTTGCGCAAAACCATTCCCAAGGCGCTCTCCGTTTGTTGTACAAGCAGGCTGTGTGTCCCTCAAGCTTACCTACTGAGACCGCTTTAAGCCGTAGCAAACCCAACAAAACCGTGGTATGCGAATTCTGAGCACTGCGAAGTTTTCCCAGCTTCGGATGCTTCAGCTTCGGCGCTCGCTTCCCAATCCATTGGGAGCGTCGAATGCGTTGCACTGACATACAGCCCGTCCCGCCATGGCTGCTGTTTCACGAGTCATGAATTCCCGCGCGATTCAGGTCAGGGAATTTAGCCACGTTACGCTGAGAACGCTTAGAGTCTCCTCGGTTGCGAGCACTCGGCACACAGGCAGCTCATCAAATGTCATCCGTCAGATATCCGTTTTGCCGGCTGACGTGTACTCCTCGCGCTTCATTGGCTCAGGGAAACCTCAGATGTTCTCAACGCAGCTGCGTTTAAGTCGGTCTGATCCATTCAGTCACCTCCGTTACCGTCCCCTTACTGATTTTAGGATGGAATCTCCGAAATCATCTGCTGCTCTAAATATCAAATGTTATTCCGGTCAAGCAGACAATGCCTCATCAGGCATTTCTCCATCAAGCAGAGGCTCGGTAACAGGCACGGGTTCGGGAGGACGCACGGGTTCGGCAGCATACAATGGTTCTGCTGCAAGCAATCCAGCAGGCAATGCATCTGGCGACGGACTGGAGGGTTTGAACGAGGAGCAGCGAGCAGCGGTGGTTGCATCCCCGCACGGCTGTGTGCGCGTGGTCGCTGGCCCTGGGTCCGGGAAAACCCGTGTGCTCACCCACAGGGTCGTGAATCTTATCAAGAACCTCGGCGTGCACCCGCGGAAGATACTGGTGAGCTCGCTGGCCGCATGGATTCTGAAAATGAGAGAGCACAGGCATCCAGCGTTGTGTGGCCTATTGAAATGTTACTGGATGGCCCTTGATTACTTTTTTGGAGGATTGGTTTTACTTCAGAATTTGTTGACATATCATTTTCGCCTGTGCCTGTGCCTGTGCCTGTGCCTGTGCCTGCACCTGCAGTGTATCACCTTCACCAACAGAGCAGCCAATGAGCTAGTGACACGTCTCCAGGTCCTCCTCTCTCCCGAGGCTGCTGCAGCCGTCCATGTGAGTCACCACGATTACCACGCTCGTCACAGTTACCATGGTTACCACGCTGTTACCACAGTGACCACATTCCTACTCTCTAGAATTGCTCTCACCCGCGGTCAACTCAACCCAAACGTCACCTCACCTTCACCTATTCCTATCTCTGCTTGGCTCCACGCTTGGTTGGATCGCCTTTCTGGTTCGGATGCGTGCAGGTGGGGACCTTTCACGGCATTGCTGCTCGCATTCTCAGGCACAAGATGCTTCCCTCACTGCGCAATCGAAGGTGAGCAAGGGTGGCGTGGTGTGGTGAGGGTGCACACTGCCGTGTGTTCCTTTGAGGCGCCTTAATAGCGTTCTCAGGCACGAGATGCTTCCATCACTGCGCAATTGAAGGTGAGTAAATCAGACAGGGATGTACACTTTGTGTGACTTTGTATCACAAACATTCATCTGTGTACTTGTAAGCGTTTCTTCAGCGTGTCCACTTGCCTCCGTCTTCTAACTCGCATTTGCCTACCTGCCTGCAGGTGCTACAGGGACTACACCATTTACGATGAGGATGGTTTGTTGCAAGCATTGAAACGTCTGTAAAGTTGTCTCTTTGTGCCCAAACCCCCTTAATATGCCTGCCTGCAGGTGCTACAGGGACTACACCATTTACGATGAGGATGATTCGCTTCGAGTGATCAAGGAAATTGACAAACAGGTTCGGTTGGTCTCATGGTCCATACATGCAATGCAATCAGCTCATAAACCAATAAACCTTGAAACCTATGATCCCATGAATCCATGAACCCGAAAACCCCAAACCCCGTTTCCTCATCCATCCATCTCATTCTCTCAACCCCCATGTTTACTCCAGGAGAAAGAAAGGCTCGCTAAGATCAGCCAGTATCAGCCAGGAAAATCCAATTCAGCAGGGGGAGCAGCAGGAGGAGCCAATCCGGACGGCCTTTACGAGGCCATGTCCCATCTCTCTCTCCAATCAGGCGACGCCTTGTCAGCAGCACAGACAGCGGTGGCAGAAGTGCTAGGGGATAGAGGGGGTGGGGGGGCAGGGGGAGATGGAGTAGACGGGGATAAGGAGGGAAACCGGTTGAAAAATATAAGGGATGCGGTGTTGAGGTATAAGGAAGGGGGGATGAAAGAGGACATGAGGGGGAGAGTGGGGGAGAGGAGGAGAGGGAGGTTCGAAGCGGAGGAGAGCGTGTGGGAGTCTGGCATCATTCCCAGATATTCCAAGCTGTACGAGGTGAGATGGGGAATGGCTGTTGCGGCGCCTAGACTTTTGTCTTTTCAGGCGCCTCAAAAGGAGGAGAGCGTGTGGGGGTCCGGCATCATACCCAGATATCCCAAGCTGTACGAGGTGAGATTGATTTGGAATTCGATTTAAAAATAAAAATCGGCTGGGGATTAAAATACACCAAAATTTTATGAGGTGCGTTTTTTTTTTTGTCTCGAGTTGCATGTGCATACAACGCTGAAGGTGAGGGATTGTGTACTGCGAACATGCATTTTCCACCGTTCGTTCCCCTTTCTTTGCTCCCAGCCCCCCTTCTCCCTCAAAATTTTGAGGAGTATGCATTTGGTGAGAAAAAAATAGGCCCTTCTTTATTGCCGTTACCTCCTTTTTGAAGCGCCTCAAGAAGGAGGCCCTTTCCTTCACTTCCTGCTCTCCCTCTTACTGTCAGGACGAGCTGAGGCGCAGCAACGCACTGGATTTTGACGACCTGGGCATGTGTTGTGCGGCTCATTACACCCTCTCTTCCTTCAGCCCTCCTGCTGTTCCTTCTGCTCTTCCTGCCCTCCCTGGTTCACTTCCCGCCTTCCCTCTCCCTTTCAGGACGAGCTGAAGCGGAGCAATGCACTGGATTTTGACGATCTCACACACTTCCTCCTCGACCTCTTTCACACACAGCCCCACGTGCTCAAGGTGAGCGTCGCATGGGTAGCCTTGCGTAGTGTGCACAGGAGTCTACACAGCATAAGATATCATATAACGCATATGTATGTGCTGATGGGCCAACAATTGCTTCTTTCGTATGCCCGTCTCACCCAGATGCCCATACCTCTCTTCTCTTGCCACCTCAGAAATACCAGGAGCGCTTTCAGCATGTGCTGGTGGACGAATTTCAGGACACGGATTCGGTGAGTGGGTAGAGTAACAACACCGCAGCCATCTGTGCGTTGCCCTGCCATGCTGCCTCTGGTATCACGGCAGGTTTCAGCATGTGCTGATGGACGAGTTTCAGGACACAGATTCGGTGAGTGGGCAGCGTTGCAGCACCTCTCATCTCTTCTCAACTTCCGCTCTTGTCGAGATGTCGGCGCTTTCAGCATGTGCTGGTGGACGAGTGTCAGGACACGGATTCGGTGAGTGAAGTGAACAGCGTTGCAGCACCACAGCCCTCTGATGTTGATTTGCTCTGCCACTCTGGCTGTGGTACCACAGCAGCTTTCAGCACGTGCTTGTGGGCGAGTTTCAGGACACGGATTCTGTGAGTCATCACCTTTGCTGATTGACACATGCTTTGAAATACTCTCTTCTTAATTAGGGTTTTTGCATATCTGTGCATATTTTTGAAAAAGCATCTTGCGCACAGCTGAGAAGGGTTCAAACACTTGAAGAGCCTCTGTTCTTTTGTCGCCCAACCATGCTGTCTTCCTTCCCTTCTGTTTCCAGTATGAGGTGCTTCAACTCTCAGCGTTTAACGTATGCTTCTCCCCGTCACTCTCCCTGTCTTTCTCCCTGCTTTTCTCCTGCCTTCCTGCCTTCCCTCCAGTTCCAGTATGAGTTTGTGCCGCTCCTAACACTCAACTCCAAGCGCCTCTTTGTTGTGGGGGACACTTGAGTTGACTTAGAATGACTCCTGAGTCTCCAATAAGATTTTTTCTCCTTCTCCTCCCTGCCTTATCTGCTGTCGTCCTTCCCTCCAGTTCCAGTATGAGATTGTGCGGCTACTAACACTCATTTCCAAGCGCCTCTTTGTTCTGGGGGACATCGACCAGGTGAGATCAGGTGCCACATTGATAAGGTGAGAGAACTCGATTGTTGAAGCCAAAGAGCCTGATTGTTGTGAGAGATGTTGACCTGGTGAGAGAGTCCTTTCCCAATCACTTGTTGCTCTCGCTCCCACCTCTAACTCACTCCTCTCTAATCTAACCTGTGTGCATGGCATGGCATGGCATGGCATGGCATTGCATGGCATGGCATGGCATGGCATGGCATTGCATGGCATGGCATGGCATGGCATGGCATTGCATGGCATGGCATGGCATGGCATGGCATTGCATGGCATGGCATGGCACGGCCTGGCATTGCATGGCATGGCATGACACGGCCTGGCATTGCATGGCATGGCATGACAGTGGATCTACTCGTGGTGGGGAGCGGAGTACCATTACTTGCAGCAGCCTCCTGCCTGCTAGCACGCCTTGTTGCTCACTTGCTACTCTCCTCCCTCCCAATTGCATGCACATATGGCATGGCATGGCATGGCAGTGCATGTACTCGTGGCTGGAAGAGGAGAGGAGTATCACTTCCTACGTGCAGCAGCCACCTGCCTGCCTGTGTGCCATGCCACACACTTCCTGTCTCCCCTTTGACATTCGCTCGTTCCCCTCCTCCCCTTTCTCGTATGGCATGGCAGTGCATCTACTCCTGGCGTGGAGCAGAGTACCATTACTTGCAACGGATTTTAGATGAGGACTTTGATGACGTCACCACGCTGCAGGTGCGTGAGTGAGTGAGTCCTTCGTCCCCCGCCTCACCACATTCAAGGCAAACTTTGCACGGTGGGTGAATTGAGCTTGCACCAATAATGGTATGCTGCCAATATTTCTCTCCTTTTCCTCATTGAAGTCACAGTAAGAATTTCTACATATGCCACCTTCCCCTCCCCATGCCCATCCTTTCCACTTGTAATCCCCACTTACAGCTTCGCAGCAACTACCGCTCTTCACAAAGCATCCTGCAGGCAGCAAACCAAGTGATCCAGGGAGGACCCAGGGACAGGCGTGTTGGAGGAGGCACCCTGGAGCTGAAACCCACCAAGGTGGGTGGTGTGAGGGGGGAGGTATGGGGGAGTGGGGACGAGGATAAGGGGAAAGAGGAGCGGGCAGCAAACCGAGTGATTCAGGGCGGGCCCAGGGACAGGCGCGTTGGGGGAGGCACCCTGGAGCTGAAACCCACCAAGGTGAGGAGCGTGAAAAGGGAGGGGGAAATGGGAATATGGGTGAGATAGGTCAAGGGAATGAGAAGCACAGGGGGATTTTATATCTCTAGTCAATTGCCCTTTTTCCTCCCCCTATCCATCTCCCCCTAACTCGCACATCCCTCTCCATTCGTCACATGATTGCACCACTAGTGACGAATTAGGGAGAACTAGGCTGGGAACGAGGGGGAGATAGCCTGAAGACGGTGCGGTCCGCTACGATCTGACAAGCACATCCCCCACTAGTGGTGTGCTTGTTTTTCTTCCCCTCGTGTGCAGGTGAACCGCTACGATCTGACAAGCTTGCTCCCTTCCCCCATTCCTCTTCCCCTCTCTTCCCCCATCCCCTTCCCCCATTCCTCTTCCCCTCTCTTCCCCCATCCCCTTCCCCCATTCCTCTTCCCCTCTCTTCCCCCATCCCCTTCCCCCATTCCTCTTCCCCTCTCTTCCCCCATCCCCTTCCCCCATCCCCTTCCCCCATTCCTCTTCCCCTCTCTTCCCCCATCCCCTTCCCTCTCTTCTCTCCCGCAACCATCGCAGAGGAGATATAGCCCTCTCTTTCCTCCTCGTACCCCTCTTTACTCCTGCTTCCCCCCATCCATCTACTCCCCTCATTTCCCCAGCCCCCAGGCCATCCGGTGTTCTTCTCCTTCTTCCCGTCATGTGCCAGTGAAGCCGCCACCATCGCAGAGGAGATAGAGAGCCTCGTCAACCCCAATGAGCTGTCCCCTTGGAGGTGCAGGCAGCGGTGAGGGGAATAGGTAGGGGGGAAAGCCCTCTCACTTCCACCCATTTTTCTCTTCCCCCCACTCCCCCAGCCCCCAGGTCATCCCGTGTTCTTCTCCTTCTTCCCCTCGTGCGCCAGTGAAGCAGCAACCATCGCAGAGGAGATAGAGAGCCTCGTCAACCCCACTGAGCTGTCCCCCTGGCGGGGGCAAGCAGGAGCGAGGGGAGGGGCGGGGGGATGGGGGAGGGGAGGGGCGGGGGCAGGGGGAAGGGGATGGGCGGGGGGAGGGGCGAGGAGAGGGGAAATGGGACGGGCGAGAGCAGGGGAGGGCGGAGGGGCGAGGGGAGGGGAGGAGAGCGGGGGGTATGCGTGGAGGGACTTTTGTGTGCTGTACCGCACACACGCCCAGGCAGTGCAGCTGCAGCAGGGGCTGGCTGACCTTGCAATCCCGTGCATCGTTGTGGGAGGGAGCACGCTGTTCCAGAGGAAGGTGGGTTGCTGCTGCTTTCTGCTGTGCCCCGTGTTGCCTCGCTACTGGAGGCCAAGGCAAGTCAGCCAAACTACACTCCAGCAGGGGTTGACGAGCCTTGCCATCCCGTGCATCGTTGTGGGAGGGAGCACATTGTTCCAGAGGAAGGTGGGTAATGGGTGGGGTTTTGAGTCGTCTCAAAACACGCTAAGAACACGCTAAGAACACGCTCAGAACACGCTCAGGCAGTGCAGCTACAGCAGGGGTTGACGAGCCTTGCCATCCCGTGCATCGTTGTGGGAGGGAGCACGCTGTTCCAGAGGAAGGTGGGTTGCTGCTGCTTGCTGCTGCTGCTGCTGTGCTTTGCCTCTATCGCACTGTTACTGGAGGCTTCAGATAGGTCAGCTGGGAACCTCTGCAGCAGGGGACTTTTGAGGCGCCTCAGAAGTTGCCTCTATTGCACTGTCACTGGAGGCTTAAGATAGAGGCAACTTTCGAGGTGCCTCTATTACCTCTGAGCCTCTAAGCCTCGAAGTCAGCTGGGAACTTCTGCAGCAGCAGGGGTTTGCGAACCTTGCAACCTCATGCCTCCGCTGCAGCAGGTGTTGGCTTGGCGAATCTTGCAACCTCTGCAGCAGCAGCGACCCTTGCCTCAGCTCCCTCCCCTCCCTCTTTTCCCTCCATCCCATCGCCTTCTCTCAGGTGGTGCGGGATCGCATAGCCTACATGAGAGTAGTTGCAAATCCAGCCAATGATTGCCCATCCCATCTCCCTCCCTCCTCCCCTGCCTCCTTTCCCCCCCACACTCTCCCTCCCTGCCACTCTCAGGTGGTGCGGGATCTCATAGCGTATATGAGAGTAGTTGCGAATCCAGCAGACAGTGTTGCGTGGTCGGATTTACAACACGCCCTCCAGAGGTATTTTGGTGTTTACCCTCGAAATATTCTGGTGTTTATCCTCGAGAGGTATTTGTGTGTTTACCTCCAGTTCTTAGGGTGTGTACCCTTCAGGAGTATTCTGTTTCTTTCTTTTTTTTTTTATCCATAGGTAGTCGGGGTTGACCTGAGATGTTTTTCGGCCTGAATGTTTTCCCGCCTCACCTTCCCCCACCACCTTACCTCCTTCTCCCCTATAATTTCATCCCTCCCCTTCCTTCTCCCACACCCCGCGCCTTTCCCATGCAGGCCTGGGGGCCAAGTCATGGGCGGCAGTGCAGCAATGGGCTCAGACCCTCGACTCCCCTGCAGGCACTGCAATCCTGGTACTTCCACGGCCTTGCATCCATCCATGCAGCCATCCATCCATCCATGCACCCATGCATCTATGCAGCCATCCATTACTGCACTGCACCCATTCATGCATCCTCTTACCATCATCCTTATGTTGCAGTCCCCGTCTCTCCGCCATGACATGACCAGGAACTAGCATTGGGCAAGCATGCAGACAACCCCCCTGCAATATCCAAGAAAGCCAGGTCAGATAGCCTGCCTGTCTCTTGCTTGTGCGTTTCTGTTGCGCGCACAAGTGTCTTATTTTACCCTGTTCTTCTTTGTTCTCTTGACATTGCCCAGATTGTTTTGCGCAACCTAGTGAACTAAACTCTTTTTTTTCCCCTCTCCAACCAAAACAGATATGTTCTGTGTATGTACCCTAACGAATATATCGCTTTCCATCTGTTTTTACCCGGTCTCTGAACCTGCTGTCTCCACCTCCCCTTCCTCTCCCTCATGCTGTCTTGGTCACACTATTTGTCTCTAGCACACTATCTCTGCTGCTCACTTGAGCACCCACTTTCACGTTGATTAAAAGAATTTTCAACCACTTTAATCTATCCCCTAATTTAGGTGCTTAAAAAGAAACCACCCCAACCCTCCCTTTGTGTCTCCTCTTGTCCTCTTAGGGAGAATCTCCTCAGCTTCGCACACCCCTCGTCCTCTCCTGCCTTAGTGCCATATGCACGCACACCTTCTCCCTGTGTCTTTACATGTCGCAGGGAGAATCTCCTCAGCTTCGCATACCTCATCCTCTCCTTCCGCCGTGCCATAGGCACCGTCGATGGCGCCGACTCAAGTCTGGCGGCCTCAAGTCTTGCTGTTTCGAGTCTTGACGGTTCGAGTCTCAGTGGGAGCAAGGGTGGGACGGAAGGGCTGCCTCATGCCGGAGGGCTGCTGGGGGCTATAGTGGATGTGTGAGTAAAGGAGGAGGTGGTGAGGGAAGGTGAGGTTAAGCTGTCTGTTTGCTTAGCTTTTAAAAAGGTGCACAGGAAGTGCTGCCTCACGCCGGTGCAATTCAGTGGGAGCAAGGGTGGGACGGAAGGGCTGCCTCATGCCGGAGGGCTGCTGGGGACTATAGTGGATGCGTGAGTGTGTAAGGAGGGAGGAGGGGGGGGAAGAGAAGGGCTGCCTCATGCTGGAGGGCTGCTGGGGACTATACTGGATGTGTGAGTGAAGGAGGAGGTGGTGAGGGAAGGTGTGAGTGGTGTTTTAAGTCGACTCAGAATCCGTCTCAATTACTCGAGTCTCAGTGGGAGCAAGGGTGGGACGGAAGGGCTGCCTCATGCCGGGGGGCTGCTGGGGACTATAGTGGATGTGTGAGTGTGTAAGGAGGGAGAGGGGGGGGGGGAAGAGAAGGGCTGCCTCATGCCGGGGGGCTGCTGGGGGCTATAGTGGATGTGTGAGTAAAGGAGGAGGTGGTGAGGGAAGGTGTGAGTGGTGTTTTAAGTCGACTCAGAATCCGTCTCAATTACTCGAGTCTCAGTGGGAGCAAGGGTGGGACGGAAGGGCTGCCTCATGCCGGGGGGCTGCTGGGGACTATAGTGGATGTGTGAGTAAAGGAGGAGGTGGTGAGGGAAGTGTGAGTGGTGTTTTCAGTCGACTCAGCACCCGTCTCAGTGACTCGAGTCTGAGAGAGGACAAGGGTGGGATGGTAGCACTGCCTCATGCCAGAGGGCTGCTGGGGGCTATAGTGGATGTGTGAGTGTGGAGGGAGGGTGTGGGGGGGGGGGGAAAGAGAAGTGCTGCCTCATTCCGGAGGGCTGCTGGGGACTATAGTGGATGTGTGAGTGTGGGGGAGGTGGAGCTTCAGGAGAGTTGGGGTTAAGCTGTCTGCTTTCTCGCACTGTTTTTTGCGAATCTCTTCCCCCATTTCTTTTGTCCCAAAATTTCTTGTTCACCTTTCCCCCAAACCTCTTGTCCATCCCTCTTTCCGCGCCTCTTTCCCATACCTCCGGTCTAGGCTTGGGTTGAAGCAAGAGTACAGCCCGGCAGCAGCGGCAGCGGCAGCAGCAAAGAGCCGGTCTTCCAACCCTGCTGCGTTGAGGCAGAGGCATGAGGAGGAGGGGAAGAGAGCTCTTGACCAGATGGAACGACTGCAGGTGGGTGGGGTGAGGGGGTGTACAGCGTGGTTGTGAGGAGCTGAGAGGGGTTACGGCAGCAACAGGAGGATTCGGTCTCCCAACCCAGCAGCGTTGAGGCAGAGGCCCGAGGAGGAGGTTAAATGAGTTCTTGATCAGATGGAACGACTGCAGGTGGGTGGGATGGGCGGGTTGGGTGGTGGTTGCTTGGTTTGGTTAGGTGTATGGTGCAGCAGCATTGCAGGTGAGAGCAGTCACAGCAGCTACAGCATTAGCAGCAGCAGCTGAGAGCTGCTGAGAGCTGCTCCCCCAAGCCTGCTGCGTCGAGTCACATTCTATTCTGTGTCTGCAACTTCTTGCTTTGCCTTTCCCGAACCGAATGCTGGCACTGCAGGACCTAGCGAACAGGTTCGGCCCGAGCTGTGGAGTTGGCATGGAGGGGGTGCGGAACTTTCTGGAGCAGATTGCACTGCTTTCAGGGGAGATTCACGAGTCTGGGGTGAGTTAATAAGGAGTATAATGCGAGTCAATAAGGAGTATGGGGTGAGTCATTAACGAGTATGGGTTGAGACAGTAAAGAGAACCGGGTGAGTCAATAACGAGACCGGGGTGGGTCCAAAACAGGTGAGCATGCAGATAGCATGAAGGCAAGGGTTCGCAGGTTGTTTTATGATTCCTATAATTGTATTTCTTCTCCCTTCACCCTCCTCATTACAGGGCAAGGAGGGACAGCTGTCAGCCAATGCGGTGCGGCTGATGACCATTCACAAGGCCAAGGGGCTGGAGTTCCCCGTGGTCTTCCTGACAGGCTTGGAGAATCGGATCCTGCCGCTGGCTCCGACAAAGGAGATGGCACAGTGGAAGGGGTGTGAGGAGAGGCCTGGTTGGGAGAGGGTTACTCTAGGAAGGGGGAGTAGGCATCACGGCCATTATCATTTTCAGAATCAACAACATAATGGTCGTAATCAGCAGCAGCACCGGCAGCAGCAGTGGAAGCGGGGAGACGGTTGGGTGCAATCAGGGGACTTGGAGCGTGGAAGAAAAGAGGAAAAGGAGTTCTACTTTAACGAGGAGGAACGGCGGCTGTGCTATGTAGCAATGACCCGTGCTCAAGACCGGTTGTAAGTTGCCTTTCAATTGTAATGTATAAGCATGTTTTGTTTCCATGATTTATTTTGCGTAATTTGTTTAACAACAATGTTTGTGCTGATATTTTGTTACAGGTACCTGAGTGGTGCATGGCAGCGCCGATGGTATGCCGAAAAGATGCACTCATTGGAGCCGTCGGTCTTCCTAGATGGCCTGCAAGACCTTGCTCCTTTTCCAGGAAGCATTTAGGTCAAGCCATCCGTTGTAAAATAAATAGTTGTAAGAGCTTGCAAATTTGCTAAAGCTACATCCGAATGAGCTTGTGCATAAATATTGAAAATATACCTGCGTTAGGTGGAACGTCTGCACTTATCTTGGTGATCTCTGGTGCAACAAACGCGAACGCTCCCTTCGCTAGTGAGTTCCCTAGGCTACGTACAACCGTCATCCATCAAATGCATTCCATCCGTTTCTCCTCGCGACTCCATTTTCGCAGTTCCGATTCAGTTTTCAGAAAGCTTTCCCCTTACCCCAGAATCGCGAGCAACCTAGTTTCCAAAGATTCGTGGCCTCCTATTTTTCCGGACATTTGTCAATTCCGCAAGCTCGAGAGGTCTGAATACTTTCTATGCGTTTATCTACTCATCTTTGAGAAGTCTAGTAGCCATCTCGATTAGGTGTTTAGAACAACGCTCTCGCAAATAAGTACGCGGTTGTAAGAGCCGCCTAGAGTGCGGAATCCCTTCACGCGTTATTCAAGACGACGCAAGGGTCAAAGCTGCGTTGAACGAGAGAGATACTCAGCAAAATGGCGGGCGTTACGGCTGTAGAATCAGTGAAACCGTCACAAGATGAGGGGGCGATGGAGGCCAAGGGGAAGAAGGGGTCAAAGCAGGAAAAGGGGTTGAAGCGGAAGAAGAAGGATCCAAAGCGTAAGGGAACTGCTGCGGTCAGCGCTGAGGCTGCTTTTGAGGCGCCGCAAAAGCGTAAGGGAAGTGCGGTGGTCGATGATGCGGACGAATTGGCGGAATACGCTGCGGCTGCTGCAGCAGAGGAGCAGTCGAAGCGGAAAAAGGTGTCAAAGCGGGAGAAGAAAACAAAACGGGAGGAGGAGTCAAAGCGTAAGGCAGCTGCAGTGGTCGGTAAGGCGGATGAGTCGGCGGAGTACGGTGAGGGTGCTGCAGCAGAGGAGCAGCCAAAGCGGAAGAAAGGGCCAAAGCGGAAGAAAGGGTCAAAGCGGAAGAAAGGGTCAAAGCGGAAGAAAGGGTCAAAGCTGGAAAAGAATGCAAAACGGGAACTGGAATTGGAACGGAAGAAGGAGTTGAGTAGCAATGGGACGAATGAGGCAACGACGGGTGGTAAGGATGCAGCAGCTGGTGCCAGGGATGCAGCACTGGGTGGTGGAGATGTAGCAGCGGAGGCAGAGTGTCGATCTGAGGGGTCTAAGCGGGCTAATAAGGGGTCAAAGCGGAAGAGATCTGTGAGTGGCGACGTGGACGCTAGCAGCGTTGGGGATGAGGCAATGACAGGCGTTGAGGCTGCATCAGAGGCGGAGCAGACACTGGGGAAGGAGAAAAGGAAGAAGACGAAGCGGAAAGGGGCTGTGTTTGATGGGTCTGCTTGTGAGGCAGCTGCAGGTGTTACGGTTGCAGCAGAAGCGGAGCAATCACCTGAGAAAACGAACAAGAAAAAGAAGAAGCAGAAACTGGCTGCGTGTGATGGGGCGAATGAGGCAGCCAACGAGGCAGCTGCGGGTGATAATACTGCAGCAGAAGCGGAGGAATCACGTGTGGAGAGGAAGAAAAAGAAGTCAAAGCTGAAAGGAGCTGTGGGTCACGGGGTTGTTAGTGAGGCAGTGACAGGCGCTGGCGTTACAGCAGAAGCGTTGCAAGCACATGAGAAGAAGGAAAAGAAGAAGTCAAAACGGAAACGGACTGATGATGGGGCTGCCAGTGAGGCTGCTGCAGGTGATGATGCAGCAGCAGAAGCAGAGCAGTCACGTGTGGAGAAGAAGAAGAAAAAGAAGAAGTCGAAGCGGGAGAGAGCTGTGAGTGATGGGGTGAAGGAGGAAGAGAGAGGTGCTGAGTTTGCAGAGGAAATTTATAAGGAGCATGATGCAACGTTAGAAGGTGATACTGAGGTGGCAGCAGCAGCGGAAGAGTCTCAGCTGAAGGGGAAAAGGGGGGAATCAAAGCAAGAAAAGGGGTCAAAGCGGGAGAAGGAAAAGCAGAAGAGAGGGGATAGCAGTAACGAGGAGACCAGCGGCATCGGGAATGGTGCAGCGGCAACGGAAGGGGTTGCGGTTGCAGCAGCAGGCGAGCAGCCGCGAGTGAGCGGGTCGAAGCGGGAGAAGAAGGCAGAACAGAAGAGAGCGCTGGGTGGTGGCAGCGGGGAGAACGGTAGCAGGAGTGATGGAGTGACAGGGGAAGGGGTGGGGGCTGCAGTAGCAGAGGAAGAGCAACCGTGGGTGAAGGGATTGAAACGGAGACGGGTTTCAGCCCGCATCGGTGAGGGTGAAGCAGCAAGGGTTGAATCAGCAGAAGGAAGTGAAGCAGCAGTAGGAGGAGCAGCAGCAGCAGGAGTTGAAGAAGCAGCAGCAGCAACAGCAGCAGCAGCAGCAGTAGCAGCACCAGCAGTAGGAGCACTAGCAGAATCTGAAGTAGCACCGATGCCGGCAGCAGAAGCAACGCCGGCACAACCAGCAGAGGCAGATGCAGTAGGGGTAGAAGGAGCAGCGGCACAACCAGTCGCACTAGGAACAGAGCCGACAGCAGCACGGGAAGAAGAAGCAGGAGCAGATGCAGCAGGGGTAGAAGCAGCGGGGGAGGAACCAGCAAAGAAAAGTCCGGCACTCAAATCAAGGCCGAAGAAGAAAAGCGGAAAAACAAGCAGCGTTTCTGCAATTCCGGCTGATCTGCGCTCGCTCTTCGAGTCATGGGGCATGGACCAGCAGCAGATGTTTCGGGTACTCGTGCTGCGTCCAGGACTCGCGAAAGTAAGCGTAAAAGAGCGAATCCTGCCGGGCATCGCAGTGTTACGCGGTTACGGAGTTGAGACCTGCGATCTCGCCCATGCGACCCTCATCCAGCCCTGGTGGCTCGGCGCCTTGTCTGCAGAGGGCATAGAAGAGGTTCTGCAATTTCTGCGGGGTTTGGGAGTCACGGATGGGGAGTTCCTAGGGAAGCTGCTGCGGCGGAATCCTTCGATGTTTGCGACCGACTCGAAGAAATTTCAGGAGAGGAAGATTGGGATGCTTAGGGAGATTGGCATTACGGACGTTGTCAGAACCATGAGAAGGGATTCGCGAGTGATGACTGCTCGTCCGGCAACTGTCACGGGGAAAGCGGATTATTTGAAGGAATTGGTGGGAAGTCATCATGCTCATAACATCGTAACGCGTAACACCAACCTCCTGGCAATCTCGACGCAAGAGCTTACGTCCAGGGAAGGGCTGTTTCAGGAGTTTTTTGACTGTGAACTACCCCGGACGGTCTTAGCCAAGTTTCTCCGGAAAGTGGATAACTCTTCTGCTGAAACCCTGCGAGGGAGGTTTAAAGCACTGGTCGACTTTCTCGGGGTGAATTCCGCCCGAGAAGTTCTTCTGAAATACCCCAAGGTGTTAGAAGCCCCGGAGGAGTCAATACGTGAGAATTTTCGTCGGTGGGACTCATTCTTAGCGGGCGAATATGATGTTGCGGATATGGTTCGGCGGTATCCGCTGCTGCTGAGCGCCAAATGGGAGAGTAGCATACAGCCTAAGCTGGACTTTTTGCAGAAAAATCTTGGGCTGTCTGCCAAAGCTATAGGTTCAGTGCCATACCTGGTGACTCTTAGCCTTGAAGGCAGGTTGAGGCCGAGAGAGGCGGTGCTTAGAAAGGCTGGGTTGTCGATTGTTGAGTCGGCGGATGGTAAGGTCAAGTGTGAGATGAAGGGTAAGGGGCTGGCGCTGAATACTTTTTTTGGAATCGATTCGAACAGGTTTCGGACACTCCTTAGCAATCATGGTCTTGCAATGGATTGAAGGTGGATCTAGGAAGGAATTTGTACCGTATGTGGAATCAGGTTAGAGGGTTAGCTGTCTGTTCCTTGAATACCTCAATGTGTGTTGAGGTGGTATGTAGTGCCTGGGATGATATGTTCGAATCAAAGCCCATAGCGCGTCTTTTCATTATGGAAATCTTGACAACGAGGACACCTGATGGGACAAATGAAGACGGGCCAGCCACGCGAACACAGGTTTCGACCCAGCTGGCACGTAAACCAGCGTGGAAATGTGATTGTATGACTTGGCAGAATGTGGCATCATCAGAACTCGGTGACAACGATGTAGGCCACGCGAGCCCCAAAACCACCACCATGTTATCATTGGCTGATACACATCCATGTCAGAAAGCCTTGATCCACATCGACGTGGGCTGAAGCAGGCCCATTGTCAAACCCAATGCTGACGCTGCTCCATTCAACGTCAGCTCGGAAGTATCAGCTCCGCCTTCCTCCATTCAGCAGGCAACGCAACGATACGAATTTCTTGAGGATCCCGTTTCTTGATTATCCCAGCCCGCCAAGCTGGGTATAAGTAATCCCTGGTCCGTCTCCCTGATTATCGCATTTCTGGACATTCGCCGTCAGGTTCAGCCAAGCTTGCGTTGCTTTCTTCTTTGTGAATTGATTCTTCGCTTGCTAATCCCTCAGCAATGGCTGCTACCTGCATGGCTACGCTCGCTCATCCGTCTGCTTCTCTTGTGAAGACTTCAGCAAATGTTCAGGTGAGGCCTCTTCCAGCATGTGCTGGCTTGGGACCTCTCCGGATAGTCTCCAGGATGACTCGGATGGCGTCATTCGTGAAGGCGACTGAAGGCGCTCGGTCAAGGTCTCGCGTGGTGTGTGCCGTTGGCGACGTATCAGGCGACGCAACGACTTACCTGATTGCTGGAGCCGTGGCCATCACGCTTATCGGTACCGCCTTCCCCATCCTGTTCTCTCGAAAGGATCTCTGTCCAGAATGCGATGGAGCTGGTTTCATCCGGAACTCACGTGTCCTGAATGCGAATGCTGCGCGGAAGGACGACAACCGGATTGTGTGCCCGCGATGCAAGGGTTTGGGAAAGCTTAACCAAGTGGACAAGTAAATTTGTTCGGCAAAGGATGGTTGAAAGTGAAGGACATGGGTCAATTCACAGCTCTCGTGACATGATATCGAACGCGTGAACATCAGACACTGTCGACCATGTTTATTTTCCGCCCCGTGCTCCTGCTTCTCCAAGCTCTCGATGCAGCTTTCAGCTGACTTTGATGAGTTGATTTTGGACTAGATTGATGGCTCGGTAATTTTCTGACAATTTTGTATATGAAATTTGGAAGGTTGTTATGAAATTCGCCTATTCCGCGTTCCATCAGTCCTGCATCACTTACTGTCCTGGTTTAAATGGTGGCTTTTACTATCCTACATCACGCTGAACTGCCAATCTTGAATAGGCACTCAATACAGCCATTCGTTCCTCGTGACGTTATGATGCATTAATGGGAAAAGGTAAACACAGTTTCAGCCACTAGGACTCAGAAATTATTACTCAGACGATCCTCACCTCAGATGCTCTTAAAACTTAGGCCCCAGTCAGAAAAGGACCCAATTACGATCTTGACGACTCAGATGTCAGGATCTCTTTAGAGTTAGGGCCTCAGCCAGAAAAGGACCTTGAGTTTGTGCGCCACGGAATACTGCACGGGACGCGATTGATTGACTGCAAAGCGACTTCAGGAAGTGCATAGAGCAAGTATAAACTCAAACACGCAGCAGCGGGCCTCTTTTGTGCAATTTCGTTATTCGCTGAAGCTCCGCTCCCTCAAGTTGTCTCGGCATAGGCGAATGAAAATTTTGAATTATCACCTGGGTCTATTCGCCCCTAAGGCTCGAATGATGCCTGGTCCGAGCCAGCCCAACCGCTGGGAAAGCAAACTGTACAGTTGTACTGTACACTGTAGGCTGCTGGTGCAAGCTAACGAGGGTCACTTTCGAAGGTTCCCTCCCTCCCATTCATCCCCAGCAATTTGGATCACACCTGCGACTCCGCTTGGCAGTCAATCGCAGTAAACATCCGTCACTACCTTGGTTCCGCTTGGAACCAGCAGCAAAATTTGGACATTCGCGAGACATTTTCGTGAGTGAGACGACATCTTTTCACAGGCTGCGAAGATCAAAGATGCTTGACCGACGCTCATCCCGTTACACAAAATCCGTTTGACCGACCTTCATTCTGTTACAGCACAAAGTCGGCAGTGGATTGGGCGGAGGGGGTGGCTCACAGAGGAACCTGATGGCACATGCAGCTGTGCACAGACCACAGCTGGTTCTTTCCCCTCCCCAACAACCAGGTCGTAACCAAGCTCGCGGTCACCTGATAAGCTCTTCGTTCAACCTCCCCCTGGGGGCAGTCACCTCCCAGCCAGATCCCCCAATGCGACATCAACGAATTAATGTGTAACTCACAAATTGGTCGCATCACTATCGCTGGCGTCGAACTTCGGTTGACCATTTGCTGCGGCGAGGGACAAAGTGCCAGCTTTGGCTTCAAGTTTGCACATCTGTGGATGAAGCTCCTGATTTACCCAAACGTTTCTTTCCACGCACGCGTGTCTGCCTAGGATTTAGGATCAGAAACGGTAGTTGTTGCTCCAATGTTTAGCTGTTGGTTGTTGTGAGATGCACATAAGCCTCGTAGCTCAATAGCTTCCTGTCTTACAGGGATTTCTTGATGCTTGACACTATTGCGCTTTAGTCACAAAGGCTGTCGTAGAGTAGTGACAGAAGACTGTCATAGAGGGGATGCTTGATGCCCAACATAAATGCGCGTTCTTGAAGTAGTCGCAACGAAGCTAGTTCTCTGTTACTGCCGAGAGTCGCTATACCTTTAGAGGGAGGCGGTTGCAGGAAGCCACAGGCACAAGGTGTCTGAGATATTATGGCTCCAGAAAGAAAAGGCTCTTTGAAGACATCAAGTGACGCGTTTCAAGGTGCATAATCGAGTTCTTGCAGCTATGACAACTTTCTTTTACGAGATGTGGATCTGGAGGGAGAGAATTAATATCTCCAAACTAATTTCACCTGCAGGACTATACAAAGGAGCTGATATTCTGTTGTTACGATATTTATTCCCCAAACCCGAAGACATCAGTCTGGAGGCACTAATCCCGGTAAAAGAACGAGATTCTATACCTCGCCCGTCCTCGATAGCCGAGCTTGAATCATCAACAGATGCAAAAACTTCGGCATCCAGGCGTACCCCCGTCCCCATGTTCAACTCCATAATTTCCGCTCTTCTTTATTGTTTCGTCGGACTCGCCATGGGTTTTATAAACAAGGTACGATGTCTCAAAGCTCTTTACTGGTAGTGGACCTCTGATAACAGTGCCACGCGTCAACATCAGCCATACATGCCAGAATTCAAACTGAATGCGCTGATCGGTTGACATTGCAGGCTGTTTTGATGCAATGGCCGTACTCAAACTCTCTTCTCATGCTCCAAATGGCCGCGTCTGTGGTGATCGTGTATACTCTGGGCTGCTTGGGCCTAATCGAAGTCCGACCATTTGATTGGGGTTCGGCGAGATCGCTTTCCGGGGTCGTGTTCTTTTACAACGCCAACGTCGCTTTCGCGTTGGCAGCTGTAGAAGCTCTGAGCATCCCGGTGTACCACGTGCTAAAGCGACTAACCCCTGTCATGGTCCTCTGCGCGAAATATTTGATCGGCGATGGCTCCCCACCTCTTGAGGTCTGCATGTCAGTGCTCGCGGTTGTTTCAGGTATGTTTTTAGGTTTATCTCGTGCAGTCCTCAAGCTTCTAGGGCACATAAATTCACATTTTCACTGTCTTTTTTACTAACGTGACATTCTTCTCTCCAGGTTGCTTTCTTGCTGGAGCGGGTGACCTAAGTTTTGATGCTCGAGGATACCTTTGGGCCATTGTGAGCTGCATGCTTCAAACAGCATATCTAATCCTCGTTGAGCGATCAGGCTCACAAAAAGGTACGCAAATACCTGTAGTGATTTGTGCAGACAATGTTGACATGCCTTAGATTCGCCTTCTGAAAACGATTCTATCTGGAAGTACTTTAACTAAGTGCCTCGGCTTTGCTCCCTCAGGTTTCACGACCAATGACCTTTTGGTCTACAATGGCGTCATGTCATTTCCTGTGCTCGCTATCTTGACCCTTACCACGGGCGAAGCACAGAAATCAATCCCGAGACTGTTTGAGCTCTCATCTGGCTCAGATAGCCTAGGGTTTGCGATTCTCTTTGTGGTGTCTTTGGGGGTTGGGGTCCTGCTCAATTACTCTCTCTTCTTCTGTACGATTTCCAATTCTGCACTCACCACCACAATCGTCGGAACATTGAGAAGCGTCCTGGGCACGGTATGTACACCATATGATGAGTTGTGGGAGGAGACGCAAAACCTCTGTGCTTATTCACTGTCCTTCTCAGCACCGTTTGTATCTGACCACGCTTTGTTTTCTTTTCTTCAGACTATTGGATTCTTTGTGCTTGGGGGTGTAAAAGCCACTCCACTTATTGTAGCCGGTTCTTCAGTCAACACAGTGGGTGGAGTGTGGTACACCTATGCCAAGTACAAGGCGAAGAATGCCCAACAGGCAGAGAGGGCTGAGCAGGTGAAGGCCCACTCAAGCCCAAGAATGTCAGAAGACAAAGTATGAAAGGAGCGCATGATGGCCAAACCAATTGTAACTATACGCATACTCTGGGACTGCGTGGTGCAGCTCTGTGTAGATACTTGGCAAACAGACTCATTAGAGATTATGCTGATCACCTGTGTTGGCCATAATGACACAAGTCAAGGCCCATGACGGACAGATATATGCTAAAATGTTACGGTAGTTGACATTGCAGATATACCATGGGAGTGGCGTCGAATTTAGCACTTCAATTCTAAGGAGGATAAATGCACTGCATTTCAGTGTAGGTAATCCGGCTGGAAATCACAGCTACTGTGGTAACAAAGGTGCATATACACTCCCCTCCCCCAATCCCCTGTGCTCATCTCTCCTCGTCCTTGGGTTGAGCCATTTCATACTTCAGCAGCAACTCATCAATCTCCTTTGCTTCAAATACACGGTACCTGCACACACCCACGCACACAATTCAAACAAGCCACCTTCAGGACAAAGACAAGATGATGCAACCATACCCTGTCCCCCTTATGCTCCAGCCCTCATCTCCCCCCCAATCAAATCACCCTGTAGTCCCCCTCATACCCCCACACTCAAGCCAGCTCACCTGACTTGTCCATCTTCCAGGCACACTCTAGCCAGTTCAATCTTCTCCGCACTCAGGTTCGTGCTGTCCATGGTCTTACTAAGCACCTTCAGCGCCAGCTGCACTGCCCCCTCCAAATCCATCCCTGGGATCGCCTCCCCTCCCGGCCCCTTCTCTTCCTTGTATTCCTGCTTCAGCAGCGACTGTGCTGCGCCGTGATTGGCTCCAATGGCACATGCCCGCCAGCCACCGTAGTTCCCTGAGGGGTCTGAATGGTACAGCTGAAACTGATGATGCTTGTCCCAACCTGCGTAGGAGAAAAATGGAAAAAGGAAGACGAATTGCCAAGGGTAAATCACAAATTTAAGGAGGATGGTTTCCTACTCTAAAAACACGCAATTAACTCTGCAATCTGTGGTTCATACTTCATTGCTGTTTCCAACTGCCATCACAAATTGCATAACCTTCATGCAGTGATGCCAGAAAGGCAACCTTGCAAACAACGAGGTGCTAGGAGCTTACAATGAAGTAGATCTGATGCACCTTATAATAAAGCAGCAGTACTGCAGCATATAATGAAGTAAATTCACCCCCCACAGAGAGACACAGAAGAAAAGACGCACCAGCAAAGAGGAAGGAGACGCCGAAGGGACGCAGACCACCAAACTGCGTGTAGCCCTGCTTGGTGTCACACAGAGACTGCACTAGCTGCTCCATGGGGATAGGCTCCTGTACACAGGAAGATAAGAACGGGAGAAACGAAATGAGGAGGAAGTGGAGGACGAAAGAGAACAATAGCTCGGTTGTTTGTCACCCTGCTCGACAGCTTTTACACTCGTACCCGCTACAAACACACCTGATAAGCGTACGTGTAGCGCTGTGCAGCAAGCCGGGCCGAGTTTACAAGTATGTTCGCATCAGCGGTGATCCCAGCGACAGCAGCAGCGACGTGGTCGTCAATTCGGTTCATCTTCTCGTTCGTCTTGCTGCTCTCCAGCAGCTTCTCGTTCGATGTGATGCGCTTCTCGCCGCTATGAGCAACAGACGCACCTGATACGCGTACGTGTAGCGCTGGGCAGCGAGGCGAGCGGAGTTGACAAGAATGTTGGCGTCCGCAGTGATCCCAGCAACAGCAGCGGCCACATGGTCGTCGATTCGGTTCATCTTCTCGTTCGTCTTGCTGCTCTCCAGGAGGAAAGAGAAGTGGTGGAGAGGAGAGGGGAGAACACACCTGATACGCGTACGTGTAGCGCTGAGCAGCAAGCCGGGCCGAGTTCACGAGGATATTCGCATCAGCAGTAATCCCAGCGACAGCAGCAGCGACATGGTCGTCGATTCGGTACATCTTCTCGTTCGTCTTGCTGCTCTCCAGCAGCTTGGACGTGATGCGCTTCTCTGCTGCCAGCACCACGCCGTCCGTCGCCAGAATGCCTATGGCTGATCCTGCGTGACTGATGGCCTCCATTGCATACTCCACCTGGTGGTGGGAAGCGGTGGGTAACGGTGGAGAGGGGTGGGTGTCTGTTTGGCTGCTCTCCAGCAGCTTCGACGTGATGCGCTTCTCCGCTGCCAGCACCAACTCGTCAGTTGCTAGAAAAATTCGACTCAACCACTTAAACTCGACTAAAAAGAACCGCCTATTCTCGCCGTCATCGCACCAGGAACAACCGCTGAGTCGGCTTTACCATCGCACAATCTGATCGCACCTGGAACAGCCGGCCTTCCGGCGAAAACGTCGTCGTGCGACTGTCATAGCGTCTCGACATGGCGGCGAAGCTACTGATGCGACGACGAAAAGAAAGAACAAAATCTACGACCTGGCCTTGGCAGAAGAGCTACGGTCGTAGTCTGATTTCCCTGGCGGGAATTTCGGCTCTGTTCCACCCGAGAATCACGACAGATAAACGAAATTAACGAGTAAAGAGGCTACGGAAAGATCTCCTATACAGGAGTAAGCGGATCCGTGGAAAAGCTCCGGTTGAAAAATACCAAATTCTCAACGCGAGCTGAGGGCCTCCTTGGACTGTGTTACTCGCTGGAAGAAGAGAAAGCAGAAAGGGAAGATCCCAAAAGGAGCTCCGCCGGAATTTATACGCTTTATTCGCTGAGTCGACGCAACAACGGAGATCGAGAAGGTAGGAACATTTATTAGAAAAATGAAGACATGAATCTGTGCCATTAGGATAGCAGATGAGATAAGGGTGTCTTTGAGACAAGAGTGGGATACCACTCTTTTATTCATATCATGCTCCATATGTCTTCTATGTCTTGAGACACCTGAATTATAAATGAATCCTTCGATAGATAGCTTAGTTCCATAAATAAACAAATGCAGAGAATGCTACTCTTCCAACCTCCCTCAGTGCTAAGAAGAATGTCTATAACTACAAGTATTACCTTAGAATTTTTTCTTCTCGCCTTTTTCACAGATCGCCACCACCCTCTCTTTGCAGAAGTCCTTTCACCTGCACCTTCTTCACCTCGCCTTCATGAATCCTCGTCCAACTCCCCGCCCCTCCCGCCGCCCGGGCAGCCTGAAGCTCCGCCAATAAAGCCGAAGCCCTACTCCCTTGCTTCTCCCCTCCCACCATTCTCCTACTACCTGCCCCCATACCTTCCCCGAACTTCCGGTTTCCAAACCCACCATCCGCCATGATCGACCGAGGCTGGGCAAACCCAGCCGTTGCCGAGCCTAAAAACCCACCGCCTCGGTAAGGAGACGCTCCTCCGACCATGCCGCCGCCCGGCATTCCTCGTCTTATTGACCCAAACTCTAAAGCTCTTCGCCGCCCGCTAATATTCCCCACGTCCTCACCCATTCCCCACCCAGCACCCATCCCCGCTCCCATAGACGGAAAATCCCCCATTTTCCTCCTCATGCCCATATCCTCCGCCGCCCCTCTCGGCATACTGCCAAAACCACCCGGCCTGTGCCGCCCGCTCGTGTTCCCCACCTCCTCGCCCCCAATCCGCCCCACACCCCCACCAAGCTTAGCCACAGCATCAAGAATACTCGGCTCATCCCCCCCAAAGGATTTCATATGGGCCGTTCGGGCTCGTCGCTGCCTGCCCGGGTTGCCGAAACTGCCAAACTCCCCCCCCATTCTGCCCCCTGCTGCCCCATGTCCTGCCCACCCCGCCCCCATGCTATGAGACCCTACCGGACTCATCATCCCGCTGTTCCCCATGATCCCCGTATACCCACTGGCTACACTCGCAATCGGACTCAGCCCACCGATCCCCTCCCCTGCCCCTCCCCCTCCTCCCCCGCCCATACCAGCATCAAAATTCAACCCACCGGATAGCCCCGGCACGTTAGAATTCTGCCTGCTGCCTGGCAGCAAAGCACTGTCTGTCCTCCTCCTACTCATGAACCCAGGTATAATGGGGTTTTGAGGTGTCTCAGAACTGTCAGTCTTTCTCCGGCTCATAAACCCAGGTATGATGGGACTTGGAAGGCTGTTGGTGTGGAGCGTGGGGGTGCGTGTGGGGGAGGTGGGAGCGAGCTGTTCGAACGAGAGGCTTCCTTTCATGCCTGAGATGGAGCGAGGGAATTGCTTGGTGAGAGCGGCTAGAGTTGCCTCTCCTGCACTGGAGGAGTGAGTTATGCCCTTGTTAGAGCCACTCACAGCAGAATCACCCCCGCCAGCAGCACCAGCAGCACCAGCACCAGCACCAGCACCACCAGCACCAGAACCAGAAGAGTCGCCAGCAGCAGCACTGGCAGCAGCAGCAGCACCGCCGAATCCACCGCGATTGCTGCTTCCCCCGCCGCCGCCGGCCCAGCCACGTGAAGCAGCCGCAGCAGAAACATCAGCATTGTCATCATCACCCTCATCATCATCCTCAAACCTTCTCCTCACCCTACTCCACTGCCTTCCACCCCTCCCCAACCCCAACTCCGGCCGCCTCTCTTTCCCAGACCCTCTCAGCAGCATCAGCTGCTGCTGCTGCTGCATCTCCTCCTGCTCCCTTCTCATCTTCTCCAACGATTCTTGCACCTGCAGTAGAACATACGCAGTCTCATCCGCGTTCTCCTCCAACCGCTGTAGAGATCGCTTGATGTGAGACATCTCCCCACTCTTGCCCTTCTTGGGCTTCTCTCCTAAGAGTGCCACCTCCACGTCCTCCCCAAACTGCCCCATGACTGACTCGGCTATGGTGACTGGGTCCACCTGGTGGGACTTGCTGGCTGCTTTGGTTGGGCTCATAGACGCCATCTGGTGGGGGGATGGTGACGGGGAGAAGGGGAAGAGGGATCGCTTGATGTGAGACATCTCCCCGCTCTTGCCCTTCTTGGGCTTCTCCCCTAGGAGAGCTACTTCCACGTCTTCTCCGAATTGCCCCATGACTGACTCGGCTATGGTTACAGGGTCCACCTGGTGGGACTTGCTGGCTGCTTTGGTGGGACTCATAGACGCCATCTGGGGGAAGGGGTGGGGAGGGGGAAGGCAGGAGAACGGGTGCTTTAAGGTGATGCCCCTGTCACGTCCTCCCCAAACTGCCCCATGACTGACTCGGCTATGGTTACCGGGTCGACTTGGTGGGACTTGCTGGCCTTGTGATCAACCGCACTACACTGTATTCAACACAAGCTCACCTTACGATCATACGTGCGGTTCATGTGGGCATAGAGCGACATCATGTCCATCTTGTCAATGCCCACGCCCACCACCCTCTTCGTCTGTTGGATCTGCCTCATACTAGTCAACCACACTCAACCGCACTCAACCGCGCTCCACCGAACTCAACCGCACTCCACCGCATTGAACCGCGTTCAAACCAAGCTCACCTTGCGCTCATACATTCGGTTCATGAGCGCATAGAGCGACATCATGTCCATCTTGTCTATGCCCACGTCCACCACCCTCTTTGTCTGGTGAAACCTCAGTTTACTACTCAACCACAATCAATAGCAATCAACCGCACTCAACCACACTCAACCGCACTCCACCGCACTCCACTGAACTCAACCCAAGCTCACTTTGCACTCGTAGGTGCGGTTCATAAGCTCGTAAAGAGACACCATGTCCATTTCATCAATCCCCACGTCCACCACCCTCTTCGTCTGGTGAATCCTCCTCATACTAGTCTACCGCACTCCACCGACTTCACCGCACTGAACCGCATCGAAACCAAGCTCACCTTGCGCTCATACATGCGGTTCATGAGCTCGTAAAGAGACACCATGTCCATCTTATCAATGCCCACATCCACCACCCTCTTCGTCTGGTGGATCCGCCTCAGTGTCTCGCGCTCCTGCTTCGACATAAAGCACCCCTTGCGAATCATTCCAGCCACCTCCGATAGTGCCGACTTGCGCTGCTGCGCTAGTGCCTCCTCCTGTGTGTGTGGAAAGCAGAGAGGAGAGGGGAGGGAAAGAGGGGGGAAGAATTAAAAGGGGATGGATTGAGTACTGGGTGGGGATTGCTTTGCAGTGGCAGGGGGAGTGCCAGCCTCAGTATCTCTCGCTCCTGCTTCGACATAAAGCACCCCTTGCGAATCATCCCAGCCACCTCCGATAGTGCCGACTTGCGCTGCTGCGCTAGTGCCTCCTCCTGTGCAGGCAGTAGCAGGGGGAGGGGGTGGTGGTGGGGAGGATGGGATGGGGGAGGGGGGGGAGGTAACCTCAGAGACTCCCCTATAGCATCATTCCCCCTGCCACCTCTGCGAGTGCTGAATTGCGCGGCGTCGCTAGCGCCTCCTCCTGTGTGGGCAGTAGCAGGGGAGGGAAGTGTCAGAAGACCAGTACTGTGTATGATCGATTGATCCTGTGTATGCTCGATTGATCCTGTGTATGCTCGATTGATCCTGTGTATGCTCGATTGGTCCTAGGGAAGGGTTACATGCTCGCTGCTCTAGGGGGATTATGAGCCCACTGACCCGCTACCTAAGAAGTCGTTTTATCCCAGTGGTCTAATGGCTGGGATTCTGACAGGAAAGGGAGGGAGAGATTGGGTGGGCATGGGTGGATTATTGGGTGGGTGGGGGGAGGGATATTGCAGCATGGGAGAGAGGGAGGATGGGTTGGGGATTGCAATGTGACATGAGGAGTCCCAGCAAGAAGCAAAGCCGCTGCTACACACTGGTTCCTAGGATTACTCAGATAAGGCGTGCATATCCGCTGCCAGAGATTCCGCAGCAAAAGCCAAATGAGGTGACTTTTGAGTCGACTCAAAAGTCACCTTGGTTCCTAGTATTACTCAGATAAGGCGTGCATATCCGCTGCCAGAGGTTCCGCAGCAAAAGCCAGATGAGGTGACTTCTGAGTCGACTCAAAAGTCACCTTGGTTCCTAGTATTACTCAGATAAGGCGTGCATATCTGCTGCCAGAAGTTCCGCAGCAAAAGCCAAATGAGGTGACTTTTGAGTCGACTCAAAAGTCACCTTGGTTCCTAGTATTACTCAGATAAGGCGTGCATATCTGCTGCCAGAAGTTCCGCAGCAAAAGCCAAATGAGGTGACTTTTGAGTCGACTCAAAATTCACCTTGGTTCCTAGTATTACTCAGAAAAGGCGTGCATATCCGCTGCCAGAGGTTCCGCAGCAAAAGCCAGATGAGGTGACTTTTGAGTCGACTCAAAAGTCACCTTGGTTCCTAGTATTACTCAGATAAGGCGTGCATATCTGCTGCCAGAAGTTCCGCAGCAAAAGCCAAATGAGGTGACTTTTGAGTCGACTCAAAAGTCACCTTGGTTCCTAGTATTACTCAGATAAGGCGTGCATATCTGCTGCCAGAAGTTCCGCAGCAAAAGCCAAATGAGGTGACTTTTGAGTCGACTCAAAAGTCACCTTGGTTCCTAGTATTACTCAGATAAGGCGTGCATATCTGCTGCCAGAAGTTCCGCAGCAAAAGCCAAATGAGGTGACTTTTGAGTCGACTCAAAAGTCACCTTGGTTCCTAGTATTACTCAGAAAAGGCGTGCATATCCGCTGCCAGAGGTTCCGCAGCAAAAGCCAGATGAGGTGACTTTTGAGTCGACTCAAAAGTCACCTTGGTTCCTAGTATTACTCAGATAAGGCGTGCATATCTGCTGCCAGAAGTTCCGCAGCAAAAGCCAAATGAGGTGACTTTTGAGTCGACTCAAAAGTCACCTTGGTTCCTAGTATTACTCAGATAAGGCGTGCATATCTGCTGCCAGAAGTTCCGCAGCAAAAGCCAAATGAGGTGACTTTTGAGTCGACTCAAAAGTCATCTTGGTTCCTAGTATTACTCAGAAAAGGCGTGCATATCCGCTGCCAGAGGTTCCGCAGCAAAAGCCAGATGAGGTGACTTTTGAGTCGACTCAAAAGTCACCTTGGTTCCTAGTATTACTCAGATAAGGCGTGCATATCTGCTGCCAGAAGTTCCGCAGCAAAAGCTAAATGAGGTGACTTTTGAGTCGACTCAAAAGTCACCTTGGTTCCTAGTATTACTCAGATAAGGCGTGCATATCTGCTGCCAGAAGTTCCGCAGCAAAAGCCAAATGAGGTGACTTTTGAGTCGACTCAAAAGTCACCTTGGTTCCTAGTATTACTCAGAAAAGGCGTGCATATCCGCTGCCAGAGGTTCCGCAGCAAAAGCCAGATGAGGTGACTTTTGAGTCGACTCAAAAGTCACCTTGGTTCCTAGTATTACTCAGATAAGGCGTGCATATCTGCTGCCAGAAGTTCCGCAGCAAAAGCCAAATGAGGTGACTTTTGAGTCGACTCAAAAGTCACCTTGGTTCCTAGTATTACTCAGATAAGGCGTGCATATCTGCTGCCAGAAGTTCCGCAGCAAAAGCCAAATGAGGTGACTTTTGAGTCGACTCAGAAGTCACCTTGGTTCCTAGTATTACTCAGATAAGGCGTGCATATCCGCTGCCAGAGGTTCCGCAGCAAAAGCCAAATGAGGTGACTTTTGAGTCGACTCAAAAGTCACCTTGGTTCCTAGTATTACTCAGATAAGGCGTGCATATCTGCTGCCAGAAGTTCCGCAGCAAAAGCCAGATGTCAATCGGCAGTGCCGTCTCCTCTCCTCCTGAGCGGCCTCCTTGACGTCCCAATCACCAGCTCCCATCCCAACCCCACCCCACCCCATTGCACCCCAAACCTCACCCGCTGCTCTCCCGCTCTCCCCTTTCCCCGTCTCTCCTCACACACACACTCATGCTCACCTCCTCTCGGGTCTTCTCGTGGGTCCCCAAGAACAACAAGTGGTGCCTCAGCTTCCTGAGACTCCAGTATGGTGTGCATATTCGTTGCCAGAGGTTCCTGAGCAGAATCCATATATCAATCGGGAGCGCCGTCTCCTCCTGAGCGGCCTCCTTTACATCCATAAACGCATCGACCACAATCGCAATCACCACATTCATCAGAATAAAACACATGATCACGATAAACGACAGCCAGAACACAAACGCCGCCAACCGCTCCCAACCCTCCAGCATCGCGTAGTAATACGCAGTGGAGTTGTCTTGAATGAGCATGAAGAAGCAGGAGAGCATGGAGTTGGGGATGGTGCGGAACTGAGCGAGCGTGCGACCGAAGACGAGGTAGGCATAGAAGGAGAAGCCGAGAAAGATGATTCCGAAGACGAGGAAGAAGTGCAGGATGGCGGGAAGGGCTGCTGCCATGGTGCGCGTGATGATGCCGATCCGCGGCTGGAAGTCCATCAGCTTCAGAAGGCGCTGCACCATCAGGAAGACACTGGAGAGGGGAGCAGGGTGAGAGAGGGAGAGGATGGGGGGAGAGGGGAGAGGGGAGAGAGAGGGAGAGAGTGGTGGGGGAAAGGGAGGAGGGAGAGAGGTGAGCAGAGGATGGCATATGGGAGAAGATGAGAGGTAGGCATAGAAGGAGAAGCCGAGAAAGATGATTCCGAAGACGAGGAAGAAGTGCAGGATGGCGGGAAGGGCTGCTGCCATGGTGCGCGTGATGATGCCGATCCGCGGCTGGAAGTCCATCAGCTTCAGAAGGCGCTGCACCATCAGGAAGAGACTGCATGGGGGGGGAGTGTGGGGAACGTGAGACAGGATAGGGGAGAGGGGAGTGCGGGCAAGGGAGGCGGGCGAGGGATGGGGAGAACAGCATATGGCACACATGAACCATATGGAGCACATGACACACGAGGAAGGAATGTGGCCAGAGCACTTGTTATTGGCATGCGTGGGGCGGGTTGAGGGGGAGATTTGAGGCATCTCCCCAACTCACTTGATTCCTTGGATGGCGAAGTAGAAGGAGCGCAGCTGGATTATATCATCCATGGTGCGATACACCTGCATCGCCCTCTCAAAACCGCCGTTCGTCGTGTTGACCGCCCAGAACCGCACTGCACCTGCATTACACTCACTTGATTCCTTGGATGGCGAAGTAGAACGAGCGCAGCTGGATAATGTCATCCATGGTGTGATACACCTGCATCGCCCTCTCAAAGTCCCCATTCATCGCTCCGAACCGCACAGAACTGCACTGCATCTCCCTCCCTCACCTGACCTGTGTGTGTCTGTGTGGGGTGACTCACTTGATTCCTTGGATGGCAAAGTAGAATGAGCGCAGCTGGATAATATCATCCATGGTGCGATACACCTGCATCGCCCTCCCAAAGCCGCCCGACGTCCCATTGACCGCACTCACTGCACAATACCGCACTGCACCTGCCCTGTCCCTGGGAGACTCACTTGATTCCTTGAATGGCGAAGTAGAAAGAGCGCAGCTGGATAATGTCATCCATGGTGCGATACACCTGCATCGCCCTCTCAAAACCGCCGTTCGTCGTGTTGACCGCCCAGAACCGCACTGCACCTGCATTACACTCACTTGATTCCTTGGATGGCGAAGTAGAAGGAGCGCAGCTGGATAATGTCATCCATGGTCCGATACACCTGCATCGCCCTCTCAAAGCCGCCTGACGTCGTGTTGACCGCCCAGAACTGCGATGCTGTGTCGTCGAGAGAGGTGTAAACATTGTAGCGCACACTGATGTCGGAGAGAGGCGTGAGTTTTTGCACCATGATGATCCTGAGAGGCGGGCAGGATGGCAGACGAGGGATGGCAGATGAGGGGGGCAAAGGCATCAGTATGCCGTGTTGACCGCCCAGAATTGCGATGCCGTATCATCGAGGGAAGTGTACACGTTGTAGCGCACGCTGATATCGGAGAGAGGCGAGAGCTTCTGTACCAAGATGATCCTGAGAGAAAGAGGGGAGGAAGGGAAGTTGGAGAAGGGGGTGTACATGTGAGGGTGAGATAGACAGAGCGAGGGAAGTGTACACGTTGTAACACACGCTGATGTCGGAGAGAGGGGAGAGCTTCTGTACCATGATGATCCTGAGAGGCGGGGAGGGAGGGGGGGGGGGGTGTGTGTGTGTGTGCATGTGTGAGGGTGCGAGAGACAGCGAGGGAAGTGTACACGTTGTAGCGCACGCTGATGACAGAGAGAGGCGTACCATGATGATCCTGGAGAGAGACGGAGGGGGTTGGAGAGGGAGGGGGATTGGAGAGGGTGATGTTGAGTTTTCGAAACTCGCCAAAGGGTAAACATCAAAATAGTGAGAATAGTTTCATTGCATTGTGTAGCGTAACATTTCTCTTCCTGTGTTGTAGGTAGTTTCGAGACTTTCAAGATTAGGAGCGTATGACACTTTTCCACCTCCCTAGACTTTGGCTCCTAGAGTTCCTAAAGGCTGGTAGACATTCTCAACTTGCATTTCTTCCTACTTTGCATGTTAAGACAATGCTGACATGATATTGTTCGTTTAAACTATCATCTCATTGTCAACTTGAGTGACAAAACTTGGTGATGATTAACGACACTAAAACGCTCCACGTCATTTGGTGCAGGGACCAATTTGTTTATCAGCTTTTGAAGCCGCACTGCAAAATTCAGCAAGTACGCTCAAACATTGAAACCTATTGTGACCAAAACAACAGCGGCACACAACAGGCACTGACTAGACGACGATGCCCCAGGTCTAGATGGAGAGCGAGAGCAGGTCGATCAAGCTGCCGAACTTTTAAAGTCGACTCAAATATCAAGAAGGGGGAGAAAGGCACAGCACCACACAGCATCGGACAGCAAAGAGGGATCACCACATAACGATGCCCCAAAACTGGACGGAGAGCAAGAGCAGGTCGTGTGAGAGTACGATGGCTTTGCTAGGCATTTCTTGCTTGCCATTACTTTATTATGTTTTATGTAGCTTATGTTTAGTTTGTCATGCATTATTTTGATTGATTTCCTAGGTTAGATGCTTTTCTATATTTTGTTATAGTTATAGCACCGAACTAAGATTGCGTACACCGAATTCGTGCTATTCGGTTTCCACCGAACGGCTTCTACCGAATTCTTGAAGGCTTCATTCGGGATGCTTTGCGACTTTCGGAACCTTCGCACAACACCTGAGGCCTTGTGGCATGTCGAGACTAAATATAGCATCGTGTTGTACCCAGGCGATCAATCAATTCATCACAGGTCGATCAAGTTGCCAAACTGGCAAAAGTGATGCAAGAAGTTGCTCGAGTGGCGGTACCGCACAGAACCGCACTGCAGGGCACAACGGGCACTCACCAGACGACAATACCCCATATTTGAATGGAGAGCGAGAGCAGGTCGATCCAGTTGCCAAACTGGCGAAAGTGATGCAAGAAGCTGCCCGAATGACGGTACGTCTGGAACATCTCGTTGACCTCCTCCAGCAGGTTGTATGCCACGCACACCACGTAGATGATCTCCAGTACCATCTGAGCATAGGAGGAGGCCGACGAGTAGGGCTCCACGGGGATGGGAACTAACCGGTACGTGTAGCCCAACTTCCCCCCAACATCCACCTCTATACGGACCTGATGAGAGGAAGGGAGGCAGGAAGGGGAGAAGGGAAAGGGAAGTGGTCAGGGGGAGAGCAAAGGAGAGGGAGTGAGAGTGAGAGAGGGGCCAGAGGGGAGGAAGGTAGCACACTCCACCCTCCACGCACACCACGTAGATGATCTCGAGTACCATCTGAGCGTACGAGGACGCGGACGAGTAGGGCTCCACCGGGATCGGCACCAGGCGGTACGTGTAGCCTAGCTTGCCGCCCACGTCCACCTCTATTCGACAACATAACGAACCAACTAGATGTTGTTTGACGCACCTTGGAAAGGACAAACATGTTGACATCCGCGTTATAAGTGATGAGCGCGAACTCAACAGACTTGGTGAGGTTGTCAAAGAAAAATCCATCTGCGAGGTACTGCAGGCGCTTGGTGGCCGCTACTCTGTTGAGATTGACATCGAATACGAGCGGATAGGAGTCCAGGCCATCCTGGGGGGGAGGATGGGCAAAGAAGGGGAGAGTGGGGCGCATGGGAGGGGCGTAAGTGGACTTGGTGAGGTTGTGGAGATAAAAGGCGTCAACGAGGTACTGCAGACGCTTGGTGGCGGCGACTCTGTTGAGATTGACACCGAATACGAGCGGATAGGAGTCCAGACCATCCTGCGGTGAGGGGATGATGTGGATGGAGGGAGGGAGGAACGCAATGGGAAGGAGAGACTCACCTGAGAATGCGACTCAACCTTAAGGTGGCCCACCCGAGACTCACAATGGGGGTAACAAAGCCATAGGACAGCCCCTCTTTATTGAAGAGAGGGGCAGAGCTCAAGGTGGAGTTCTCAAGGCCCGTCTAGTTGGTGGCGGCCACAAATGGGACCATAGAGGTCTGATCTGACAGGAGGAGCCTCAGAGAGAGCAACTCACCATGGGAGGAACGAAGCCATAAGGCAGCCCCTCGTCGTTGAAGAGAGGAGCAGAGCTGAGGGTGGAATTCTCAAGGCCCGTCTGGTTGGTGGCAGCCACAATAGGATCATATAGGTCGGAGGTGGAGAGGAAGCGTGGGTTGATGCCGAAGGAGGTCAGGCTGGTGGCGTTGGTCAGACAGTTCGGCCAGATGCTTGCGAACCTGCAGTGGGAGAGGAACGGATTAACACACAGGCACAGAAAGGTGTGAAATATGGTATAGTGTGGTGGAGAGGAAGCGCAGGTTGATGCCAAAAGAGGTCAGGCTGGTGGCGTTCGTGAGGCAGTTCGGCCAGATGCATGCTTGCGAACCTGGGGAAGAGGGGAGAGGAATAGGAGTAGGAATCGGGTTAAGTGCGAGTTATGGTGCAACACTTAAGTGCGAGTGTGCCCTAACACGCACAGGCACAGAAAGGTGCAGCATGGTACAGTGCGGCACTGACCACTTAAGTTGGCGTTTACTGCGCTACCCATGTGCGGCACTTACTTCTTGGATTCGCATTCGCGGGAGCCCCAGCGGGTCTGTAACACATAGAGGCCCACTAGCAGCCTGCATTGGGAAAGAGTTCAAAGGGGTAAGAGGGGGTGAGAGAAGGTGAGAATGGGTAAGAGTTGGTGGGGTTGGGGAAACTTGCAGGAGGCCCAGCGGGCCCCTGTAGCACATAAAATGCCCACTAGCAACCTGCATCAGCGGTGAAAGGGATGTTGCTCACATGCGCGTCCGGCCCGAACGACCGCAGTTGGAACGGGAACAGCAGGTTCGTGCCCACAGCATCGGTGGGACAGCACGAACCGACCTCCGACCTGGTCTGCCTAGCAGGGCACAGACACTCCCCGCCCACTCCCCCCCCCACTCCCCAACCAACCCCCCCTCCCCCCTTTCCACATCCTCCCCGCCAGCAGCAGACATAACTTCCCAACCCACCTGTTTCTCTCTGTGACATGCCGATGCAGAGGCTTCTCATACAGCTCTGAGAACTGCGTGTTGCTCGCATGCGCGTCCGGCCCGAACGACCGCAGTTGGAACGGGAACAGCAGGTTCGTACCCACAGCATCGGTGGGGCAGCACGAACCTGCCTCCGACCTGGTCTGCCCTGAAGGGCACGGACACTCCCCCCCCACTCCCCCACCGCTGCCGGCTAAAGTCGCGCACTCGCAGTCACCGCCGTCGAAGGCGCAGTGGTGGTTGTTGCAGAGAGGGTCGCAGCGGCCGTCGGCTATGTTGCCGAATGAGCAGCCAGGGTAGCAGGAGGAGGTGAGTGGGGTTGTGGTGTTGGCGGTGGTGCTGGCGGTGCTGGCATCAAAGAACGGATCCAGGAGAAAAGCTGGGGGACAGGACAGAGGGGAGGAAGGACAGAGGGGTTTGGCTTAGTTTGACCTTGTGTCAGGGCAGTCGTGTCTGCGCATGGTACTACTCGCTGCAGAGGGGGTCGCAGCGGCCGTCGGCTAGGTTGCCGAAAGAGCAGCCGGGGTAGCAGGAGGAGGTGAGTGGGGAGACTGGTGGGGTTGTGGTGTTGGCGGTGCTGCTAGCATCAAAGAATGGATCGAGGAGAAAAGCTGGGAGCGGAGGGAACAGGGGCAGGGACAGAAAAGACAAAGGAGATGTTATGACCACGGGGAGCAACGTCGAAGGCGCAGTGGTGGTTGTTGCAGAGGGGATCGCAGCGGCCGTCGGCTAGGTTGCCGAATGAGCAGCCGGGGTAGCAGGAGGAGGAGGTGAGCGGGGAGACTGGTGGGGCTGTGGCGTTGGTTGTGGTGTTTGCATCAAAGAACGGGTCGAGGAGAAAAGCTGGTGGACAGGACAGGGGGGAGGAAGGACAGAGGGACCTTGTCTCAAGGCAGTCGTGCGAACACATGATACTTGCTGCAGAGAGGGTCGCAGCGGCCGTCGGCTAGGTTGCCGAATGAGCAGCCGGGGTAGCAGGAGGAGGTGAGCGGGGAGACTGGTGGGGTTGTGGTGTTGGTGGTGGCTATGTGGAGAAAGATGCGTCCTGCGTCTAGGACGGATGCGTCCAGACGCAGGACGCAGGATTCTGGCCTATGAGACGCAGCAAAAGACGCAGGCCCGGGCAGGAAAAAAAACCCCCGGGCAGCCCAAAAAAATTGTTATAGGGCAGAGGGAAGTGGGGGGGGGGGGGGGGGACCGTAGCCCACTTTCATTGCAAAATTTCTCCCCAAAGACAAAATTTCCCCCAAACCACTAGAGCATGATGGTGAGTCCTGCATCCGGAGCATGATAATAGAGCAAAACATATTCCGGGCAGCCCGGAAAATTTTCTGGCGTGCGTCCTGCGTCCGGACGCGCGTCCTGCGTCCTGCGTCCGGACGCTGCGTCCAGACGCAGGACGCAGGACGCCCCCAGCGTCTTTCTCCACTTAGGGTGGTGGTGTTTGCATCAAAGAACGGGTCGAGGGAAAAGCTGGGAGACATGGACAGGGGGAGGAAGGAAGGACAGAGGGGGCTTGTTACAGCCTCGGAATTATCCACAACAATCATTGGGAATGATCCACAACATGGATCGTATCATGGCAGTCATATCACGGTATGGTATTCGACAGATATACACCACTACATACTTCTACAGATCACTGACATCACATCCCCAGCCCAGCAGCATACTCACTAGAGTCATCCTCGCCATCATCCACAACATGGATTGTGGCAGTCATATCGGCCCCAAACCGCCCGCACTCCACTTTGAACGACCCGGTTTGCGTGAAGACAGCAGTGTAGGTGAATGCGGGGGTATCTGTCGGCCCATCTGTTACAGAAGGGAGAGAGGGAGAGAGGGGCGGGAGCAAGAGTCAGGGAGAGAGTTACAGGGCGTTTTGGCATGCATCAGTTGCTCTCCACTTTGTAAAAGCTGGTTTTAGGTGAATACAGCCGTGTAGGTGAATGCGGGAGCGTCTGATGGCCCATCTTTTACAGGGCGAAAGAGGGAAAGGAGAGGGGAAGGGAGCGAGAGAGTCTGCAACAGGGCCTGTAGGTACACATCAGTTGCACCCCACTTTGAAGGAGCAGGTCTGAGAGAAGACAGCAGCATAGATGAATGGCGGAAGGTACGAGGAGGACCGCAACTCACAGAGGGCACAAGGGTGTGATGGGCCGTCAAAAGGCATGGTGCCGACACTGTCTGGCGCGCAGCGGCTGTGCCTCGACAGCACCATGCGGTTGGCGTGGCACACCAGACAGACACGGATCCACTTGAAGACACAGGGAAAGCACATGCCTACATCCACTCTCTTCAGTGAAACTCACAGAGCGCGCATGGGTGTGGCGGGCCATCAAGCGGCATGGTGCCCACGTTGTCTGGAGCACACCGGCTGTGCCTCGACAGCACCATGCGGTTGGCGCCATAGCCTTTGAACAGGTTGTCGTGCGCACTGCTGCCCAGCCCACGCACTAAAAGGGACAAGGGAAGGGAAGGGTGGGGGGGATGGGGGAAGAAGGTTGGTTGTCCGACGCACAGCGGCTGTGCCTGGACAGCACCATGCGGTTGGCGCCATAACCCTTGAAGAGATTGTCACCCGCACTGCTGCCCAGCCCACGCACTGAAGGGGAGACAAGGCCGGGGGAGTGCAGAGAGGGGGTGTGAAGGGAGCGGGTGTGCAGGGAAGTGAAAGAACAAACATCCATATGGTTGCTGGATGCCATATTATCTTTATCTACGTACATAAACAAACAAAATAGGCGAGGAATGCACAGATGCGAGGCTTGCATGTGAGGCAAGAAGCGAACTCATAAGGGGTTACCAGAGAAACTCACCCTTGACGGAGTGAGGGTAGTCATCAGCCCACACGAACTGCACACTGTCGCCCCTCCCCACTGTCACATTGAAATCCGCCCCCACTGCCCACTCCAGCAAGCGCCCATCTGCATTGGGCGAGGGGAAAGGAGGAGAGGGAAGGAGGATTGGGAAGAGGGAGTGAGACAGGCTTGTTGTCAATCCAGGGCTAGCAAACTGCGCAATGCTGTTAACTCCTCACTGTCACCCTTCCCTACTGTCACGCAGACTACAAACAGCGCGACACTCACGCAGGCTGCAGCCGTCCATGGTGCCGTCCACAAGGCCGATGGCAGCAACGTAGAGGTGCGAGGAGAGGCGAGACACTGTGGTGTGGCCCCATCCATCCATCATTACCATTACCATTACCATTACCATTACCATTACCATTACCATTACCATTATCATTACCATTACCATTACCATTACCATTACCATTATCATTACCATTACCATTATCATTACCATTATCATTATCATTACCATTACCATTATCATTACCATTACCATTATCATTACCATTACCATTATCATTATCATTACCATTACCATTATCATTACCATTACCATTACCATTATCATTACCATTACCATTATCATTATCATTATCATTACCATTACCATTACCATTATCATTATCATTACCATTACCATTACCATTATCATTACCATTACCATTATCATTACCATTATCATTACCATTACCATTATCATTACCATTACCATTATCATTATCATTACCATTACCATTATCATTATCATTACCATTATCATTACCATTACCATTATCATTACCATTACCATTACCATTACCATTACCATTATCATTATCATTACCATTATCATTACCATTACCATTATCATTATCATTACCATTACCATTATCATTACCATTACCATTACCATTATCATTACCATTACCATTACCACTACCACCATCACCAACTACACCTCTGAGACAGCAAGGGAATAGATATTGCATCAGACAGCAGCAAACAAGCAGCAGTGCAAGCAAGACACACGGAGGCTGCAACCCTCCATGGTGCCGTCCACAAGGCCGATGGCAGCGACGTAGAGGTGGGAGGAGAGGCGAGACACTGTGGTGTGGCCCCATCCATCCATCATTACCATTACCATTATCATTACCATTACCATTATCATTACCATTACCATTATCATTATCATTACCATTACCATTATCATTACCATTACCATTATCATTACCATTACCATTATCATTACCATTACCATTATCATTACCATTATCATTATCATTACCATTATCATTACCATTACCATTATCATTATCATTACCATTACCATTATCATTACCATTACCATTACCATTATCATTACCATTACCATTACCACTACCACCATCACCAACTACACCTCTGAGACAGCAAGGGAATAGATATTGCATCAGACAGCAGCAAACAAGCAGCAGTGCAAGCAAGACACACGGAGGCTGCAACCCTCCATGGTGCCGTCCACCATGGCCGATGGCAGCGACGTAGAGGTGGGAGGAGAGGAGAGGCGAAACACTGTTGGCCCATCCACCACCACCACCGACTCCACAGACATTCTGAGACAATGACTAGTGAATATTGCAAGTTGCAACAACCAGCGGAGCAACCAACAGCAGAGCAACACTCACGCAGGCTGCAGCCCTCCATGCTCCCATCGACTAGCCCGATCGCTGCGACGTAGAGGTGGGAGGAAAGGCGAGACAACGTGGCCCCATCCACCACCACGACCGACTCCACAGCATCCAGGAAGGTTCCTACGAACCGCGCAAACTGGTCCCGGGACATGCGCAGACGCCTGGAGAGCAGAGCAGAGGCACTGATAGTAGAAGCAGATTCATCAGAAGCAGCCCCGTTAGAAGCAGCTGCGTTATAAGCAGTCTTGCTGGTGTTAGTGGTGTTGGAAGCCGGAGCAGGAGGAGCAGGAGGGAAGCCGAGAAAGGCGAAGTGAGCAGCAGCAGCAGCCACGGATCCATCGACAGACGTGAACGGGCCGAGCACACAGCCGTTCCCTCCCACTGCTGCCACGTCGAATGAACTGCTGCTGCTCAAACTGCTGCCAAGCAAACCACCGCCGATGGAGCTGCTGTTGCTGCTGCTGCTCAAAGTGCTGCCAAGCAGGGCACCATCCACTGCTGCTCCATTTGTCAAGACTGTATCAGTGATCTCCAGCCTTCCACCAAAACCACCACCAACACCACCAGCAACACCACCAGCACCAGCACCAGCAACAGCACCAGAAAGACCATCAGAAGCACCAGCGCCAGCAGCAGCACCGAGAACTTCCCCAGGACTATGCAGCAGCGCACAGAACAAGGCAGAAACACGAGCGCGGGTGGCAGAATCGAGAGACACGGCCGAGAATACCTTTGCAAGACAGGCGTCTCCCACCCAGGAGTAGAGCGCGCGGCTCACAGCCACTCGCAGGTTGAACCACCGCTGCCGCTCCGTGGGGCCTAGTGCTGCCCACGCGTCTGTGATTGTTTGTGAGCTTGCCTGTGGGACTGCCTGTGCGTCTGCCTGCTGCTGCCGCTGCTGCTGCTGATTCCCCTGCTCCTGCTGTTGCGGTGGTGGTTGCAGCTGTTGCGGTTGAATTAGACTATCAGCAGCAGCGTACGAGTCAAAGCCGGCAGAATCAGCAGTGCTGATGGTAGGGAACAAGGCGGTAGCAGTAGCTGCTGCTGCTGCTGCTGCTGCTGCTGCGGTTGCAGCTGTTGGTGTAAGCGGGCTGGGCGATGGCACTGCTGGTGTGGGGGGAAAGGTTGGGTTGGGAGAAAGACAACGAAGGGCATATGGAGGGAGATGAGAGAAACGCATGGGCTTTGGACGAGGGAGAAAAGAGTGGTGGAGAGAAAAGTTCAGGAGAGAGGGAGTGCCTTGTACAAGCACTTTCAGTGGGTCCAGTTGGGGGGGATACGTAGTGTATGTGCAGCAGTTTCAGGTGGCAACAGATGGATCAGCGTCAAGTGGAAGCTCAGGTGAAAACTGACCAGCATTCAAGGCTCGATGGCTCATGAATCCGCCAATTCTTCCCAGGCTCTCCATACTACCTCCCATGCTTCGCACACTCTCTATGTGTCCCATGCTGACTGCTCTGCCACTGCTGTCGGTCCACACGCTAAAGCCGCTATCTGCTGCTTCCTCTTCCTCGCCTTCTTCCTTTGCCTCCTCGTCCTCCGTACCCACTGCTAACCCTCCCTCGTCCGCTTCTTCTGCTGCCAACCCACTCCCCCCATTTTCTGCTGCTGCCCCTCCCTGCGCCTCTGCCCCTTCTCTCGAGCCCTGCACTGGAATATCTCGCCTCACATGCCACAGGGGGTGGTGGTGGCGAGGCAACCGCACGTCTCCATCCGACCCCAGCATTCGTCCCGCTCTCGGCTTTCTTGCAACAGAACGCACCATCCCGCCCCTGCCTTCTTTCTCCTGTGCTTTCCCCTGATCCCGCCCCTGTGATTTCACCTGCACTCGAGGCGCTTTTATAGAAGTAACAGGGCTCAAGTGCATTTGCCGCTGCGAAGGCCTATGTGCTTGCTCCTGTAGAGGCGGTGTCTGGGGTGGCTGCCCTCGAACCAGCTGCAGCAACCGCCGCTGGTGGGACGTCACCTGAAGCGGGGAGATGGGTGGATGGTTGGGGCAAAGAAGACTAGAAGAGTGAGAAACTTGACTCAATGAATAAAAGCTGCTGCGGCAAGTGTCTCTGATGGGACGACACGGGTGGATGGATGGGTGGTTGGGTGTGGTCTGACTCACATGTGCATTGCTGTTGCTGCTGGAGTTGGAGCTGCTGCTGCTGGCGTTTCTTCTCAGTGCCTTGACATACGTGGCATTCACTGTTTGGAATGGGAAGCAAGGAGAGGGAGGGGTGGTGGTGAGGAGTCCAAGAAACGATGTGGGGGCGGAACGGAGAGGGGTGGTTGCCTGTACGGTCCTTTGATAGTTTCAACCAGAACTAGTACAGAGAATGTAACATGCAACACGATCTTAGTGAGAACTTCTCACCTGAGCAGTTGATGTTCTTAAGAACGGTGGTGGTGGTCCTTAGCATCTGGAGAGGGAGGGAGAGCACTGGGGCAGCCTGCCGAGTACAGACCTGCCTTGCATGCCATGCATTCTCACCGTTATGCATTCCCACCTGAACAGTTAATGTTCTTAAGAACGGTGGTGCTGGTCCTTAGCATCTGAAGAGGAAGGGGAAGAGAGCACAGTGGCGACCTGCCAAGTGCAGACCTGCCTTGCGTGCCATGCATTCTCATCTCACCTCAGCAGTTTATGTTATGCATTCTCACCTGAGCAGTTGATGTTCTTGAGAACGGTGGTGGTGGTCTGTAGCATCTGGAGAGGGAGGGGAAGGGAGAGAGCACAGAAGGAGATGGCACAGGGGCAGGTGCGGAGGAGAGCATGTGAGCATACAAGCTCACGGTCGCACGCGGTTTAGAGTGAACCATACATGAAGTACATTAGTTGGTACATCCATGGTTGGTTCAGGCACGTGGTTCTGTCTGGCGGTTTCCTTTGCAAGGTTGGATGGCATGTGATTCTGACAACCTCTGCTGGCTGAACTATTGGTTGCTGTACCAGCGGCACCGTGCAGTGCCGCACTGCATCGCACAGCACCGTGTGCTCACCTCGACACAACTCCAGTTGCTGTACTGTGTGATTGTAAAGGGCGCCATGTTGCAGACAACCGCACAGTCCACAAACACGCCTGACGCCTCTTCCACCCCCACGTTCTCACACGCGCCCAGCACACACGTCGCCATCGCAGCACAGATCTCCCGGCATTCATACAGCCTCTTAGCCAGCACCAAAAACAACTGCATTGCACTGCAGCGCACCACACCACATGCCCACCTCGACGCACGTCCAGTTGCTGTACTGTGTGATTGTAAAGGGCGCCATGTTGCACACCACAGCGCAGTCCACAAACACGCCCGAAGCCTCTTCCACCCCCACGTTCTCACACGCGCCCAGCACACACGTCACGTCACCATCGCAGCACACCACAGCACAGTCCACACACACACACGAGAAGCAACAGTGCAGCACCGCATTGCACCGCACAGCACTGTGTGCTCACCTCAACGCAGGTCCAGTTGCTGTATTGTGTGATTGTAAAGGGCGCCATGTTGCACACCACAGCGCAGTCCACAAACACGCCCGAAGCCTCTTCCACCCCCACGTTCTCACACGCGCCCAGCACACACGTCGCCATCGCAGCACATGTCTCCCTGCACCCATACAGCCTCTTAGCCAGCACCGCCGATCGACCATTCTCCACCGTTGATTTGCTCGTCGCACACCCACCCCACGTTACTACAACGTCTTTACTGGCTCCCAGGTCTGTTAGCTGTGCTAGGTTCGTATCCAACACTCCCGCCGAACCTCCCCCGTTGCCTGACACGCTCCAGGCCGTTCCCCAGCCTGTCGCCGAGCCTCGGCCGGTTCGGCCGCCCCTGCCGTTGGTTCGTTGCAGGGTGGCGTTGCTGCTGAGTGCGCCGACCACCTGCACTATCCCCCGAACGCCGCCGCCCGGCGCGTCGAGCTTGATCTGCCAGTCGCCGTCCGGAATGAAGAGGTCTAAAGCGGTCTCTGATTGGAGCTCGGAAAACACCTGAGGCTCCTCGAACCTAAGGGCGCAGAAAAGGGGAGGGTGGAGCAGGGGAAAACGTGGTGGGGAAGAGGGGGAGGTGGGGAAGGGCAGCTTGATCTGCCAGTCACCGCCCGGAATGAAGAGGTCTAATGCAGTCTCTGAACTGAGGTCAGGAAACAATTGAGGCTCTTCAAACCTGAGGGAACGGAGGAGAGGAGAGCGGGAGGGAGGGGCGGGCGGGAGGGAGCAGCTTGATGTGTGCATGCCAGTCACAGTCCGGAATGAAGAGGTCAGTGCGGTCTCTGATTGGAGCTCGGAAAACACCTGAGGCTCCTCGAACCTGAGGGGAGCAGAGGAAAGTGGGTGGGGGCAGAGGGGTGGGGAAGGGGAGGGAGCAGCTTGATGTGTGCATGCCAGTTGCCGTCCGGAATGAAGAGGACTAATGCGGTCTCTGATTGGAGCTCGGAAAACACCTGAGGCTCCTCAAACCTGAAGGGGCAGGAAAAAAAAGGGGGGAGAGGGGTGGGGAAGGGGAGGGAACAGCTTGATTCGTGCATACACAAGGTGACCTATGGAATGAAGAGATCTAAAACCACCTCTGATTGGAGCGCTGAAAAGACCTGAGGCTCCTCGAACCTGAGCGAGCAGAGACGGGGGAGAGCAGGGGGGGAAGGGGGGTGTGGGGGGAAGGGGAGGGAAGGGTGCTTAGGAGACGAGTGAGCCTCTTCGAAGTTCAAGGAGGAGAGAAAGGGCGGGGCGTTTGTTTTTTGAGAATTCTCAAAAAAACAAACGAAGTGCAAGGAGGAGAGAGAAAGGGCGGAGCGGTCAAGGTGGGAGTCAAATCTTGCATTTTGAACGCACTCTCTATCCTCATGCACTCTCTGTCCTCATGCACTCTCACATGCATGCCTCCTCCCACTCACCAGCACAGGCTAGTGGGCTGCACCATACACAGGTTCCAATCCACGAGCTGCCCTGCTTGTCCACATGTATGCCTCTCTTTCTTCTGTCATGCATCTTCTCTCGCTTTCCCTCATGCACGCACACACATGCATGATGCCTCCCCTCCTCTCACCAGCACAGGTTAGTGGGCTGCACCATACACAGGTTCCAATCCACGAGCTGCCCAGCACACATGCATGCATCCTCCCCCCCTGCCCCGCATGCAAACCTTCTGCAACGCACGCAACTCACCAGCACAAGTTAGTCGGCTGCACCATACAAAGGTTCCACGAGCTGCCCTGCTTGCACACATGGATGCCTTTCGCTCTCTCACTCATGCATCCTCTCTCGTTTGCTGCCATGCACGCGACTCACCAGCACAGGTTAGTCGGCTGCACCATACAAAGGTTCCACGAGCTGCTCTCCTTGTCGGCTTGCGAGGCAAAGGACGAGTGCATGTGCACCACCACATGGGTCACGTTCTCAAACACCCCGCAGTCCGCTCCCCTCCCACATGCATGCACTCCCTCCCTCGTGCACTCACATACAGCACAGGTTAGAGAGCGACTCACCAGCACAGGTTAGTCGGCTGCACCATACACAGGTTCCACGAGCTGCTCTCCTTGTCGGCTTGCGAGGAGAAGGAGGAATGAATATGAACCACCACGTGGGTCACGTTCTCAAACACCCCGCAGTCTGCCTCGCACCCAAAGCGCCCGAATGCTGCATACTCCAAGGGGTTGTCGCACACACTGTTGCCACAGTGAGGCCCCTCCCACACCACCTGTGGGGAGAAGAGCAGGCAGGATGAAACGTAGCACAGGGAGTGTAAGATAGGCATTATCGCCCGCGCTGTTACCCGCAGAGCGGCACCTATGTTCTTACTCGCCTGTACTGTTACCCTCCTCTGTTGTTACTCGCCTGTATTGTTACGCACGCCACACACACACAGACACCAATTGTCGCGCACCTGTATTATGCTGCCGTTAACCCAATGATAGAATTTCTGGTCCACTCATCGCATTGAGATGGCTGCCTGACGCACCCTGTACTATCACTCTCCTGTATAACTACCCTCCTGTATTGTATAACATTTCTCAAAAGAAACGCCACGCACCTGTATGATGCTGTCGTTAACCCACTGATACATTTCGTCCGGTCCACTCATAGCGTTGAGCTCGCTGCCTGATGCCCCCTGGGGGAATGGCAGGGATAAATGGGGAGTTGAAATGCGGCGGGGGAGGGGGAGTTGGTGCAATGGATGCAGCGAGAATGAGGAATTGACATCTCTCCTTCCTGCCCATCCTCCTATGCGTATGCAAGTTTTCTGGTCCACTCATAGAATTGAGCACGCTTCCTGACGCCCCTTGGGGGATGAAGAGGGGTAAGGGGCGGAGGATGTGAAAAGCGGAGGATGTAGAGAACAAACATCCAGACAGAGCCAACATCTACAGCGCCACCACCAGGCCTTGCACTAACATACGCTAGCATCCACACGTTATGCTGCTTGCTCACCGAGGGCAGCAGTATGTTGTGCGCTGTGGACACCTCAAACCCATCCGTGGAGTCGGCTTGCATGTACAGCACCACCAAGTAGTGTTGTAGCCATCACAGTGCCTACCTTATAAACCGCCGCCTGTATAAAGCTTGCACTTACACCACCACCAAACCTTCCCTCACCGAAGGCAGCAGTATGTTGTGTGCTGTGGACACCTCAAACCCATCCGTGGGGTCGGCTTGCATGTACAGCACCACCAGGTACGAGGATCTATGATAATACCATTACCACTACCACATACAGAGCTGCGGCATGTAGGTGCTAGCCTCTCCTCTACGGTACCACCATACTGTCACGCCGCCCTGCCGCACCATCACATCCAGCCTTTTGCTCACCGAAGGCAGCAGTATGTTGTGCGCTGTGGACACCTCAAAGCCATCAGTGGAGTCGGCTTGCATGTACAGCACCACCAGGTAGAGCACGATGAAGCACAGGAACGACACCAGGTTCTTGTAGTCGTCTAAACGCTTGTCGGCTGCTTTAACCTTGAAGTAGATGTCTGAGAGGTGAGAGGGACAGACAGGGGAGGAAGGGGAGAGGGGAGTGAAGGGGAGTCGGCTTGCATGTACAGCACCACCAGGTAGAGCACGATGAAGCACAGGAACGACACCAGGTTCTTGTAGTCGTCTAAACGCTTGTCGGCTGCTTTAACCTTGAAGTAGATGTCTGAGAGGTGAGAGGGACAGACAGGGGAGGAAGGGGAGAGGGGAGGGAAGGGGAGTCGGCTTGCATGTACAGCACCACCAGGTACAGCAGGATGAAGCACAGGAACGACACCAGATTCTTGTAGTCGTCTAAACGTTTATCCGCTGCTTTAACCTTGAAGTAGATGTCCGGAGGGACATGAGGGACAGGGGAGGAGTGGGGAAGGGAAGGGCAGGGGAGTCTGTTTGCTTTGTGGAGCACACCAACCACCAGGTACAGTACACCACTATGAAGCACAGGAACGACACCAGGTTCCTGTAATCGTCTAGTCGCTTGTCTGCCGCATTCACCTTGAAATAGATGTCTGGCTGGCGGGGACGGGGAGGGGAGGAAAGGGGAAGGTGTAAAGGGAAGGAGCCTGCGAGTCAGCTTGCATGTAAAGCACCTTATTAGCTGCCTAACTCATCACTCATCATAGAATGCCTTACCCCACACCCTCCCGCCCCTCACCTTCCAGCATGACAGCATCAATCTGCTCCTCGTCCTCCTCATCGCTCGCCCAGTCCTCCGCAGTGCCTTTCCCACACTCCCAAACTCATCATGTATCACTCACAAATGCCTTACCCACACCCCCACCCCTCACCTTCCAGCATCATTGCATCGATCTGCTCCTCGTCCTCCTCCTCGTCGTCCTCCTCGTCGCTCGCCCAGTCCTCCGCAGTGCCTTACCGCTACCATACTCATCATGTATGTATCATTCACAATCGACTTACCCACGTCGCCACCCCTCACCTTCCAGCATCATTGCATCAATCTGCTCCTCGTTCTCCTCCTCATCGCTCGCCCAGTCCTCCCAATGCACAGCAGCCTGCCTCACTTGATCCCCTCCATCTTCCACCCCAGTACCTTATCGGTTTATTCATCATTCAACAATGCCTTACCCACACCCCCACCCCTCACCTTCCAGCATCATTGCATCAATCTGCTCTTCATCCTCCTCCTCGTCGCTCGCCCAGTCCTCCCAATGCACAGCAGCCTGCCTCACCGGCCGGTTGCTCCCCCCCCCGCCACCACTGCTCCTCCCCGTGGCCGTGTGCTGCCCCGTGGCAGTGGTGGCATCATGGTCACCATTCAACCTCCAAACCCCTCCCGTTCCCCACCACATCCCACCACCCCCCATCCCCCTCCCCCCACTCACCTTCCAGCATCATTGCATTAATCTGCTCTTCATCCTCCTCCTCGTCGCTCGCCCAGTCCTCCCAATGTACAGCAGCCTGCCTCACCGGCCGGTTGCTCCCCCCCCCGCCACCACTGCTCTCCCCGTGGCCGTGTGCTGGCCCGTGGCAGTGGTGGCATCATGATCATTATTCAACCTCCACCCCCCCCCCCCCTGTTCCCCACATCCCACCCCACCCCCCCACCATTTCACCCCCTCACCTTCCAGCATCATAGCATCAATCTGCTCCTCATCCTCCTCCTCGTCGCTTGCCCAGTCCTCCCAATGCACAGCAGCCTGCCTCGCCGGCCTATCACCAGCACCACTGCTCCTCCCCGTGGCCGTGTGCTGGCCCGTGGCAGTGGTGGCATCATGGTCGTCTGCTGTGGGGACTTTGAAGGTGCCGTCTGGGAGGAGGATGTGCGTGTGCTTGCCCATCGGGACCTCTTGTGAGGGGTCATAGTCCGTGGGAGGGGGTGCAGCGCCTTTCACCGGCGTTGCTGACGACAGGGGGGCTGCTGTCGAGGCGTGGCCAGACCTGGACAGGAGGTTCGGGAGGTTGGGGAGGGAGGAGGAAAGGAGAAAGGCTAACTTAGCTAGTGGCGGTGTGCTGGCCCGTGGCAGTGGTGGCATCATGGTCGTCCGCTGTGGGGACCTTGAAGGTGCCGTCTGGGAGGAGGATGAGAGTGTGCTTGCCCATCGGCACCTCCTGAGATGGATCATAGTCCGTGGGAGGGGGAGCGCCGCCTTTCACCGGCGTTACTGATGAGAGCGGGGTCGCGCCAGACCTGGACGGGAGGACGGAGGGAGGGGTGGGAGGGGGAAAGCGGGGAACGCGAGCTAGTGAGTGGTGGGTGGCAGTGGTGGCGTCATGGTCGTCAGCTGTGGGGACCTTGAAGGTGCCGTCTGGGAGGAGGATGTGCGTGTGCTTGCCCATCGGGACCTCCTGCAACGGATCGTAGTCCGTGGGAGGGGGTGCTCTTCCTTTGACCAGTGTGGGTGTTGAGGTCGAGGCAGGGCCAGACCTGGACGGGAGAGTTCGGGAGGGGGAAAAGGGGGGGGATGCTAGCTAGTGGTGAGTGGTTTGGCGGAATTGGGTGAGCTGACCCGTGGCAGTGGTAGCATCATGGTCATCCCCAGTGAGGACCTTGAATTGAAGGTGCCGTCTGGGAGGAGGATGTGCGTGTGCTTGCCCATCGGGACTTCCTGAGATGGATCGTAATCCGTGGGAGGGGGTGCGCCGACTTTGGTGGGTGTTGTGGTCGAGGCATGGCCAGACCTGGGGGGGTGGTTGCAGGGGGGGTTGGAAAGAGGATGTGCGTGTGCTTGCCCATCGGCACCTCCTGCGACGGATCATAGTCCGTGGGAGGGGGTGCGTCATTGGCTGGCGTTGCTGACGAGAGAGGGGACGCGGTCGACGCGTGCCCAGACCTGGACGGGAGGTTCGGGAAAGCGGGAGGTAAGGATAGGCGTGTGATTGCCCACCAGGACCTCCTGCAACGGCTCGTACTCTGCTGGTGGGCGGGAGGGTGAAGATGAGGGGTTGGGAGGAGAGTGGGGGGGAGGGCTTGAGTCTCTTTGGTCTGAATGGTCATATTAGCAAAGTCTAATCCCACTCTGCTCCCTGTCTCAACACCGCTCCCCTCCTCCTCCCAATCCTTCTGCCCCTATTTCACCTTTCCCCCCCTTTCCCTCTACGTTTTTCCATACATTTTTAATCAATTTCAGAATTGTATAGAATTGAGCCCACCTCCCCACCCATAGGTACAAAACCAAAGTCGACTCAAGATCTAAAATTTCCCCTCCACTTAGCGGTCTCTTCACCTTTTGGACTCATCAGCAGAGTCGGGACCCACTTTGCTCCCCGTGCCCACTGTACTGCCCTCCTTCTGACTCCCCCCCCATATCGCCGCAGCAGCAGACACCGACAGAACCTTTGCCGCAGCTGCCACCACAGCCGCGTCTCGCTCCTTATTCGAACCCCCTTTCCCACCCCGCTCTGCCCCGCTAGCCGTTGGGCTTCGTTCCGTTCCCCTCTCCGTTCCCCTATCCGTTCCCCTTTCCGTTCCCCTGTCCGCGACAGAAATGCTGCTCCTATGAGTCGTCTCGTATCCTGACACACCGCTCCGCTCCGTCCCCCTCTCCGTGCCTAACGGCGGCGTTCGCGGCCGTGGCCGATTCACCAGTTCCCCGCTCCGCGGAACCAGTTCCCCGCTCCGCGGAACCAGCTCCCCGCTCCGCGGAACCAGCTCTCCGCTCCGCGGCACCAGCGGCTCCTGCACCTCCGGCTCCCCACGCGACCCTCCCCCTCCGCGCTTGAACGACACGCGCGCGCGGACGGTTTCCCGCCACAACGCGTTCTTCTCCTCCACGCTCATCCGCCTCCTGTCGCCGTGTCCCCCGCCCTGTCCCGCGCCCTGTCCCCCGCCCTGCCCCCCGCCGTGGCCTCCGCCAAAATTGTAGGCGCGGGCTCCGCCGGGAGCGCCGTCGTCTTCTTCGTGCGACGTGAGCGGCTCGAAGCTGAGGCTGGATCGACGGCTACGATTACCGATTTCTGACGTGTCGCCATCCTCGCCGAAGAGGAAACTCTCAAGGTCACCGTCCGTGACGCGGTTGCTCCCGCCGGCTTCTTTGCGACGAATCACAGCCGTTACTACTTCTGCCATTCCAGCGCGGCCTCTAGATCCCTAATTGCGAAAAAAAAAAAATAATTATTCAAAAAAAAAATCTGGATGTTTCCGGACCCACTACGATGATATAGCTCTTCCTAGGCGCCTACCACTACCAAGAAGACCTTGGTAATTACTAACGCCAGCATGCTAGAGCAGCTGAATTGTTTCACGTTCGCCTTTTCCGCACCCAACGCTTACACCTGATCAGCTTGCTCCACGCTCCACGCGTGCGGAGCCTACCAGACCAGAGTCCGCTATACAGAAATCGTTTTTTAGAACTCTCAAAATCAGCTCCCAATTGCGTCAAAGTCTTCAAGGGATAATAACTTAATTTGCTGCTGCTCTTCCTCCTCTGACAGTCTAGTCTTGAGACGCGTCTTGCTGCTGCTCTTCCTCCTCTGAGAGTCTAGTCTTGAGACGCGTCTCTGACCAGTTTCCTCCTTTCTAGCAGGTCGGTAATTGCGGTGACTCTTGTCTTGATTTCTTGAAATCGTCACGTGTAGTCAAGATGACGAATTAACCGGTTGCTGTAGCTTCACTTTCGCCTCCTTCCGGGAGTCTTTTTCCTTTTCCGTGAAATCGCCGTCGCTGCTTCGTCAAAGCTCCTACCCTGACCCTTCCGCAAACACCCCATGGGAGATGTGTCGCATTGTCGCGTTGTCGCACACGTCGCTCAACGTCGTTTTCTGCGAGATTGTGCGTGCGTAACGTAATTTAGGCGAGTTAAGAGTTACTAGCGCGTGGTTTAATAAACGTAGAAAGCTTCAGCTGACAGCCTGACGGACAGTGTACACTGACGTCAGTGACTGGGTGACAGACGTATCGGCAGTATTTTAGGAATACTGATTGTTACAAGTAGAATAGTAGGTCAATGGCGTGTGTACACACTTAGCGGCGTCGTCAGTGAAGGTTGTGGCTCGAATGTCGACTGATGCTAGACTGCCTGTATTGCTGGATGGACAATTGTAATACTCCAGTTAGCAAAGCGACTGCTAGGTTGCGGAGAATTCTAACGTCGGCAAAGTATGTCACCATGAACCGTCGCCGACCACTAGCAGAGTAACCGAATACTGTGGTGCGGCATCACCGGCACTGCTGCACAGTAGATTGAGCCACACTCAGCGCTTGCTGGTCCTAATTGCGCTCGTTGTCGCTCGCTCGCACAGTGCCTGGTGTGGGTGATAGCTCGGTTCTGCTCTTCCTTTCTTCACTCTTGCTGTCAGGAGGACTATCTGGTCCCTGGGCTTTGCGCCAGGGAGTGAGTCCATGGTGGTGGTCAGTACGTAGTGGTGGTCACACTCTGGCCTTCAAGTTTGGTTTGGGTTGGGGTGTTTGGGTCTCCCGAGTTTGACCTTGCAGGAGAGTTAGTTGGTTTGTTACCCTTGGAGTTCGAGCCGACCTTGGTTTGAGTTGAGGGCTCGGCTCAACCTAGCGACATCCTGCGGTATCATCAACGGCCGAAGGACCAGATTCATCGAGGGTAGAGGATGCGAGTTGATTGCGAGGGACGGCTGGGATCATCGGGAGGTTGACGAGCTTGCCCGCCTGACGTCCATCGCCTATCCCACCTCGTCCAGTATGCGAAATTGCGATGTCGCGCTGCAGGTCGGTTTGTCGTCGATCAGTTCGGTGCAAAATTTCCCGCCAGTGTCAGGTAGTGCATGGATGGAAAAAGTCAGGTCAGGTCAGCCACGCCGATGGCTGGTGTACATTTATGCTGCCACTCGTATCGTTTTCGGAGATGCACTCGATTTTCCAAATCCGTCGCAAGTCGCAGGTAAGCGTCATGAATGCACAAAAATTACAAGGATTATTTCTAACAAGCTCCATGCGTTCATCAAGCTTTTGGGGGGATTTCTAAACTTTTGAGCTGTGAAGGAGTGGGTAATTAGGTACAATATCTCGCCTTCAGCACGCACCATATAAACGTATCTCCTAGAAGATTCTCTAATAACAGAGCCACAGGCCTTCGCTGCAACCTGCAAGTCCCTCCGTTTGTGTTGTCGCGTCTTTTCTGTCCTAAACTCCACCGTTTCTAGTATGTCGTGTATACATGTTGTCATTGCTTTTATCCTATAGCGAATCTCTGGTAGTTTACGGGGCTTTTATCTCTAGGAATTGACAACATAAATATTCACTAAAATAGTACCATTTCACACTTACCGTATGTTGTCAACTCCTCCTAAGGCATCTGGTCTGATGGGTTTCTTAAACAGCAGATGCGTTCTTTCCTACGCAAATGCGCCACGCCAACCGATACTCAAGTGCTACCAACCAATGCAAGAGGAATACCGTACAAGTGCCCCACCCGGGCTGCTTGCTTTCCAGGGCAATTCATTAACCTAAAACCATACATGCTACTGCTGCAGTATCGAGCAGCATAAAAGAGAGCCACCTCCATTATCTGAAAGGTTGTTAATCCACTGGGCTCCTGAGGATATCAATCATCTCCTTCTCAAACCGTGGACTTTCATGATCTGTTGCAGGACCACCCATGCACTTGTCCGCCATGTTTGCAATCAGAAAGCCACCAAACACCTGTAGACACACTCATATTGTAAATAATGGTAACACACAGTGGAAACTTTGTAGCACAAGCACACTCCAACTTCTCGACTCACCTGGACAGAACCAAGAATATACACAATTGAGTACTGACGGCCATGCATCACCATGTCCGCAACCATGGCTAGTGGGATGGTTAAGGACAGGCCCAGTGTGGCAACAAGAGGAGTTGTCCATACAACTGATAACGCCCTGTAGACAGAGCATGAACCATCCGAGCATGAAGTGAGAAGTAAGGCAGAGAGAATACACACGCATGCTTGCAAGCAAGATGATCATAGTGATCTCTCGAAGGTATGTGCGGCATCTCACCAACAATAATCTGAGACCACACTGCCAACAAGGCTGTTGGCAACAATGTCCTCATCGAGATTGACGGTGCTAGGCATAACGGCCAATGGTTCCAATCCAAGCACATGAAGAGGAAAAACTGCCAGAAGACAAATGGATAATATGAGCGCTGACATACAAGGATACTGAGGTGCATTTGGCCATATATTGAAAACAGAAAGAAGAACAGAAACAACATATGAAACCGCAAATAATTGCCATATTGCTAGGCTCACCAATCCACCATAGTCCGAGTAAGGTAACCAGGCCAATGTATCCAAAAACTTTCTGCATATCAGCTTTCTCGTCCCCTGCTTCATCATCACCGACGTACTTGCGCAGAAGAGCTGCAAATTCAGCACAAACGAAGTGAAAAATTGCATCTCAATTGGTGCCAATGTCTACTATGCAAATGGCTTACTTGTGTATACTCCATAGGAAACTGCTGATAGGAGGCCAAATATATCACCAACAAGATGTTGACTCGGTAACCTGCAACGGAAAACGAGTGAGAATGACAGCTCGCCGGACGATCATCATACACGAAACACAACCAGGCATACTATCCGAGAGTGTAGACAAAAGACTTACACATATTGACCAGCACCTTCGCCAGGATTTCTTGCATCGTCACCAAACACCTCGCTATCATCCGCTGCGGTACTTTTGCCGAGCTCGGTCATAACCACCCCAGCTATGCTCACCAGGACAGCTACCACCTTGGCCGTTGTTAACTTCTCGTTTCCTAAAGTAACCCCGAAAAGGAGAGTGAAAAGGCCTGAAGTCGACGAAAGAATGGTTGTGCTGGCCACGCTTGTCATTGACAGAGCGGCGTTTGACAGGTACTGCATGGAACAAACAAAGCATTTCAATATCCAAAAACATGGTAGCAAAGGGAACAAGAAGAGCAGCAACGTTGAGCTGGGATGGGATGGGATGCGAGCGGACCTCCGTAAGCAACCAGAGGGGTGCCAGGACGAGAGCACACTTAATGATCTCCCGGGTCGAAAGTTTTGCGGAACGAACGGGTTGTGCGATATCCGATAGAGACTTTTGAAGCAACAATTCTGTATCCAGGTCACTTTCTTCATCCACTGTGCTGTCATCAATCTCGCGTGGAGGCTTCGAGGGCCTCTTGTGATGCCGAGACTCATTCTTAAGTCGTTGCAATTCGCCGCCGCTCGAGTGACTTTTAAGATCCTTATGGGATTTCGATAGCGAGACAGGTACGACGGAGCTAGGTTTGCTTATTAGCGGAGTGATGCACTCCCTAAGGTAGGCGATCGGAAGGTAGATGACCAACAGAGCCGCACCGAGCCACGTGAGCAGGAATGGATGCCTGTATTTCTCGAAAATAAGCTGCGCAAAGACGCAACGGTTATTTACAGTTGACAGAGTTAATTCACGGAAAAGCGCGGTATAACCGAAATTGCTTTCGTACCTGTGTCACCTCAGCGGAGGTAACCCAGATGAACACTACTAAAAGAATAAGTAGCAGGCCAATATTATACTTCCACGTTGAGCCTGCCATCAGACGGGAACACGTAACCTAGGGAATGGCTGACGGAATCCTAAGATCACTCATCAGCAGACGCGCTATGACCACTAACAAATCTGTATGAAAAGGCACAGCTGTGCGCTATCTCGTAAGTGAATCGACCATGTGATCGGACAGGTCTGACACTAGAGATAGATACCGGTAGGACAGGCAACAACCAGTCCATCTCTACCCACGTGTTTGCTCTTGACATCATTTTTTATCAGGATAATTTTGTCTGCCACATATGTGGGTCGCCTAGGGTCCTCCGCAAATGTTCGTGATGGTCCCCCACGGGGGAACCCAACCCAGTCGACCGCGTTCCTCTAAATGGGGTAACGAGGCAAGTTTTTCGTCACGCCCAGTTGACTGTTCGCACCAGTTGAGTTGGATCGTCACCTCGTGGGCGACCATGAGTCTCTACTTGTGGAGGGGAGGTGGAGAACATGTGCGGGGTAATCTGGTGAATTACTGTCGGCTCGAAACAGTGACAACCTCTTTAACGCAGGCAACATGGTAGAGAACGCGCCTATCTTTTGATTCATAATACATCCTCACAACTTTCTACAAGGGATGTTCACTCAAGTAAAAAAAATCAGCAATCTGCTTTCAAGTAACTCAGGACCGGCAATCATCAGGTGAAAGCGAATGTGACATTGTCAAGGGTGTGGGGTCGACAAGCAAGCTGGTCCAGATCTCGCACAATGCGAAATACCGCGTCTGGACGAGCAATGCGCAGCGCGTTGGCAGCCATCTGCTTGAACTGATCTGACTTGGGTCCAAACCAATCTGCCACAATGTTTCCAATTTCTTTGGGGTTCTCCTCAAACACTCCAGTCCCATTGTCGACAACGTATGGAACATTTCCAGCTTCCTGAGACAGCCAGGGGAATGAAAGGAAGTACAACACGGAACAGTCACATGGATGGAAAGCTGGGCTGGAATCTGGGACACTGAAATTATTACTGATTAGCCAGAAAGAGAGAAAAAGTTGCATGGGTAGACCACGAATAACTAAGGGTACCTGGACACAAATGTCTCAATCACGTCATAAAACCGCTGTACCAATCTGCACCGCAATACACCTAAGTGTCGAACATTTCCACCGCACTGCATCTCTTCGTTTGAGACGCGAAGCCTTTGTGACGCGCGTCAGGAATGTACCCTAACTCACCTGTCCTGCAATGAAGTCATTGAGCACCATGGGTAGACCACGGATCATGGACTCTGCTATCGTGCCAGGACCAGCCTGCACAGAGGCATATGAAAGGAAGGTTGCAGAGGGCGTTTTGACACAAGGAAATGCAGAAAAGCTTGAGAAAGCGATAGCAAGAATAATATTCTCAGGGATATCAAGCAGGATGGCTATGCATCGACACAGGGTAGTAGCATGGCGGAATGACAGCATGCAGAAGCAGCACTAACCTTAGTGATGATGCAGTCACATGCGGCCATCACATCAGGCATATTGGTCACAAAGCCCTTCAGCTGCAACATGGGCAAGATGTGTTCATGCATGAGGAGCAAAGTGGAAACAGGAAGCAGGGAGACAGTGGGGAAGAGGTTGAATACATAGGAGGATATGCAGCATGACTAGGCGGAATAGGGGAAAGGGGCATAAGCCTTATCAGGTTAACCCGATACCCATCTGTACCCATGCTAATGCTCAACCGCCAAACAAATCTCAATCCCCATCAGCTGCCCATCCTGAGCCAAACACCATTCCCGGCACTCATATCCCACTCATTCAACTCCCTCACGCACCAGAACAGGCAAGGGCCACTTGACGGCCTGCAGCTTGGCAAGCAGCTTCTTGTTGCGCCCACAGATCACCACCAGCTGCCCCTTGGCCACTGCCTCCCCAACAGCTACCCATCCTGATCCGAACACCGTTTCCAACATTCATCAAACACGCATCCAACCGGCACGCACCAGAACAGGCAAGGGCCACTTGACAGCCTGCAGCTTGGCAAGCAGCTTCTTGTTGCGGCCGCAGATCACCACCAGCTGCCCCTTGGCCACTGCCTCCCCAACAGCTACCCATCCTGATCCGAACACCGTTTCCAACATTCATCAAACACGCATCCAACCGGCACGCACCAGAACAGGCAAGGGCCACTTGACAGCCTGCAGCTTGGCAAGCAGCTTCTTGTTGCGGCCGCAGATCACCACCAGCTGCCCCTTGGCCACTGCCTCCCCAACAGCTACCCATCCTGATCCGAACACCGTTTCCAACATTCATCAAACACGCATCCAACCGGCACGCACCAGAACAGGCAAGGGCCACTTGACAGCCTGCAGCTTGGCAAGCAGCTTCTTGTTGCGGCCGCAGATCACCACCAGCTGCCCCTTGGCCACTGCCTCCCCAACAGCTACCCATCCTGATCCGAACACCGTTTCCAACATTCATCAAACACGCATCCAACCGGCACGCACCAGAACAGGCAAGGGCCACTTGACAGCCTGCAGCTTGGCAAGCAGCTTCTTGTTGCGGCCGCAGATCACCACCAGCTGCCCCTTGGCCACCGCCTCCCCACCACCCGCAGGCGCCAGCGTGGCTGCCAGCGCCTTTGCTGTCGCCTCCACAGGCCCCATGCCCTCCCCCCCGCCGATCAGCAGCGCTGCTGGCAGGTTAAGGTCCATCCCCAATGCCCGGCGCAGCTCGTCCTGTTGCAGGAAATGAGGGGGAGAAGGGGAGAGGGGGAGGGGGGGAGTGGGGAAAGGGGTAGAGTGGAGAGCGGGTGTTGTGAGAGGCAGGGGCGGAAACGTCTGAAGTGAGAGCAGGTACGGGAACAGTGGGAACAAGGAATGCCTTTGCTGTCGCCTCCACAGGCCCCATGCCCTCCCCTCCGCCGATTAGCAGCGCTGCTGGCAGGTTAAGGTCCATCCCCAACGCCCAGCGCAGCTCGTCCTGTTGGTCAGGGAATAGGGGGGGTTGGGAGATTGGGAGGGAGAGGTAAGGGGAAGGGAAAGGGAGAAAAGGGCGTTGTGAGAGAAAGGGAAGGTCATGGTGCTCTCTAAGGTTTCATAGAGGAGGGAGGGGAAGAGCACAGCATTCCAAAAACGAAAGCACGGGGTGGGGAAGTGTCGTCACAAGGGATGGGACAGGGGGAGTTAGGTTCGGGGGAAGAGGGCACTTGATAGGAGATCCAGGGATAGAAGGAGTACCTTGGGGGCTGAGGGCTTGGCAAAGGCTGGTCGGATGGGAAGCCCGTGTACTCTGATCTGAGGTGGCTGCAGGCCCGCCTTGAGAGCTCGTTGAGCCACGTCCTTGGTGGGGCAGAAGCACACCGTCACCAGGCGGTGGAACCTGGTGGAACGTGGTCCAGAAGAAGGAGGCAGTGAGACATTGAGCGTTATAACGTACGTTACCCATGTGATGCAGGTGGAGCCATGTTCTAGCTATAGCAGAGGCATACATGATGAAAGATATATATATATATATATATATATATATATATATATATATATATATATATATATATATATATATAAGAAAGTCATCGAGCGCTTCTTCTTGTTGGTTATCATGTTGAAGGATCAGGACCCATGCAACCCACGTTGATCCACAGAGTGATAGAACCAGGTGGTGAGGTAGGTACAAGGATACAAGATCAGGCAAAGGAGGCACTTGAAGGAGGCTCCAAAGCTCGCAGGGCCTCCTCTGGTGTCCAGTGCATCGGTCATATGGGTTACATTGAAGCTTGTTAGGCAGTAAGAAATGGGTTACACACCAGGTGGGGTGGCATGTCGTGAGGTCGGTGACAACGGTGGTGAAGGGGATGCGGTGCAGCAGGCCTCGGGAGCGCAGCACGCGCAGAGGGATGTGCTGCATGAGCGGGTGCACACTCACGATCACGTCCGGCTTGTACTTGTCCAGCCCCTTGGACACCTCCCTGATGGAACATGGAGACAAGACCAGGGAGGAGAAGGGGAAAGAGGGGAAGGGAGGGCGCGGGTGGAAAGGGGGTGAATTGAAGCCTGGAAAGCAGAGAGCGCAGCACGCGCAGAGGGATGTGCTGCGTGAGCGGGTGCACGCTCACAATCACGTCCGGCTTGTACTTCTCCAGCCCCTTGGACACCTCCCTGATGGAACATGGAGACAAGACCAGGGAGGAGAAGGGGAGATGAGGAAGGATCGAAGGGAACAACTGTGCTCGCTTAAGATGCAAAAACGGCACAATATACTCTGAGAGAAATACTTTGTTCACTTAAAGTCTAGCTAACCTTGGGTTTGGTGTCGTACATTGCCACATTTCTTTGAGGAGGCCACCCCATGTCTGTTGTTTCCACTCTTGAAAAAGGTGTAACACTTCCACTTCCAACACCCCCCTCCCGCCCCTCCCCCCACCCCTTCCCTTTCTCACCTTGCAACGAACGCGGAAGTGGCAGCCATCTGCGGCTGGTGCACGAACTTGGGCTTGGTAGCGTAGAACGCCACCTTCCACAGCGTCTCCTGCTGAAGACGTTCCACAGCTGTCGCTTCTCCTCTTGGACGAGCAACACCCGAATCCCTTTTCCCTCACCTTGCAACGAACGCGGAAGTGGCAGCCATCTGCGGCTGGTGCACGAACTTGGGCTTGGTGGCGTAAAACGCCACCTTCCACAGCGTCTCGTGGCGCACGAGGAAGCTGTAGCTCTTGGGCATCTGGTTGAAGGGCCACGGCGTGTGCTCCTTCCACAGGTCGATGATGGTCACCTGGCGGAGAAGACACAGGAAACAGAGAGTTCGCCGTCGCACGTGTTCCAGTCGCAATGCGAAAGCGTTTCGTTTCGTTCTTCCCCTTCTCAGATGTGCTCAAGCCTTGTGCGTATAAAGTTACACATTGAGCTTGAGCATCAAACCAACAGACACAACAATATTGTTCCAACGCTTCGCATACACATCGCAGACACAGCAACTGTTCTCTGGCTCTTTGTCCAACTCACCTCGTACTTATCGCCGTATTCCAGCTCGAAGGTCGACTTGATCGCACACGGTGGCCTCCACCCATGTCGCTAATGGAAAAAGAGCACGCGCTTCTTCGTACGACTCAAAATATGGTTGTGTGGTTCCATTTTTAACTCACCTCGTACTTATCTCCGTACTCCAGCTCGAAGGTCGACTTGATCGCCTCAGCACTGGCACGGTGGCCTCCACCAGTGTCGCTCATGAGAATGAGCACGCGCTTTTTGCGCTCAGCGTCCGCCGGTTTCTTCTCCGGTTCTGTTATTGCCGTCGCCGCGTGCTCCACGTCATTCTTGGCGTGTTCATACTGCCCATGGCGCCAGTTTTGAATTGATCCACGGCCACGGCGATAACCTGTTGCGGAGGAGACATGAGAACGAGGCACATAGAGAAGGCTGTGCACCTGAGGACAAAGGTAATGATCGAAATGCAACCTTGGACGACGAAGAAGCGGAAACGAGCTCGTATGGATACGAGCGAACAAGGATTTAAACATATCAACCATACTGACCCAAGGGGGTGATTCCGCGGTTGCTGCGGAAAAGGTTGTTCAGCATTCGCCCGAGGCCGCCAGCATTGCCTCCCGCTGCCATCGTCACCAAGCTCCCAGCATTCTTATTGGACGCTCCCAACAGGTGACCGTCCGTAAGCCCTCCCTTTGCGATGACCAGTGGCGGAGGTTGACGAATGTCGTCACGAACATCGTCAAAAGCCAAAAGCTCGTCTGACGTTCTCGAGGCTGAGCGCTTGATTGCTGAGGGAAGATTCCCGTTGTCGTCAACCCGACTCGTATTGTCTTTGCTTGTGTCCAGGTAACCAGCCGTTAATGCAGTGTGCTGAGAGAAAAGGTTGGAGTTGAGACTGAGCGAAATGGAAGCCAACGTCATGAAATTCGGTTCTGCTGAAACCCGCTGCTGTGAAGGTTCGGAGGAATCCATTTTGATTTCGTCTGATTGAGATATTTCTAAAAAGATACGTCTGCCACTAGTCGGAAGGTTCTGAGATAATCAAAAGAGTACACGCAGTAGACGAGCTGTAGAAAAATAACTTGAGAAAACTGCCTTCAAGTCGAGCAACACAAAAACAAAATAACTTTGAATATTGACCCTGGCTGAAGGAAAAAAACTACTGACGGCAGGCTAAGCTAAGGTCGTAGACTAAGCTGACTTGCTAAGGTTCTTAGACGGCTTGCGTTGGAGCCTGCTCACTCCTATTTCTAGAACAGACTGGAAACTACACGGGAATCATGGTTGCTTGGCAGGAAAAGGAATAGGTCTCAAGGAGACTTCTGAGGCGACTAGACCAGAGACAATGGGTGGGACTACGGTGTGTTGGGCATGGAACGAGGAGAGAAGAGGGGGCACTGGAGGAAGGGATGAAAAGCGGGTCATGACAACGGACACATGGATGTTGACGAGGGGAGAACATTGCAGCCGTGGATTCTTCAAGCAATGCCACAGAAACTGATGACCGTGATCAGTGGGATGTGGAACACGTGGCAGTGGTGCTGGCATGTGGACTCGGTTTGGATGAGGCTTACGAATATGCGAGGTGGTTCGCTATGGCTCGCTGGCATCGACGAATTTCGTAAACGATTCTGTAGCCCTGTCGCGGATCGCGGTTCTTCAATTTGCAGCGAGTTCCTGCACATCATTGGGTGGAAACAATCACAGCTGGCGGCGGGAATCCTTGTGTCAGTGAAAAAGTGCAAGCCGAGCTGGTGTGATGGCAAAAGTACAAATATGGGTACAGTGTAGTACAGAGCTTCATTGCAGTTTGCTCTACTATACATTTTGGTCATTGTCCTGAAACAATAAGTTTGCTCTGTATTGAGTACAATGTTGAGTTTGTGGTGGCTCGAGTTCTGAATCATTCAACATATTTGTTGTCGCAGTCGCTGTGTCTTGGTAGCCTGTAAACCCTAAGCGGTATAATTGTAGGAAAAGTTTTGCTCTGTCTAGTAATCTCGTTTTCGTTTTAAATCATTCAACATATTTGTGGTCGTAACAGGCTAATTCCGAACCGTCATGGGATCTGACGAGGACGAGATGGAGGGCAAAAAAGGAAGGCGAAGTCGCGAAGGCGCACGGGACATCCGGGGAAAAGAGGACGATGAGAATTCAAGGGAACGAGGAGGGAAAGGGGATCGGTATGCTGATTCGAACAAGCGGGATAGGGAAAAGGAGAGAGGTAGGAGTAAGGAGATTAGGGACCGTGAAAGGAAGGGGAAAGGGCCAGAAGATGAGGATGCAGATGCGAAGGAAGAGGAGGAGAGGAAGAAGACGAGACAGGAGAGTGATGAATGGGGGGGGTCGGAGAGTGATGGGAGTGGGGGTAAGGAGAAGGAGGATCAGGAGAAGGGGAAGGGGAAGGGGAAGGAGAAGGAGAAAGAGAAGGAGAAGAACAGTGGGCGTCACGGGAAGGGGAAGGAGAAGGGGAGGGGGAAGGGGAAGCGGCGAAGGAAAGATTCTAGTAGTGAAAGTGAGAGTGACAGCGAAAGTGAGAGTGGGAGCGAGAGTGGGAGTGAGAGTGATGATGAGAGTTCGGAAGATAGCGAGGAGGAGAGGAGGGAGAGGAAAAGATCGAGGAGAGAGAAGAGGAGGTCAAAGGAAGGGAGCAAGTCGAGGAAAAAGAAGAAGAGGAGGAGAGGGAGCGATGATGACGGAGAGGAGGACGAGGAGGAAGACGAGACCACGTCGGAGAGCAGTGGGAGTGAGACGGATGAGAGGAGGCTAGAGAGGAGGAGGAAGGAGAGAGAGCAGAGGAAGAAGGGGAAGGAGAGAGAGAAGAAGAGGAAGGAGAAGAGGAGGAAGAAGAAGGAGAAGAAGAGGGAGGAGAAGAGAGAGAAGAAGAAGGCGAAGAGGGAGGCTAAGAAAGAGGCCAAGTCTAAAGGGCCGGTCATGGAGTATGGGAAATACGGCATCATTCGGGAAGTGGACATGTGGTGAGTGTGAATGAGTTTGAGTGTAGTGAGGTGGCTTTTGAGTCGATTCAAGAGTCAAAGGGCCGGTCATGGAGTATGGGAAATACGGCATCATTCGGGAAGTGGACATGTGGTGAGTGTGAATGAGTTTGAGTGTAGTGAGGTGGCTTTTGAGTCGATTCAAGAGTCAAAGGGCCTGTCACAGAGTATGGGAAATACGGCATCATTCGGGAAGTGGACATGTGGTGAGTGTGACTCATCGTGTGTGTGATCAGTAGTGTGATGCAGTGTGCATAACCAGGATTTTGAAACTCAGTCTTCCAATTCAGCAATATCAGCTCTCACTCTCGGATTGTTTTTCTTACCAATACAACTCCTTTCAACTCCTCCTGCTGCTGCTGCTACACTGCTGCTTCTGCCGCCGCTGCGACTGTTGCTGCTGCTAATGCTGTTTGTGCTGCTGCTTCCCCTTCGGTTGCCTCTCTCTCTTCTTCTTCTGCTGCTGTCTGAAAGAGTGTCCGTTTTTTCTTTCCTATGCATTTCTTGTCTCGCAGGAGCAAACGACCGGAATTTAGCGCATGGCTGGCTGAAGTGAAAAAGGTAAAACCGTGAGAAGGGTAAGGCTCGTATCAACATTCTCTTCTCTCCTTGCCCTGCCGCTTTCTCTTTTTCTTCCCCCCCTGCTACCCGCCCCCACCCAGGCTCTTCCTCCCCCCTCCCCTCCCCCCCCTGGCTTGGATCGCACTTGTTGACTTTCGTTGACTCTCACGCTTCCCTCCTTCCCATGTGCCCGACTCTGCCATATACCTTATTCCCTGGTCACGTCTCAACCTACTTTCATTCTCATGGGTGGCTGCGTGTTGTGGGGGGGAGGTGGGGAACGGGGGGGGGGGGGGGGGGGTGTGCGTGTGCGTGTGCGTGTGCGTGTGTGTGTGTGTGTGTGTGTGTGTGTGTGTGTGTGTGTGTGTGTGTGTGTGTGTGTGTGAGTGTGTGTGTGTCTTGCATGTCTCACTGCAGGCGAATCTGGAGCAGCTGAGCGGGTTTGAGGAGAAGAACCTGTTCAAGGAGTTCATGGAAGACCACAACACTGCCACGTTCCCATCCAAGAAGTGAGTCCCTCTATAACGAGTCCATGCCAACACGAGCCAGGTCTGCAGAACTTTGTTGTGCTGGCTTCTGAAGTTTCCGGACCTGTTAATGCCGGATATACACCACTGGAAATCAGGGTGCTGCTGTTACCCTAACCCTCTCCCCCTGCCCCCCCATCTGCCTTTCTCATGTTCTACAACCTAGCAGCATGAGAGTGTGAGCGAATGACAATCATTTTGAGGCGCCTCAAAAAGCATGAGAGTGTGAGCGAATGACAAGTTATCTTCTAGGCGTCCTGAACATGCCCAACACTTCCCCCCCTCTGTCCCCCTGTCCATTTCAACACGCACGCTGGTTTCCATTAGGTATTACAACTTAGCGGCATGGGAGCATCAGCAGATGACGAAGAGGAAGGGACGGCCGGATAAGCCTTCTGGAATGGAAATGACCGAGTTCAATGATGAGGATATGAGGAGGTGAGAGGCGGTATTAGGGTTTTCCCTTGTTATGAGGCGCCTCAAATCCCATCTCAATTCGAGGTGACTTAAAACCGGATAAGCCTTCTGGAAAGGAGACGACAGAGTTTAATGATGAAGATATGAGGAGGTGAGAGGCGGTAGTGGGGTTTACTGACTTGTTGAGTCAACAATGTTGATGCGTTCACTGTGTTCCCAGTGCAGTCTTGTTGACTTGTTGGCACCTTACTGTTTTGATCCGGCCTATGTGCTCACCCACTCTTCCAATTCAGTCTCCCTGTGTTGGCATGTGTGCTGCTGCTGTCCCTGCCATGTGTGCGTCATGCCTGTGCTTGCCTCGCCTCGCCTCGCCTCGCCTCGCCTCGCCTCGCCTCGCCTCGCCTCGCCTCGCCTCGCCTCGCCTCGCCTTGCCTCGCCTCGCCTTGCCTCGCCTCGCCTTGCATGGCAGGGAGGAGATTCGCCGGGCGAGGGAGAAGCAGAAGGAGGAGGAGGTACTGGCGCTCAAGCGCAGCATGGAGTCGGGCATGGTGAGAATGAGGGGTGGAGTGGGGTTGGGAGTGGTTGTGGGGGGTACTGGGGGTTTGTGGGAGTTGCTGGGAGTTTGTGGAAGTGTTGCCGCACCGGATGCAGAGCTTCTTTCAGCAGGGGGAAGAGGTGCTGGTTGTGCATGGGTGCATGGGTGCATGGGTGCATGGCCCTGCATGGGTGCATGGCCCTGCATGGGTGCATGGTTGCATGGGTGCATCATGTCCACTCGTTCATGCTGCCTCCTCACCTTTTGTCCTCTGCATTCATTTTCTGTGCCCTTTTCCTGATCGATTCTCAGGCGCAAGCGATGAGAGACCAGGAGCGGCTGAAAGAGGAATTGCGCTTCCTTTTTGTTGTCGGTTCATAATTCTCAAGATCAACCTGCTGCCTCCTCACGTTTCACCCCCTGCATCTCTATGTGCCCGTCTCCTGATTGATGATTCTCAGGCACAAGCAATGAGAGACCAGGAGCGACTCAAAGAGGAGCTGCGCTTCCTCTATCAGATTGGAAACTACGAGGTGAATCTCACTCCTGCTCTGCTTACACTGGTGGTAGTGGTTCATTTGCTTCTTGAGTCGAATCAATGCCGATTCAAAAGGCCGAATCAAATTTTCTTCGTCCTTCAACTTTTTTTTTTTTTTAACTCGGCTGTGACGAATGGGTAGTCTTGCATTCTTACTGCCTTAGGTTAGCGGTAGGCACCCATCCCATTAATCCCCTTATCTCTTTCGATTTTTCTGAAGTAGTCTTCATCCTTTGTGACAATTGCTTGTCGATTGCATGCAAATCCTCCATTGCCCATCCCCACACACGCCGTTCATTGCCCTTAGCTCCTTGTGCCTACCGTATTATGCGATTTGACTTGCTGTCTGCTTTTTTAGGCGACTCAAAAATGGAATTTCTGCTCCTTACGCTCCCTATGCTCATAATGTGATTTGCTGCGATTTTGCCGCTTGCTGTGTGTCTTGCATGCCTGCATTCGCCTCTCAGGGAGCTGCTGCCATCCAAAAGAGGCTTGAGCCTGATGATCCTTCCAAGCGATAGAACACCTGTTTCCTAGCATGCAGCCCAAATTGCGCAAGATTACTGTTAAGAAAAGTCGAGCTAACACCAGCACGATTAGTAATCTTTCCCCACGCAATTTGTAATTTGGGCCGCGGGCTTTAGTGAAATGTTGGGTACGGTATTCCAAGTTGTGCAGTAGGCCTGTAAGTCAGATGGATGCATACAATCACTAAAATCGTGATCAATGTTGACTGGAATAGGATGTGCATGAAAAGGCTATTGGTAATACTGCACAAATGAACATTTTGAATAATGTATCTCACATTGGTTCCTCCAGGATCTGTTACCCTGCGCACAACAGTTCAGGTCCAAGACACACGAACGTGTCCCACCGTAACACTCTTAAATTTCATCCAAACCTCTTGTACTCCTGTGTCCGTCTGCCCCTGTTTTAATTTGGTATGTACTGCTACAAAGATTAGTGATTCTCCCCAGCCACCTCCGCTTCCGAACCATCAAACCTCAGCTTCTTGGCTCGGTCCAAGCCTCCACCTGTGAAAGAAGCAGGTCGTTTGGATCGGGCACCGAGCACTGGAGGCATCAAGGGCCGCACCTCTCCTCCACTCGAAACACCACCTTCAGATTCAGAGATAGCATGAGTCTCTCTACTCGCATCCTTTTGAGGCGCCTCAAAAGTCACTGCAGGCATCAAGGGCCTCACCTCTCCTCCACTCGAAACACCTTTGTCAGAGATAACACGAGTCTCTCTGTTCGCATCCACTTCAAGTCTTTCCCCACCTCGGTCATCTCTTCTCCCCATGTCTGTCATTCGAGCTGTCAACAAAATCCCCTCCCCCTCATACTCGCCGAATTCCCCATCCCCCATCCTCCCCTGCCGTCTCTCTTCCTCCCCTCCAGACTCGTCCCTCTCTCTCTCTGTTGCCCCTTCTCCACACTCATCCTGCTCTTCCTCACTTCCCCCATGGGCATTCAACCACGGTTGTTGCCCCTGGCCTGCCGCGCCTGTCTCCACTGCCCCTCTCCGCTTCTTGTGTCTGGGACCCAAACATGCCTTAATAACTGCCTCTTCTCCCTCTCTCTCCTCCCCTCCTCCCTCTCTCGCCTCACCTCCTCCATCTCTCTCCTCCCTGCCTCCCTCTCTGCCCTCCCCTTCCTCTCGCTCCTCCCCTCCTCCATCTTTCTCCTCTCCTCCTTTCTCTCTTTCGCTTACTTCCTGTCCCTCCTCCCCTCCCTCTCTCCCCTCCACTCCTCCCTCTCTCGCCTCTACAACAACCATATCCAGCTTCCCTCCACCATCCACGCACGAGCTTCCCCCTGCCATCATCCGTGCGAGCATGCTCACAGCATGCAGCAACCACTGCGTGCCCCTGTCCCCAGGGACTCTCCAGCAACCGTCCGCTTCATCTGGATGCTTCAAACACAGAGCTGGTGGGAGGGAGGGAAAGAGGCAGAGAGGGATGGGATTGAGCATCCGAGCATGCATGCACGAGCTTCCCCCGGCCATCATCCACGTGCACACACGCACGCACGCACGTGCGAGCATGCTCGCAGCATGCAGCAGCCACTGCGTGCCCCTGTCCCCAGGGACTCTCCAGCAACCATCCGCTTCGTCTGGATGCTTCAAACAGAGCGCTGGTGGGAGGGAGGAAACGGAGCAGAGAGGAATGGAATTGAGCATGTGATCTTCCCCCCTGCCAGCATCCATGCTAGCATGCTCGCAGCATGCAGCAGCCGCTGGGTGCCCCTGTCCCCGGGGACTCTCCAGCAACCGTCCGCCTCATCTGGGCGCTTCAAGCACAGCGCTGGAGGGAAGACGGGAAGGAGGGGTTTGTGATGGGTAGTGGAGGGAGGAAGGTGAGTGAGTGATGCTTGCAACCATCCACCTTATCTGGATGGTTCAAGCAGAGCGCTGTTAGGAAGAGGAGAAGGGAAGAGGACAGGGGATGGCCACTGGGTGATGTAAACAACACCCGAGAGCACACCTCAGTGCAACAGACAAAAAGCACCTGAAACCACACCTGACAGCAACGGACAACTCACCTGAAAGCAGCTGTGCCATGCTGTCATTTGCCACTGTGTCCCAATCTTCCAGTTCCTCCACCAAAGGAAAGTCTACATGCACAACTTCCCCCCACCCCCCATCCCCCTCCTCCTCTCCTCCCTCCCATTCCTCCTCTTCATCCTCCTCCTGCCCTCTCCTCCTCTTCCCCTTCTTCCCCTTCTTCCCCTCCTTCCCCCTCCCTCCCTTTTTCTTCCCCTTTGTGCCAGGCCAATCTGGGCCGTCCATCAGCAGGAGCTGCCAGCTGTTTCGAGCGATCGCGTCCGTCCAGCTGGCGTGGGCTGCTTTCAGGCGCGATTGCAGCCATTGGATCGCCTCTGCTCCATCAAAGGAATCTGTAGGGCGAGGGGAGGAGTGAGGGCGGGGGGGATGGAGGGAGAAACGGGGAGGAAAGAGGATGGGGGGAAAGGGAGGAGGAACGAGAAGAGAGGAGATGAGGTTGTATAATATAAACGGACATTGAAAGTTGGGTATACAGAGGGAGTCAAGAGGAAACACGGAGGAAGAAAATCAAGAAGTGGGGAGGGAGGGCATTGATACAGATAAGAAAGCAACGGAAGGAGCGAGGTGAGAGAGGTGATTACCGTCAGCAAGCACTGCCTGAACGCCCTCCCTCACTGCCTCCTCCTTCAACTCCACCCTCTCTTCCACTCCCACAGCAACACTTCCGGTTGCAGCGCCCCCAATTAGAGCACTTCCATTAATAGCACTTTCAATAATAGCCCCTTCAGCAGCAGCAGCACCGCTAGCAGTGTTGTTTGCAGCAACAATTGCCCTGTTGTTTCTCTCTTCATCCATTGCACCTTCCCCACCAGCAGCATCACTGCCTGTTGCCTCCTGCTCCCTATGCACGTCTCCTCCTCTTGCTGCTCCTCCTCCCCTCTGCCTCCTGTCACTCCTTTGCCCTCGCCTCACTTTAGCAGCAGCAGCCAGCACCCTCTGTCTCCTGCTCAGCAGCACGTTTTCCTCATCCTCACTACTCTCCGCCTCCTCCCTTTCATCCTCCCCGAGACCCTCCTCTCCTTCCTCACCTCCCACTGCTTCCTCCCCTCCTCCTACCTCTTCCTCGTCCCCTGACTCTCTGTCTTCCTTCTTTCCCTCCTCCTCCTCCTCCCCCTCCTCCCTCTCCTCTCCCTCCTCTCCTTCCTCTCCCTCCTCTCCCTCACCCACATCTTTTAAAATCTCCTCAAACCCACTCCGACTCCCTCGCCTCCTCCTCTCACTCCTCTTCCTGCCCGTTCCGTCCTCGGGCAGCCCAAGAAACTGAATCCTCTGCGCAACCCGGGCAACCGAAAACTTCCCTCCCATGCCCTTAGCAACCTCTTTCGCAACTGCACCCTTGCCTCTCCTGCCCGTACTCCTCCTGCTGCTGCTGTTGCTGCTGTTGCCGTTCCCCACCTGAACCCCTGTAGCATCACAGTATAGACTCCTGATCGTTGCATCATCCTCATCTGTGAATGCGAGACTGCTGCGCCTCCGCGTGTTCCTTGCCCCTTTTGCCTTCAACCCCGTTATCAGCCCCGCGCCTTTCCCTCCCTCTTCTCCTGTAAGCTCCTCTCCTTCTCCACCGATTTTCACACCTCCCTCTCCCTCCGTTCTTCCTTCCTTCCTCCCTCCCTCCTTCCTTTCGCCCTCCTCCCTTTCCTCCCCAGCCCCCCACCCCCTCTCCCCTCCCTCCATCTCCTCCAAACCAATCTCTTCCTCCACCTCACTCTCTCCTTCACTCCCTCCCTCCATCTCTCCCTCACTCACCTCCCCACCTCCACCCTCCTCCTCAGACTCACTATCAAACACAAGCTGCCTCCTCCGTCCCTTCTTTCCTATATTCACCCGTGTCCTACCCCGCATTGCCTTCCCAGACTTGTCTTTCCCAGCCTTTGCTTTCCCACCACTTGACTTTCCATCCCCTGCCACACCACCACCGTCGCCATCACCACCCCCACCATCACCACCCCCACCACCACCAGCAACACCAGCATCAGCATCAGCTGCTGCCGCCTTGCTTCTCTTCAGCCCCTGCGCCCGCAAAAACCGGCTGACCTTCGCCGCAAGTGCTCTTGTAGAGTCCCCTTTTCGAGAACCACCCTCCTTTTCCCCAGCCCCACCCTCCTCTCCAACTTCCCCCCCTTCCTCCCTTTCCCCCCCTTCCTCCCTCTCCTCCCCTTCCTCCTCTTCCCCCTCTTCCCCGCCTTCCCCCGGTTCCCCGTCCTTCCCTGGTTTCCTACGGCCCATGGTGGAAAGCAGGCTGGGGTCTTGTTCGATTAGGGCCTTTGCTATCAGCGATGGCATATCTCGCCTTGACTTGTGGCTGATGGGGTGGGGAGAGGTAAGGGGGAGAGGGAGAAAATGAGGGGAAGTGGAAGGCGTGTGGAAGGAAGCAGGCTGGGGTCATGTGCGATTAGAGCCTTTGCTATCAGTGATGGCATATCTCGCCTTGACTTGTAGCTGATGAGGGCGGGAGAGAAGGAAGAGGGAAGGTGGAATAAAAAAGACAACATACCTCTTTCGCGTACCTCATTAACCAGTTCACCCTCTTTACCTCTTTCGCATCAATCCGTCCCACACACGCCATACCTGTTTCTTATACCTGCTTTCAAGTCTATATACTGACGTTTGAGGCACCCATAAGTCACCCCAGGAAAGCTTTTCCGCAGGATACTCTGACCTCTCCTGCTGCTCTTGAAACGGCACAATTACATTCCTTACCTCTCGAAAAGCTTGCGGATTCTTTAGGCGTTCCTAAACATTTCTTTACCTCTCGAAAAGCTCTCGTATTCTCCTCTCCTGGTCCTCTGAAAACACTCGTGCCCTGGCCCTTCCCTTGCTGCCAGGCATAAGAGTGAACACGGAGCAAGATGGAGAGACAGAGGGGTTGGTGGTTTGAGTGACGTTGAGAATCCTGCTTGCCTGCCTATACCGATTATTATGACATTCCCACGCATTGTTTTAAAAACTAATCTCCTTTCTCTCCTTCCTCTGCTTGCTCTAATCTCCTTCCTCTCCTGTCTCTCCTTCCTCTTCTTGTTCTCATGTCCTGTCTCTCCTTTCTCTCCTTTCTCTCCTTCCATTGCGTGCGTACCCTCTCTTCTCTCACCTCTTCTTGCTAGCAGCAGCAGCAGCAGCATCAGCAACATCAGCAGCCCACCACATGCCTCGAGGCAATTCCACGTCTGCTTCATCATCCCCCAACGCATCCCTCAGTCCGCCACTCCTTGGATTTCCCAGTCCCCCATTTCCTCCCCCTCTTCCTCCTCCCCCAACCCCTCTCCGCCTCCCTTTCCCCCAACTCACCGCCTCCCATCCCTCTTCCCCATCCCTGCCTCCCGCTCTCCCCCCCACCCACCCCCCCGACCTAAGCTCCCCCAGTGCCACGTCAGCAGCGAGACCCATGCTTTCTTTCCGCGATTTGGGGAAGAGGAGGCGGAGGAAGAGGGAGGGGCGGAGGGGGAGGAGGGTGGAGAGGTGGCGGACGGTGGAGGAGAGGAAGGAGAGGAGGGGCGCGTGCAGGGGGGAGGAGCGGAGGTCCGGGTTGGTGAGGAGCTTGTAAAAGGTGTGCAGGGTTGACACCTGGGGGAAAAGCCGATGGGGGGAAGGGGGGATGGGGAAAAAAGGCAGCGGCACACTCGTAAGGGCACATGCAGAGGGGAGGAGCGCAGGTCGGGGTTGGTGAGAAGCTTGTAAAAGGTGTGCAGGGTTGACACCTGGGGGGAGGGGGGAGGTGGGGAAGGGAGGGAGTCGGGATGTTTGGGGGTAGATACGGGGGTAAGGGGAAAAAATAGGAAAGGGGGAAAGGAGGGCAGGTCTGGGTTGGTGAGAAGCTTGTAAAAGATGTGCAGGGTTGACACCTGGGGGGAGGGGGCATGGGGGAGAAGGGGGGAGGGGAGATGGGGGGAAAGGGGAAGGAGAGCGTTTTTTAGGTGAACTGGAAACGGGGGCGCGTGCAAGGGAGAGGAGCCGAGGTCGGGGTTGGTGAGAAGCTTGTAAAAGGTGTGCAGGGTTGACACCTGGGGGGAAGGGGCATGGGGGAGAAGGGAGGGAGGGAAGGGGGTATGGGGAAAAGGGGAGATGGGAGGATGGGCAGCAGCACAATCATAAGATGCCACGGAAACAAGGGTGCGTGCAGGGGGGAGGAGCGCAGGTCGGGGTTGGTGAGGAGCTTGTAAAAGGTGTGCAGGGTTGACACCTAAGGGGAGAGAGGATGGGGGAAAGAGGAAGTGGGGGGCTTGTCACGGTGCAGGTAAAAGGGTTGAGACCTGGAATACACCTAAGACCTCACAGAGCACCTGAGAAAGCACCTGATTTTTCACCTGGCCTGAGACTCACCTGGAACAGCATGGCCTCGGCATCGCACCCCACAGTGAACCTCCTGAGCAGCGACAGCACATAGTGGTTGACACGTGGCGCGTTGCTATTGGCCGTTTCCAGCAGCCACACGCAACTCTTAACCGCGTGCGCGTCAGCAAACCCCCTTATAGTCCGCTTCACGTCTAGTTCATACTCCCGAACCTCCTCCCTTCCGCGCCGACCCTCCTCCTCCGCCTCCTCTATGCCGTCCCCAGGCTCGGCATCCGAGCCTATGTCCGAGCCTGCGTCTGAGGCTAGGTCCGAGCCTGGTTCGGAATCTTCTGGACCTCCTCCGTCTGCTGCTGCCTCTTCCTCTTCATTATCTTCAGCATCACCAGCAGCAGCAGCAGCAGCAGGAGCAGCAGGAGCAGGAGCAGCATCAACAGCAGCAGCAGGGCTACCACCACCATCACCTTCCCCCTGTCCTATCACCCCCTCCTGCCCTTCCTTCCCTCCTCCCCTTTCTCCAATTATGTTATCGCTTCCCTGCTCATGCTCTGCGTCCTCCCCTCCTTGCCCCTCCGCCTCCCCCTCCCCACCTGTCTCCCCCTGTGCCATCTTCTCTCCACCTTGGTTCGCACCCTTATCACTGTTTTCACCAGCATCAGGTGCAGCATTATCAACACTACCACCATCAGCAACACCAGCAGGAACCCCACCCCCACCACCAACATGAGCAGCAGCAGCATTACTACCACCATCAGCACCCGCAGCACCATTATCATCATCATCTACAGCAGAAGCTTTCTCTCCCTCCTGATTCCCCTCCTGAGCCTTCTCCTGCTCACTCCCCTGCTCATTCCCCTGCTCTCCCTCCTTATCCCCTTCCATGCCTGCGTCTGCGCTCTTCCCCTTCCCCTTCGCCTTCCCTCCCTTGTCCTTCCGCTGTCGACTCTTCCTCACCACCTGCAGCGGCCAAGGTTACAAGAACGTGCAAGGAAGGGAAAGAGTGCAAAAAAAAAGTTCAGTGTAAGCTCTTTCAGTGGCACACGCGGCTGAGTGTGCGCGTTGAACCCCTTCAGCTCCCGCTGCAGCAAAAGCACCCTCAAATCAAGGTTCAAATCAGAGCCTACCTTGAGCGCCCCTTCCGTTTGGACGAGGCACTCCAAGAGCCTCAGGCACACGTGGGTGGTTTCCACAGCATCCACCAGCAAGCAGCGTCAACCGGGAAGCATCTGCGTTCCTAACCGTGTGTGTGACTGACTGAAAGCCTACCTTAAGCGCCCCTTCCGTTTGAACGAGATATTCGAGCAGTCTCAGGCACACGTGGGTGGTTTCAACAGCATCCACCAGCAAGCAGCGCGGCTGAGTGTGCGGGTTGAACCCCTTCAGCACCCTCTGTAGCACATGCACCACGCCGTCACTCGAATCGTCATAGAATAGGCGCAGAAGCATGGCCCGCGCCAGCCGAACCTCCCGCCGAACCTCCCACCGGACTTCGTGCCGAACCTCGTGGTGAGGCTCGGCCGAGCCTGTTGCTGCGGGGGTGGGATTCTCCCCAGACTTGATTATGGCATCGAGCATGTGAATCTGTGGGGTAGAGACAGGGTGGGTGTGGGGTGGGAGGAGGGGCATTAAAAAAAAAAAATCATAAGGCACCAACACAGAAGCGAAAACAAGCCACCAAAGGTGAAACAAGAAAGGGAGGGGGGGTGCTCAAATCAGCAATGCTTGACGCTCACCATTTCTTTCAGCAGGCTGCCCGCCGCCACCAGCGCTGCGCGCTCGTGATTGGCCCGGGCAGCATATTCTGCCCAGCGGGCAGAAACAAGAGTGAACATGTCGTCATCCATTGTGGCCGCTATAGGCCCACACCCACACACTGCCCTCTGCTCCATCTTCCCAGAAGCTTCCTCTGATCCTGTATTTGCCTCCTGTTTTCCCTTTTCTTCTCCTGATTCTCCTTCTCCACCTTCTCCCTTTTCTCCCTCTGGTTCCGCCTCTCTTGCCCCTGCTGCCTCTCCTGCTCCCCTTGCCACTCCCCCTGGCGCCCCTTGTGCTGCAGCCTCCCCATTCTCCACCTTCCCGCTGCCTGTCCCCCCTCCCCCCCAGCCCCTTAGCCCGTGCATCTCGCGTTGGAAAGAAATGAAGAAGGAAGCCACGAGGAAGAATGCGAGCGTGTCCGAGGGCTCTAGCCCCGCCCGCCAGGTGGCTACATCACGACGCACCGTCTCCATGAGCACTGGAGGGGCAGGGAACGGAGAGGGGAGGATGAGCAACGCGTCTCCCCTTAGCCCGTGCATCTCCCGCTGAAACGCAGTGAAGAAGGAAGCCACGAGGAACAAGGCGAGCGTGTCCGAGGGCTCTAGCCCCGCCCGCCAGGCCGCCACGTCGCGATGCACCGTCACTTCAGGTGGCCATGTCGCGATGCACCGTCACTTCAGTGCTCATGGAAACTGTTCAGGTGGCCATGTCGCGACGAACAGTTTCCATGAGCACTGGAAGGAAGTCGGGAGCGGGGGAGGGAATGGGGCAGCACTACTGGTTGTGGCACTCACCATTTTAGCTCCCATTCTAGCACTCGCTATTGTCACACTCACCATTTAGCTTAGCACTCGCTATTGTCACACTCACCATTGTAGCATCCCGAAGCCAGCAGCCGGTCCGCAAACACCCCGAGGCGCCTCGCCGTCCACCTGGAGCTCCTCCTATTGGCCCGTGCTCCACCGACCAATCCCAGGGCAGCATCCACGTCAGCATCGGCTTTCCTCGCATCAGCTCCATTTCCCCTCTCCACATCACCGTTCAACCCACAATCCAGCCCCATGCCCATGCCTGTTCCACCCAGTCCCATTCCCCCTACGCCCACGCCCATGCCCATGCCCATGCCCATTCCCCCCATGCCCGTCCCCCCCATCACTCTCCGCACAGGTCCCCTCCTGACTTGGCTGAATATTGCGTGGTGGACAGGCGGAGAGAAAGGAGTGCTAGAGACTGTTCTTGACTTGTCCTGTGAGGAAAGGATGGAGGCAGGGAGTAGGACTGACTGGGGTGAGCGAGGACTGGAACATGGCTTGGCTGGAGAGGGTGTAAATGGTGGGGTGAACAGGCGGGGAGAGGAGGGCGGGGAGAGGAGGGCGGAGTAAAAAAAACAAAAAACCAAACAAAACAAACAATGACAATTCAAATTCGCCACTCACCGCATTCCGAACCACATAGAGCCCGCCGAACCGGGAGTGCCGCTGCGTAATCTTCTGGGCCAGCGCCTTCCGAGCCGCCCGCTCCTTCTCCCGCCGCCGAGCCTCCGCCAGACGTTCGGCAGCCTCCCGGTCCTCCCGCGCGTCAGCCTCGGCATCAGTCTCCCCGGCAGCCCTGAACGCCGCTACAGCCGCGTCCTTAGGAGGTATTTCGCGGAATAGGAGATTAAGAATCTCGAGGAATAAAAGGTTGTCGTGGCGAAGAGCTGGGGCGGTTTCGGGGGATTCGAGGCAGGAGATGAGGAAAAGGAGGACGTCTGGGAAGCCACTGCGGAAGAGAGAGCGAATCAGATCGTCCTGTGAGTAAAGAAGGGGTGTGGGATGGTAGAGAGGGAGGGGCGTCAAGGCAGGGATGAGGAAAAGAAGAACGTTGGGGAAGCCGCTGCAGAAGAGAGAGCGAATGAGATCGTCCTGAGAGGAAAAATGGGGGGAAATGTGGGGAGGGGGTGGAGCGAGCAGAATTGGGGGGAGTGGGATGGGGAGAGGGAGTGCGGGTTGTGTGCATTCCGAGCCAAGCCTATCTGTCAGCCAGTTCACCGAGCCTGCTTGGCGGCAGGTTTACCGAGCCTACCTGAAGGAAGCACAGGTGCGCCCATGCCGAGGCTGAGGATACGTCCGGCGGAGGGTCGGGGATGGCAAGGAGGTTCCGAACCAGAGTGACTATCATCTGAACTAGCCGCCAGTCGTCACTGCTGCCTCTCCCGCTGCATAGGAGAGGCGGGGAGTGGGGTGGTTTGGAGGGCGGGAGATGGGCAGCGGATGAGCGGGGGATGGATTTGGGAAGGGGGAGGTTGAGCGGGGTGAGTGAGGGGAAATGAGCGACGTTTCAAGTGGGGGAAAGTGGGGCCTTAATAGGAATGTGTGAAAGTCAACACACTCTCCCATGATCAGCCCTCTCTTTCACTACTTTTTGTGAAAACTGTAACTCCGCACTACCTTTGGATACTCTTGAGAGGGTCAACAAGCAACTGGAGCACAATCGCGATTGCATCGCTCTCCCCACTCCCCACATAACCACTCCCACCACCACCACCAGCACCAGCGCCAGCAGCGCCGCCGTTTCTCGGTATAAGCCCATTCGTTACAGCGCCGGTTCCGTGCAGCAGCGCGCTCTTGAAGCGTCTCTGGCATCCGTGGTGCTCCAGCCTCAGCTTCTGCTGCTGCTGCCGCCCTGCCGCGTCCAGATCAGGTGGCGGCGGTGGTGATGGCATGGTGAGGAACACCAATAGCTTCACTGTGGGGGGGGTGGGGGAGGGACGAACAGGGACGTAAGGCGTTTACAGCCATGTCATGACATGACATCCGTGGTGCTCCATCCGCAGCTTCTGCTGCTGCTGCCGCCCTGCCGCGTCCAGATCAGGTGGCGGCGGCGGCGATGGCATTGTGAGGAAGACCAATAGCTTCACTGCAGGAGGGGGGAGGGGTTAATAGAAATTTGTACGGCGTTACAGCCTCTAGCAGTGGTGGTGCACCATCCGCAGCTTCTGCTGCTGCTGCCGCCCAGCCGCGTCGAGATCAGGCGGGGGGGGCGGCGATGGCATGGTGAGAAACACCAGCAGCTTCACTGCGGAAGGGGAAGGGGTGAATAGGGATGTAAGGCATTAACAGCCATAATGGCATGACATTCGTCGTGCTCCAGCCTCGGCTTCTGCTGCTGCTGCCGCCCTGCCGCGTCCAGATCAGGGGGGGGGCGGCGATGGCATGGTGAGAAACACCAGCAGCTTCACTGTAGGGGAAGGGGGCGAGGGGGGAGGGGAGCGGGGGGAGGAAAGGTACGGGGGAAGGTCGGGTAATGGGGGTGTGGCGCTTGTAGGGAGTAGCGCGGAGTCATGGCGGTATCGGCAGATGATGGAGACGAGGTAGGTGCGGGGAATGTTCCACCGACCCACCAAGCATTAGAGTTGTGACTTTACTCGGAAAGAACTACGTGAGTTAAGGAGCGTCAAGAACTAATTACGTGAGTTAAGAACTAACTACGTGAGTTAAGTGACAGTCTCTTACCGGCGTTAAGGAGTAAAGAGGAGTCGCGGCGGTATCGGCAGATGATGGGACGAGGTCCGTGCGGACAATGTCCCACCGACCCAGCTGCACCAGACTGGCAAGCAGAATCGAATGCGCACTTACCGGCGTTAAGGAGGAGCGAAGAGTCGTGGCGGTATCGGCAGATGATGGGAACAAGGTCCGTGCGGACAATGTCCCACCGACCCAGCTGCACGAGCACGTCGCGCGACACGGGGTGGTCCCGCCGCATCAGCCGCTGCAGATCGCGCAGCGAGCCTGAGACAGGGACGAGGGGGAAGAGGAGCGGGGGGCGGGAGAGGCGGGCCGGGGGAGTGATGTAATTGAGGAAGTAAGGGGTAATGGCCGAGCTGGAGGGGCAGCAGGAGGGGCACTAGGATGAGCATCACAAGCGGTCCCGCCTCGTCAGCCGATGCAAGCGGCGGATAAGGGGCGTGGCGAAGCCACGTGCACTGCGATATACGTCGTGGCGAGCTGAGCCTATAGACAACGGCCTTCAGGAAAAGTAGGAGCGAAACACGCAACGGAAACATGGTGACGGCAGAAACGAGAGGATCGCCGTGTTAACGGAAACGAGGTGACTTTTGAGTCGACTCAAAAATAACATGGTGACGGCAGAAACGAGAGGATCGCCGTGTTAACAGAAACGAGGTGACTTTTGAGCCGACTCAAAAATAACATGGTGACGGCACAAACGAGAGGATCGTCAAGTTGAGGTAAGGCAGGCGGCCGATTACCGAGACAATCTTCCCCCTTCTCGTACATCGTCCGTCCCTCCTCGTCTTCCCATTTTCTCCCTAACCGCGTCGCGACGCTGCTGATGATACTCGGATGAATGAGAACCATGTCGATATTTGAGTGTCTGAACTTCGTATTTCCGTGTCGCCCACAACGGAAAATCCCCCTTACATCCACTCTTCTTTCAGCAGCATCCTAGTTCCCCCGGCTGCGTGTCTGGTAGAATTATCTCGAGAGTCGTAAATCCTAAGCTTCTTTTGCCGAATGTTTACGAAAATTTCAGCTGGGTGCTGACTGTGCAAGCTTCGCCCACACAAAATCCTTATGATGGACGTACAGACAGCGGAGGCTTGATGCAAAGAGAAATCAAACGGCCAACAAATGGGACCCTCGATTCATCCAAGGCCGGTTTCAAATACGTTCCCTGTGTTTACGAGTTCGAGTTCTCTCGGTGCTCCCATTGACAAAATCATTGCCAATCTCCTAGAACCACGCTGGCTTGGACTGCTTGCAAACGCGGCCTCGGAGATTTGAATGTGCGAAATTTGAACTCGCGCGCCTCGATCTATCCGCTTTATTGGAAGAGCTTGCTTTCCAACGCGTTGTGCTGAAAAGGAATTTCATTTGTCCCGTGAAATCCGTATTCTTATCGAGATTTCTGAATTTTTCCACCGCCTAGGGTGTACTTTCATCATGTTGTAAACAGCCAGACTAAACCAGCTTATCGAGGAGCACCATCCCGCCGAGTCGCTCGCAAATCACCAAATGTCAACCGCTTTTCCGAGCCGCCACATGTCGCATGCAACCTCTGCTGCCACAACAGCCCCTTCCAACCAACTCCAACCCAACCTCTCCGTCAAACCAAAATCACTTCCCATACACCCAACTCCAACCAGAATCTCCAGAATTTTCTGCTCTGGGCAATTGGGTCTAGATCCTCTTGGTTTCACTGGCAGAGAGACGTCGCATCGCAACCGCATGCTTGCTGGACGCTTTATCGGTTCTTAACGACATGGGGCGACGCGTGGCATGGATAGTTGGTGAAAACCGCCCACGCTGGGTCGAAGTTTTTGTTAGGGTCCTCGAGCGGAACAAAAAAGAAAAGAATCGATGAGCAGGCGCCGGAAACGTGCATGCAGGAGCCGTATCGTCGATGCGCGCAACCCTGCAAGAAGCTGTTGATACCCGAATCCGCTCAGAGCGCGTATCTGCTGCACAAAACGGCAGTTAGTTGCACTTAACGCCCCTAACCATGTCTAAACGGTGCTATCGCCCCGCCGCGACGCGGACAGCTGCACCATCGCTGGGCGACCCTCTCAGTAACCTTCACTCAACCGCTGCGCGCTCTGTTCGATGCTCACCGCCGATACGCTCACAGCACGCCTTGGGATTCAAGGCCTTCGCGTTCTGCGAACGAAAATACTATAAGTCAGGCGGATCAGTTGATTCCAAACCATCATCAGCTGAACACAAGCAGCTGTTCAAACAAGCTTGAGACCAGCGGGTTCTCAAGCCGAACTCAACAGATCCAGCTTCCTTTGTTGCCTACTCACCGCTAGTACTAATTAAACGCCGCGAGAACCTTTCATCAAGTTCCCAAACCACCATGGCGCTCCCTCGCGGCTTCTCCACTGCAGCAACGCTCGTCCTCGTCGCCCTGCTCGCGGCGTCCCTCCTCCCCGCCTCTCACGCGCGCAAGGACGTGCTCATCTCCGCGGACGACGCTTCCGCCACGCTCCCCGCGTCCGCCTCCGCGGACGCCGCCGTGTCTAATGCCGCCAGCGCTGCCGCCAGCGCTGCCGCGGGCGGTGCAAGCGGCGTGGAGGCTATCACGGATATGTTTCAGCGCCAGGGCCCGCGGATTCTTAACGTGGAGTCTTATATGGCGGATGAGCCTCTTCCGGAGCACCTGCAGGATCTGGAGTTGCACCGGCGCGAGCTTCAGTCCAATGGCCCCCTTGCCGATAGTGAGTGCCTCTTTTACTTAAGGCTTATCTTATCTAATATACCTCATTTCCTACCTTCTTACTGTTTGCAAGAAAAGCATCATGCTTCCCTTCCCTTATCTAAACGGAAGAAGTAATCCCTCCCCTTATCCCTCCCCCCTCCCCTGTTCTCTCCCCATCCCCTCTCTGCAAATGCTTCCCCATGAAATTCAGATTGCGGCAGGACGACACTTAGGATCGCTCAGAAGTACCTGGGAGTGTTTTACCAGAAGAATTATTTGTTCAATATCACCATGATCAACAAGTGCAAGTACAGCCTCCTCAGCCCCCTTATCCTCTTCGGCTGCATCGACTTTGGAAATCTCATGGAAGGTTCTCTTGACAACCCCGCACGCAACCCCACCCCGTTCCAGCGAGTTCCCGTCTTCGACGAGTGCTGCGCGACCAGGTTCGGCAGGGGTAACTGCCAGATTCAGTTCAACCAGGGCCCCAGGGGTAATGTTCAGCTTTACCCCGGGCAGGCGGTGTCTTTCCTTTACGCATGGAATAAGCCGATGTGGCCGTGTGCTCGGGAGCTGCACTTTGCGAACGGGGATACGTATTTCATGCCCAACGAGTTTGTGGGGACGGAGTGTAAATGCCTATTTTGTATGGTGTTGGTAAGAATACGGGTTGGTAAATGTGCTGCTTGGTAGGGGATGGCTACGGGACTTGCCAAGTCCAGCCTTGCGAAAGGCTGATTGGGTTGGGTGGATGGATGGACATGTGGATGTAGCAGATGGGCGGATGGAAAAGATGGGGCAGAGATGCTTCTAGATGCTTCTAGAAGGGCTTGTAGATGCTTCTGATGTGTCTTGTTTGAGACTGATCTATAATGGAATAAGGCCCTGGGTGAAACTTGCTTCATTTATTTCTTGGAGGGAGTGACAGTGAAATTCAAACTTGTGGTTAGGTCGTACCTTACCGTAGCTGTCTCTGGAAAGCACACAACCCAGTCCTGCCTTTCTTGACTAGCTTCAAATCTGGTAGGAGCTGGTCAACACCTGATTGCCTATGCCTGAGCTGTTTTTCGAAACCTGATGAGTCTTCCTTGCATCAACTGTTGTGATTGTACCATTGGATTCTCGGGTTGAGGTTTGAGACATATCCTGGTAGGAGAACTATATTTGTCTTTTCAACCGTGGATCGCAGCTGCGTTTATTGCATGATTCCATGTCCTGATTTTGTAGTTGTGTACATTTCACAATATTATGATTGGATATTCTAAGGAAAAGTGACTATGCCTAATGCATTGTAGGAAGCAAACTCATGTCTGTCAGAATGAAGAATGGATGGTGCATTGATGTTGGTTGGGGTACATATAGCTAACCCTAAGTTTTGTACCCCTTAAGACAAACCTCACTATAGGCTACAACATTTGACACACCCCCATAGCCTAAGTGAGGGGTGTCTAGCAGAACCAAACGAGTACGGTCACAAGACCAGTCCAAGAAACGAAGCTCAGGGTGGATCACAACGTCACCACACAGTCTGAGCACAAACAACAGTGGCCACAAGGCCAGTCCAAGAAGTAACAGAGATATATAGAAAGCAAAGTAAACAGTACACTCAAGTCTAAGCAACACGAGAACCAGTGTCAACAAGGCCTAACTGCACACAGCACCTCTGGTGGTCACCAAGGCGAAGAAAGTACCTGACGTGAATGTGCTTCACTCTGCTCTCCAGTCGTGGCTCTCGACAAAGGAGAATAGACGCCTTGTTGTCAGTGAACAAGGTCGGTGCAGAGCTCGGCCGCTCACCAAGGTCGGTGAGCAAGAAGGTCAACCAACGCAGCTCCTGTGCCGCCATGGCACCAGCGTAGATCTCAGCCTCAGCTGTAGAGGTCGAGACCGAAGAGGAGCGCGTGGACCGCCAGGAAACAGCTCCAGAACCCAGGCTGAAACAGTACCCCTGAGTAGACCTGTGAGTCTCAGCGTCGTCAGCGTAAGAGGAGTCACAGTGACCAGTGAGTACGACAGACTGCTGCCCTCCAAGAACTAGCCCCACGCCTGATGTCGTCGCTAGGTACTTCGCCACCCTCACAGCTGCTGTCCAGTGAACAGGACGGTGTCTCCCTGGCGCAACAAAGCGCGCAAGAACGCTGAGAGGGAAGGCGAGGTCCGGGCGAGTACAAGTCATCAGGTACATGAGGCAACCCACAAGCTCTGCGTAGGGACCACTAGGCTCGAACGGCTCGTCAGGAAAGGGTCCAGTGAGTCTGTGGTCAACAGCAAGAGGTGTGCGCTGTACTGTGGAGTGCTGAAGCCCGAACCGCTGAAGGACCTGCTGCACCATGTGCGACTGTGAAAGTGTAATGGTGCGAGCAGCTCTGTCCCTGGTGATCTGCAGGCCAAGGTAGTGGCGCAGCTCACCAAGATCAGTGCAGGTGTGTCTCTTCTGCAGTTCGGACTTCACGTGTGCCAAAGCAACCCTGTCAGGGGTGGCGAAAACAAGGTCGTCAACGTAGACCAGAACAAAGAAAGGTGTGGGGCCACGACGAACGAACAGCGACGGGTCAGCAGAAGATGGCTGGAACCCAAGGTCAGACAGGGTAGAACGCAGGGTGTCGTGCCACTCACGAGGAGCCTGACGAAGACCGTAAACCGGTCGCCTCAGCCTCCACTGGGTCCCAGGAGGGAAAGAGTATGTCGAGCACGTTCCAAATCCAACATTGGAAATGATACGTAAAATTTTCACATTGAATTATATAATGTCATTTACCGTGGATTTATTGTGGAGTCAAAGACATGGTAAATAAATATTGCGTTATGATAATTGGATTCGAGTGGTTGCATAATTAACCGCGTATGTCTACTTCCTAAAGAGTTTATGCTGCTGGACCACTTTACTGAGTTATTGAGGAAATTGTCCCATCGAGTCGCAAATTCCCAATGTCAACCGCTTTTCGGAGCCGCCACATGTCACATGCAACCTCCGCTGCCGCATTGGGTCCCCCCGAATCAAACAGCCCCTCCCGTCCAACCTCTCGTCAAACAGCCCCCCATCAACCCATAAGATCAATTCCCCGTTTGCCCCGAATACCAGTCTCCCAAACCACTATTCCCCTTTTTTGCACCCGCTTCTTTCACTGCCGGGGGTGTCATGTCGTCGCAACTGCATGCTTTCTCACGCCTCCCGCGGCATCGGGAGTTTGGAAAAACCGCCTTAGGTGGGTAGATTTCATGGTTAGGGTCCTGGAGCGGAGCAAAACAAAAAACATGCAACCTCGCAGGTGCCGTATCGTCGATGCGCGCAGCCCTGCAAGAGGCTGTTGAATCCTCCTGAACCATTCAGATCGCGTCTCGATCCCCCCAAACGACCGCTAGTTGCAATCAACGCCTCTAGCCATGTATAGACGGCGCAATTACCGCGCCGCCGTGAAGCGACGGGCGCTGGATGGACGTCCCGTGGAGAGCCTAACAGAACCGACCTTCGCCGTGAAAGACCTTCACCGTGAAGGCCTCTCACTCGCTCACTACGCCTGGTCGGTGCTAACTGGTGCCACTACGCTCACGGCACGATTTGGAAACGACGTTCGATCTCGCCCCTCCCCGCGAACGAAGCTATAAAGTCAAACGGGTTTGTTGCCCTCAACCATCAGCTGAACACAAGCAGCTGTTAAACGCTTGAGAGAGCGGCGTTCTCAAGCCGAAATCTTCAGCTCCAGTTTCTTTTGCAACCATTTTTCGTTTCCACCTCTCCTCGCAACTACTATGGCGCTCTCTCACGGCCTGCGAGGAGCTTCAAGCTCGGTGGAGCTACAGCCTAAGCGAACAACTCTCCTCGCTGCTGCACCGGCGCTTGCCCTCATCGCCCTCCTCGCGACATCGCTCCTCCCCGCCGCTCACGCGCGCAGGGACGCGCTCAGCTCCGCGGACGACGCTTCCGCCACCTCATCCGCGCTCCCCGCGTCCGCCTCCGCGGATTCCGCCATTTCCGCCGCCGGTTCCGCCGCTGGTGACGGCGCGAGCGGCGTAGAGGCTATCGCGGATATGTTTCAGCGCCAGGGCCCGCGGATTCTTAACGTGGAGTCTTATATGGCGGATGAGCCTCTCCCGGAGCACCTGCAGGATCTGGAGTTGCACCGGCGCGAGCTTCAGTCCAATGGCCCCCTTGCCAGCAGTGAGTGCGGCTTGTATAAAAGCTTATCTTATCTAATATGTGTCATTTCCTACCTTCATGCTGTTTGCAATGAAAGCTTAGCCTCATCTCAGATTCCCTTCACGGAAAAGGAAAAGTGTTCCATCCCCTTATCCATCCCCCCTCCCCCGTTCTCCCCCTCCCCTCCTCTCCCCAAATGCTTCCCCATGGAATTCAGATTGCGGCAGGACCACCCTTAGAATCGCTCAGAAGTACCTGGGAGTGTTTTACCAGAAGAATTATATGTTCAACATTACCATGGTCAACAAGTGCAAGTACAGCCTCCTCAGTCCCCTTATCCTCTTCGGCTGCATCGATTTCGGAAACCTCATGGAAGGTTCTCTCGACAACCCTGCACGCAACCCCACCCCGTTCCAGCGAGTTCCCGTCTTCGACGAGTGCTGCGCGACCAGGTTCGGCAGGGGTAACTGCCAGATTCAGTTCAACCAGGGCCCCAGGGGTAATGTTCAGCTTTACCCCGGGCAGGCGGTGTCTTTTCTTTACGCATGGAATAAGCCGATGTGGCCGTGCGCTCGGGAGCTGCACTTTGCGAATGGGGACACGTATTTCATGCCCAACGAGTTTGTGGGCACGGAGTGTACAATGCCTATTTTGTATGGTGTTGGTAAGAATACGGGTTGGTAAATGTGCTGCTTGCTATGGGATGGCTACGGGCTTGCCAAGTCCAGCCTTGCGAAAGGCTGATTGGGTTGGGTTGGGTGGATGGGTGGACGTGTGGTTGCAGCAGATGGGCGGATGGAATAGATGGGGCAGAGAATAAAGGGCTTGTAGATGCTTCTGATGTGTGCTTGTTTGTGAGACGTTGATTAATAATGGAATAAGGCCCCGGGTGAAATTTGCTTTCATTACCTGGCCCTGATGACTGGCTACTGTATTCAACGGCACTGGCACTGGCACTGGTGGACACGATTTCCTAAGCGCCTCAAAGGGAGTGCAGTGGAGTGGACAATTTAGAGCTAGCGGGTGTGTGAGTGAGTGACTGGCGTACGGTACAAGAGCCCTGGTTGGGCCAACGCATTTCCCACAAGGCACCATGCCACACTGGCTTGCGAGTTGTGACCAGGCTTGTCGATTGACGGGCATATGCGTCTGAACATTAAAGGCTAGTTTCGCTCCAGATCCAATGCGTCAAGTTTTAGGTTCGTACCCCACCCGTGCCACTAAGTGCTTCGTTCGACCCTTCCCCGGATGCGTTAAGGGACGAAACCAGGCCTTCCCCTTTATCTAAGTTTTGGTTTCCGATCGTAGGACCCCTCCCCCCAACCAGGGTGCCAGAGACCCCCCCCCCCCCCCCCCCCCCCCCCCCCCCTCTTTCTCCTTAGCCTGCACGAGAGCGCGCCGAGGGGATTTTTCCCTTAGCGTTTTCTAGCCAATCTCGTGTGTGTAGTGCGTCTCAGTCAGCCTTAGAGCACCCGAACATTCCCTTGGCGTCCAATACGAGCTGGCCGCAGTTTACAGCCCTGGCCGCTGTATCCTAGTAAAATACAGTGTAAGGGTACATTCCGCTGTGGACATGCGTCCCAATCGATGTGTCCCAATCGGGTGTACCGCTCCGAACCGCACTAAACCAGAGAAGCGAAAATTTTGAAACTAGGGTGTAATTCGGTGTAATAAGATTCAGTGCGGTAGAATCGATTGGGACACATCGATTGGGACGCATGTCCACAGCGGAATGTACCCTAAGTGCAAACTTCTCACATGCCCTGATTTCAAGTTAACACTTTGGGGTGCGCCCGTGACCGTTAAGGGCGCCAAAACGCTCACCTACACCCAACCAAGGGTCAGATGGGGAGGAGCTGGGGAGCGCAAGTACGAGCCCCAGAAACTTCGACAGGCCTGGTTGTGACCAGACCAGACATGCTGGAACCAGCGGCAGCAGAGGCAGCAGTGGAGTGGACTGCTGCCCTAAATGGTGTGTGGCTGACTGGCGTATGAGAACCTTGGTTGGGCCAATGCGTTTCCCACAACGCACCACGCCACACTGGTGCTGGCTTGCGAGTGGTGACCAGACCAGACATGCCGGGACCAGCGGCAGCAGAGGCAGCAGCGCGTGTGGACTGAAGCGGGTGCTGTAGGCTGGTAGATAGATACAGCGAGTGTGTGCGCGACTGCTGCGGAAGCGCCTCAGGGGGACTTGAAACTCCTTGTTTCTCCTACAGGACTGATGTACGTATGCTCCACTCCAAGGCAGAGTTTATTCTGAGTTGATTCAAGCATCTGCTCCATCACAAGGCTGGTAGATAGTGACAGTGTGTGCGTGACTGCTGTGGGTGGAAGAGCCTCAGCTCAGATGTACTTGAAACTTCTCGTTTTCTCAACAGGTCTGCTGGTTGCTGCACCACCACAAGGCCAGTAGCAACAGCACTACCGGTAGGCCCAGAAGCTGTTGCTAGGATAAGATAAGGCAAGACAAGGAGATTCAAGAACTACTAGACTGTACAGAGGGAGGGGAGCAGCTAGCTGGAGGGCCAAGGCAAGCTTTCGTGATTCTCAAACCATGTTCAAAGCAGCTTCTGTTAGATGAGCATGAGCATTGGTACAGCAGCAGAATAGAGCAGCACAATATAGCAGCTCTATAGAGCAGCGCAAACAGGGAAGCAGGACAGAGAAGCGCAGGAGAAGGGCGTCTCACTTCACAAACATGAGCAGGAGCACAGTAGCAGGCAGTGAAGTGATGATACCATCTCCACCAGCAACCCCACAGGGGCGTCTCACTTCACAAACATGAGCAGGAGCACAGTAGCAGGCACAACAAGCAGTGACGACACCACTAGCACCCCCACAAGCACCACACACGACCAGTGCCATTTCCTCGCCTCCCCGCCCGCTTCCTTCCCTCCTCCTCCCCCACTCCCTTCTCCCTCTCCCCCCATAGCCACATAGGAGGAAGCACCTCCCCCAATTCCCACCCCTGTCCCCGCCCATCCCCTTCCCCCAACTCTTCCCTCTCCCCCTCCCCGCTCTGGAATCCCACCAATCCGCTTCCTCGCTTTCGCCAGCTCATCGCTGCCTATCCCGCTTTCCAGCAGCCACACGAGCTCCTGGATCCCCTCCTGCAGCCGTGCCAGCCTGTCGCCGACCCGCGCTGACAACTGCTGACGCGCCGCCAGCTCAGACACGAGCCGCTCCACGTCAGCGTCGAGGCCTCCGACTCCCGAGGTGGATTGGGAGGGGCGGAGGCAGGGGAGGGAGGAGATGGAGGAGCAGAGGAGGCGGGAGAGGAGACACTCGGGAGTGGCTGGGGAGCAGAGCTGCTCGACCAGGTCGTTGGAAGGGGCACAGCCTGTAACGTCCGTGTACCTGTGGTGGTGGGGGTGAGGGTGAGTGTGTGGGATAGCATGGAAAAATGATGGCAGGGAGTTAGAGACGTGAAGAGCAGAGGAGGGCGGGACAGCAGCAGACACTCGGGGGTGGCTGGGGAGCAGAGCTGTTCGATCAAGTCGTTTGACGGGACACATCCCGTCACGTCTGTGTACCTGTGGGGAGCAGGAGGTATACAGAGAAAAGAAAGTCAATGGCAGGGAGTGGGGGAAGAACTGAAGAGCAGAGCGGGCAGTCGGGGGTGGCGGGGAGCAGAGCTGCTCAACAAGTCGTTGGACGGCGCAGGAGCACGACCGAGTACGTCCGTGTACCTGTGGGGAGCAGGAGGGATACAGAGAAGATTGATCAGGTTGTTGGAAAGGGCACACCCACTCACGTCCATGTACCTGTGGGTGGGGTGGTGGTGGTGGTGGTGGTGGTGGTGGTGGTGGTGGTGGTGGTGGTGGTGGTGGTGGTGGTGGTGGTGGTGGTGGTGGTGTGCGTGGGTGTCTGTTGTTGGGTGTGTTGGAAAGGGGTTGGGAAATATGCAAGGTCACGGTGGGTGTAAAGGGGAGAGGAAAAGAAATGGGAGATGATCCACAGGCAGTCCATAGCCCCACCCATGCACCTTCTCCCTGCAGTGTCTCTCATGCTTCGAGGTGCCTCAAAACATACCTCGACATTTTGAGGTGCCTCAAAGCATACCTCGACATTTTGAGGTGCCTCAAAACATACCTCGACATTTTGAGGTGCCTCAAAACATACCTCGACATTTTGAGGTGCCTCAAAACATACCTCGACATTTTGAGGTGCCTCAAAACATACCTCGACATTTTGAGGTGCCTCAAAACATACCTCGACATTTTGAGGCAAATCAAAACCAGGCCGTCCATGGCCCCACCAATGCACCTTCTCCTTGCAGTGTCTCTCACGCCCATAATTAATCCACCCCCACCCATACCCCCTTCCCTCCCCTCCGCTCGGCTTCCATCCCCAGCCTCCCTGTGCAACCTCACTCCATAGCCCATTCACCACTCAAGCCCCTGCCTACACCCCGTCACACGTACCTTCTTCTCGCAGTGTCCCTGACACCCATATTCAATCCAGGCCACACTCCCTCAGCCTCCCCATTCCGCCTCCCCTCTATAACGCGTTAATTGCTACAGTCCCTCCCTGACCCCCCTTCACTCGTACCTTCGCCTGGCAGTGTCCCACACGCCCATATTCAATCGGAACGCCACGTCACCAGCCTCCTTGTGCTGCCGCCATAGCCCATTCACTGTTATACCCCAGCTCAATAACCTAGCCCATCATTAAACCACCAGACCAACACTCAACCCTCACGCTCACCTTCTCCTTGCAGTGTCCCTGACGCCCATGTTCAATCGCAGTGCCACGTCACCAGCCTCCTTATGCCGGCGCCATAGCTTCTCCACCATTGCTGCCGCCACTGACGCTCTGATGTGCCCCATGGCCGCATTTCCCGCTCCCCTGCTGCTGCTGCTGATGCCACTGCTGCCGCTGCTATTGTTGCCACTGCTGCTATTGGTCCCGATGCTGCCGATTCCCGAGCCTAGCCACGCCCCCAGGCCTCCAACCCTACTCACCACACTCCCTCCTCCCCCAATCCCTCCGCTTCCCAGTTTCCCGCTGTTGTTCAGGCTGCCCGAGTGCTGGTCATTTCTGGGGTAATTTACCCTGTCAGACTCTCCTGTGAAGCTGCTGCTGATAAGGTCTCTCAGGTTTCCTGTCACTGTGCCTTGTAGTCGATCCAACTCTGACGTCATCCTCTCTGCAAGCTTCTGCGAAATTAGGAATAACGGGAGGGAGAAAAGATAGGTTGTAAAATGTTACGCAGTGTTTTGTTATAAGCACAAAGTGGATCATGCAAGACACGTTATGCTAGCAATATTTCAATAATCAAACGCACCTCCACTGCATCTTTGCTTGATAATAACCGATAGTCGTCCACAAACCCTAGCAACCTCGCTATAGTCACTTTCAAATCGCGCAACTCCTGATCCACCTCTCCCGCTCGCGCCAAAAACTGCTCCACTTGCGCCGCTAGCGCGCCGCCCGGCGGAATTCCCGCCACTGCCGCCGTGGCTACCGCCGTCGCCTCCGAGTCCGCGTCCCCCGCATCCCGCGGCGCGATGCGCTGCGCCACATCGTCGGACCTAGGCCCCGCTATAAGCTGCTGCTGTAACTGTCCGCAGGTGCTTATAGAGGAGGTTCGCGCGGACGCGAGGTCGACTGAGGTGAAGGAGGATGAGACAGACGATTCTGTATCGCCAGCGGGTGTAACATTAGCCGTCGCGAAACGA